CAAGCTTATAAATTAAATGGGCAATTTGATTCCCTGATTGCATATTTATGCGGACTATTTAGTCGTTTTACTCTTCCGTGTTTGTGTAGTAACATGTTATCTATTCAATATGCTTTGTAAATGAAATCTGGCAACAAAGTTTTTTCTAACTTGCGTATTGTCGGTTGGATTACTTTCTTGTTCTGCGTTAGATTTGCCGCACTTTTTTCAGAAAATGTTGCTTGATACTGGGGTCTGTGCGATGTAGTGGATTAAGAGGAAAGGCGTATCTGCAATCTTGAAGGAAGTCACATCCCTCCTGAGATTCGAAACTGTGTCACCCAGTTCTGCAGTCAAAGACATTATCACTGAGTTATTCAGCCGCGCGATTGACCTTCTGTAGGACTGAATTCGATACCTTGATTGGGCACTAGGTAGTAAACTAGTGTTCAAAGTATATTACGTCCTTTTTAATGTGAATGAGTTATGCAAACCATTATGGAAAGAAACTGAAGGAAAAGAAACAGCACTTACATTTACTGTTTCGTTTAACTGACTTTGTGATTGAGTCGATGTCAATTCACTATGTGCAGTGACATCGTCAACAGGAGTTGTATCTGATGCTCTTAAAAGGTATTCAGTTTCCTCCTCTTTTATTACATCAGTATTGAAAGCGTTATAAGCCTGAAAATGCAAATATATATGGGTAATATTCATATCATTTTACAAAGTGAAATGTTTAAACAGATTGATGCATATTATAACCAGAATAACAAAAAACGAAAGCGTCCATTTGAACAAAGAAAGAACGAATATATTTACAGGATAATACGAGCACATTTTATTATTTCGTGGAGACATAGAAACTGCACTGAATCTAAACAATATCAAAATACAAGTCATAAAAGGCAGCATAATATTCCCAATTGGAATTGCCAAACATTTTGTTGACAAAGGATCACTGAGTCAGGACTAGTCAAGCTTTTGAAGTAATTAAGATATAAAGAAAACCGTAGGTGCTTAGTTCTACATAAGCCATTGCTATCAAACGATTCAATAAGCGAACTTCCGTGTACAGAAAAATAGCATGGTGAACCTCTCAGTACCCTGAGAAATATAATTGTTTTGTTCGTGTTTTATGTGTTTGGTTTTATTGGGTAACACTACCTAATTTTGATTTTTCTTTTTTTCACTTACTGAGTTGAACTCGTTATCAACTTTACTTGATTGTTTGTCTAATGGTCATCATTTTACCCTATCGAACTTCTTATCATACTATATAGAAATCCATTGCACTGTTCTATTCTGTATACCGTTTCTAGTCAATCACTGTTAGTAATTTTTTTTCCTTCACGTTCCCAGTGGAACATAGGGCTTCAAGCTGGTGACTTGAAGTTTCTTTAGCAGTGTTTATTTAATAGGATGGGTTCGTTAGCCTCATATTCAACCTTTCCTCTTCACCAGCATTATTTCTGGCTTAGCGAGGTAAAGGAGTGAGTCAGCAGGGGATCGAACCCCAGACCATGTGCATGGTCGGCGAGCGTCCTGACCGCTATGCCACCGACGCACTAAGTAATGCAATAATGTGAATTAAACCAGAGGTTACCCTTCCGAGTTCACTCCACCTGCAGCAATCAACAGAACCATTTAAATTTGCTAGCCTAGCAATCAACTAAGCAGAAAATGAGGTAAATAATAATAGAGTCAAGAAAATTCTCCACACATTGAATCCATCAATGAGTGCAATTATATATTAGATCCACATACATGGAAACGAATAATTCCTATTCAAACACATGCAGTGAAAACGCATCTACATCATAACTCATGTTCTCATAGAAGTTTCTGTTAGCACTTTCAAGTGGTTCCCGTGTACTGTTAGTGTTCACTTGTCAAATAATAAGGTGTTTTACGCGAAAATAAGCTGTATGGACGTGTGAATTCACTAGGTGAAACCACGCAAAAGGTGCAGCTTTTACATAAATTCGACACAATTTTAATAAAAAGTTTCCCATGTGGAATTACAACCAACGTATTGAATCAGTCCAGCCGACGATTTCTGTAAACTGGCGTCCCTCTTGAGTAACAAATGGGAGTATATCATTATTTAGTGTTGCTGAGGTCTCATTTTAAACTCAGTTTGCCGCCTCCTTAATGTTCGAGATCGGTTTTTACAACACCAAATATATCCGATAACCTTACTATTTGTCTTGTAACACTGCTTGAACACCGCGGCACTTTGCTCATAGGAGCTGAATTTAACAGCTAGTAGCCATGGTGAGCTTATCCATAGGACATGAGTGAGATGTGGCAATCTTCAGACAGAGACTGTCGAAGTATCATCAGCGGCCATCTAAGAGGACAGCCACATCTATTGCCATGCATCGTGCGTGCTTTTTTTTCAAGGAGTTCCTTCCTCAAGCTGCTGAACAGCGTGTATGAAAACGGAGGTGAAGTGCATTAGTTCCGATGATCGCACCATCATTTGTCTAACTGGCTCGTCTATTCTTACTCGTGTAGTGAAAGTTGTAATCGTAAGCAGAATTTGAGAGGCTGGTTATTTGTTCTTAGCGTTTTGAGAAGAGCTCAATGCAGCTCTTAATGGGTATGATTTACCTTGATGTTGCTAAGCAGTTATGTACTGTCTATGCAGCTTTACAGGCCGGATGTCCCACGAATTGGCCTACTGCTGCTGATCGAACAGTGCCATTTGTTCCTGGGAACTTCCACTAACCTCTGGTATGTTACACATTGATGATAAACTTACCACAACATCACATGAAAAGATATGAGTTATTTGGACATTATATATAATCCACCAGCTGATCTACTTTCCAGAGAGAATGAGGTGATGCTCTATCCACAGTAGCTAGGAATTACATAAATCCACGGTTACCGCTGTATATACTCAGCGGAGTAAGGAGTCAACGAAGTGATGCAGTTAAAGCATACGTGTACTTTCCATGATCACAGCGACACTTTGCGGAATGTCAAAATCGTAGAGTGATCAAACCATACATGTGATGTTACCAAAGACCTGTTCTTTTGTTAATGCGAAGACAATACTTCTGTATTTCCTGATGTGTTGCACTCACTGACAATCTAGCAGATTTTTCCAACTATGCACAGAAATGATTGTACATAAGTGAAAAGGATGTTTTATACTACTGGGATTAACATTTATCAAGTGTATATATAATCTCCAGCGTACATGTAAAACATATTTTGCTATCGACTGTAAATTGTGACTGAATAATATGGTTCTATTTCTGTAACAATTTGATGATGCCTGTAAACTGTCGTCTCTCATGTACTGTATCATGAGAATAAATTTATTTATTTAAAAAAAACTAAATCCGAACAGCAAACAAGTTGGATATTCATGCATATGTTGATCGTGACGACAAATCCGAATGACTACCTATACAGCGCTATTAAACCTGGATATCTAAGAAGTGATGAAAATATGCTGACAGCTGCATTTCAAATCTTACTGGCCCTTTCGATGGTAATATTCTGTTCCTGCATGCTTCATTGAACATTTTGTATGGATTGGTTCGCAGTCATTCTGGTTCCAGACCGAAAAGAATCAAAATCCACCGGCTGCTGAATCATTCATACTTCTCTACATGCTTAACTAGATACTAACCTCTGTGGTGAGCCTCTCGCAGATTATATTGCAAAAGACATCGTTGACGGTAAACTGACCAACGTTTTACAAGCCATTTTTATACTTTTGTGAATAGCTCACCATATCGACCACATGTAACGCAATGTTATTGCGAAATCAATATCTCTATATATCTTGATGTGATCAGTTGAACCACTAGTTATCAGATTGTGCCCACAAACTAAAGATAAAAGGACAGCACCATGTTGTTCCACCATAAACGAAGTTTATTTAATTTAAATAATGCTTATACGTGCCTCTACAACTGGTGTGTCCTACATAGGTAGGAATAGATACGTACTTTATTATATTATGATTACTAAATATGCTTACTAATCGTAAATGTAATTTATCATACTGATGATGCCTGTAAACTGGTGTCCCCCATGTACAGAAAATGAGAATATATCATTATTACACTGAATAACCTCGGATTGATGTTCTTTCTTTGGTTTTTTGTTTTTCACATCAAGATCAGTAACTTTATCCAGCTTCAGGTTATTGCTACTCTACGGTGCTCCGAAATGACTATGTTTGCTAGCAATGCGGGTGGTTTTTGTGGAAAAGTAGAATTTTCTGCTCCGATTTTGAGGCCCATACGAGTAAAAGTCTTATGAAGAATGGCTTCAATTATCTTCGGCTTCACTGGATTTATACTTTTGGTCAGATGGGCTGGAGTACATTGTTGAAGGTCTGTAGATGAAACACTGTGAAGGACTAGGTTAAGGCGAAAGGGTGGACAAATTTACCAGAAACATGGGCATGGATTATTTTAAGCAAACCCATGATGTATTTTTGGCACTCCTTTATCACACAGGCAATGCACCCGTCGTTTCCAAATATTACATCCGAAGGATGAATCTCTCTTGCAAGCGACAGAACTGTAGAATTGACCGTTTTCACCTTGCCAGAAAAATTATCCGAGCTCTGATAAACTCTGGAAAGTTTGCCTTCAATCTTGGTAAGCTCGACACATCAGCTTTCTATGGAGATAAGGGAGGTGCTATGACTACTTCGTTAGATTTTTGTAGTTCCTTAACGGGAATATAAGGGTGGAGACATATCGACAGAGCAGGGAATATGTACCGGGATCTTTAGATTCGGTGTGCAGGGCGACGTTAAATAGACTGTTTAAAACAGATGGAATTACCTGACAGAAATCCAATTCATCGAATAGGAAGATTAAGTTTCGTAAGCCGAAAAATGCACAAAACAAGATTTTTCTTGTTATGCTGTCTCGCAAACTAAGCACCGAACACAGAGAGTATTACATCAAAACTTGCTAAATTCTCTCCACTAACACATAAGTTAACTGTATGCACGAATATTTGAAACCATTTAAACGGCTCTATTTCAATTTGTGATTGTGGGCGGTACTTCGAGTTCATCGTTTGAGGTATGTTAGTTGACTTTGGAGTAATCATAAGGTGTTCGAGAATAAAGCGCAAGATAGATTTAAGATAGTAGTAATCTTAGTAACATTTTTCATCTAACTGGTATTATTCAATGGGCCCCGGGTAGTGTATGTCGTCGTTCACTTACACATGTACATGAAACAACTTACTGCAATTCACATGCTGCAAATATCCCTAATTTTTATCCATTCTCGGTATATAGATGTATTTTATTTCACAATCATAGTCATTGAAATGCAAATCAAGTAGGAGCAAAGCTGATGTGAGACCATAGCACATGATAAACTCCGAGGTGTGTGAAGAAGTACCTTTGTTGTCTATTTTATTCTAGAATAATCCCGTTAAATAAAAAAAGGGGCTACACTGTAAGTAACAAGAATAAGAGAACTTGGTAACCCAAGTTATACCACCTCTTAAACTTCTCTTAGGTAACCATGGTCCCTCGTCAGGTTATAGTTTATCGCAACACCGCGTCATCATTTGATCACTTCCTTCCCATTCTAACAGAAATGATACAGTCATGTAGAAATTTGTTATAATTAATGCGTATGCTAGCAAAACAATATCGTTTTGTTTTTCCTTCATTGGGAAATACAAAAACCTTTATTTTAATGAGTAGAGATTAGTTGTCAGTAGGTATCTAGGAGACTTAGTTGTGCATGGGGAAAGGTTACCATCACCAACTCCTTGAACATACTGCACAAGTCTTTACAGTTGAAAGGACGTGTGCAGTAATTTCGAGATTTTAGTACTTTCATTGTATATTTTGCTAAACTGCTATTAACCCATGAGTAATCTTAACAATGCAAACAAAAGCGCTGATCATGCAATATAATATTCCATAGATTTATGTCCGTATGCAGTCATGTCAGATGCTTGTAAGAATTCATGTAGGGCACATGTAAAAGTGTATTTTAGTTAGTCATTTGACATCAAATATTGCTTATACGTTATAAATTTAGTCTCGCATTCACTCACTAAAGATCTCAATCACACAAATGCATGGCATTTTTGGGCTGCATTTTGTGTTTCACCAAAAGTTGGTACAGGTAAGGTCACTAAAACTAGTTTCTGATATCTTTTGAAGGTGAATATAGCACCATGGAATCTCGAGTAATGTAGCCTCAATTCAGGTTACTATTTGAAGTATTACATCCATTAAGAGAAAACAATGAAGCAGTTTCTGGCAAAATCTATGCAATCTCTAAGATTATGGAGTGAATCCACCTGATGTGGTTCATTTTACTGAATCTTAACAGCTTGAAAGCATTTGCACGACTCATCACGTCACACAAACCAAGTCTTAGGATGACAATTCTTGATTTTTGATCAGTATCTTACTTCGATAAGCCGTTTAAGTTACGTACCATGTTTCAGCCACATCATTAAAAATTGTTTGTAACCTGATTAGCTGTTCGGTCTTCCTAACCTAACATGCAGCCTTAAGTCTAAGTAGTACACTTTGTTATTCGACCACGCTTAGGCAATCCAATGAGGATAACTGGGTGGAAAAATGTTTAATCTCGCTTCACATGCGCCATTCTATTTCGGTTCATTTATGTTTTTTGTCTTGTCTCAAAGTACAGCAACACAAACTGGTAGATATTGTATAAGCCTCTATAGTTTTCCTTAACCAACGGTTGACTCACCCCTAGTCCAAAACAAAACAGGTGACATTCGATGAGTTGCCAAGTGGTATAGTGGTTTTTGTCACTCATTTTGAAGCTTTGTTACCAAGTCATTAAGGATGATGTCGTCTCCAAAATGAGCAACCAAAGTATCCAACCGCTTCAGTCTTTGAGGTGGGCATTTTATTACTCATCCTGGAATAGAAATAAATCAGCTGGTACACTGACTTTTCAGCGTAGAACTCTGCACAGAATACAGCACTTCAAGTTGTCAAAATTCCTGAAGCACACACGAAAGTGAAGAAATAAGAAATTCAGTCAAGCTGTCATAAACGGAAATGTGAGGTAGGAAGTAATACCATGAAGAGTGAAGTAGATTGTGAACATATTGGAATTCAAAAGGAGTGAATACTCAGTGTCATTTAAAACTACCTTGAGTCATTCCAATAAGTCTCCGGCCGGTTATCGCGCTCACGAGGACAATAGTGGGACATTCCACACCTGCCTACATGGCCCAAACCAAAATTCGAAGTCTTCATCGATTAGTACCATGTTTTGTTTTAACCATCAATTAACGCTTTTCTAATGGTTGTCTCACATCGAACACTACCAGCTGAGGAAGACTCTGTCACCAAATGCGTAACACATATCAGTAAAAACTTGGCATCAAAATACCACCATCTGGGTTTCAAATCCGTTCGATTTTCTTTGCTTGAGTGCCAATTTTCCACTGGGCTATGAAACCTATTAGTTAGGCAGATCCCGCTTCGATTATCACAAAGATACTTCTCTCCTTTCTTCTAAACTGGGAGAATCAATTATTTGCACAAGTCCAGCGGAACTATCTCACATCCCCACACATCAACTAATATTTTGCTTAGCCCTGTTAATAGTTTGTTACTACAATCCTTCAACATCCTCATGGTCATACCGTCGAGTCCTGCTGGTTTCTCTTGTTTTAGGTTAGACACAGCTTTTGCAACCTCAGTTACAGCTGAATGACTGATATCTTCTTCCCATTTAGGTAGATGTTGGATGTTGGTCAAATTTAGCGTGACTGTAGGCATGTTGGATTGCTTCTTAAAGTGTTCCAGAGTCCAAGTCGTCTATCCTGAAAGGTAATTAGCGTCGTCCTTCTTGGGAGTCATTTCACTAACCACTAGGTTTCTGTAACCCGTTTCCTTATGGATTCTGAACAATAGTCTGGTATTATCCACTTCTGACACCCTTCTCATTCCTCTTCCTTCTATTGCCCACTGTTGATCACTCGTTGCATAGTCTCTAAAATCCTGGCCTCAGTAATCATGCATAGACTAAGCAGAACTCGGGAGGAACAGACAAGGGAAAATCAAGCAGGCTTTAGACCAGGTAGAGGGTGCATAGATCATATCTTCACTCTTCGACAGATTCTAGAACATAGACACACTTTTCGGCGTCCAACAATTGTCATATTTCTCGACTTGAAGGCGGCCTTTGACTCCGTGGATCGAAAGGTACTATGGCAATGTCTGACTGTGAAGGGAGTGCCAAGAAAGTACATTGCACTAATCAAGGCACTCTATTCAAACTCACGTAGTCGTGTAAGGGCTTATGGGGAATTGTCATCTGAATTGGTAACAACCAGTGGTGTCCGACAGAGATGTCCACTTTCCCCATTTCTGTTTAACTTCATCATAGATATGCTGATGGAAGTATCCTTAACTGAACGTAATGACTTAGGAATCGACTTGTTACCAGGGAATAGTCTTATGGACTTAGAATATGCAGATGACATAGTCCTGTTAGGGGAGGATGCTGACAAAATGCAGAGTCTTCTGAACACCTTGAGCAGCAATCTTCGTATGTTTGGCATGCGATTCGCCCCTACAAAATGTAAGATGTTGCTACAGGACTGGACCACGTCAACCCCTAACTTAGTGATAGGGAGTGAAGTGATAGGACATGTTGACCACTTCACCTATTTGGGAAGTTGTATCAGCACCAACGGACTGATTGGCGATGAAATCTCAGCACGGATCCGAAAAGCTCTAGCTGCTTTCGCTGACTTACACCATCTCTGGCGTAGGCGTGACATTCGGCTATCAACCAAAGGACGTGTGTACTGCTCAGCAGTTCGCTCCGTCCTTCTCTATGGCTCCGAAACATGGCCAATACGAGTTGAAGACATGAAAAGGTTGACTGCTTTCGATCATAGATGTCTGCGATCCCTGTCTCACGTTAGGTGGTTTAATAAGGTAAGTAATGTTGACGTTAGGCGTAGAGTGTCATATAGCATGCAACCGGGTTAGAAGTTTGTTTGGGATTGGTTAATCCAGATGATATCGTCAGTCAGGGAAGTTCTTGATTATTGGTTTAGGCGATGTCTGTCTGTCTGGATTCAACATAGAACTTGCCACCGAAGTGCAGCAGTTCGAGTTGCCACGTTCCAAATAGCACACAGAAGTAGGCAAGAAGATGAATGAGGAGAATCAATAGAGTTTGACAAGTTTATTTATTTAAACGCATAAAAAACTTGGTACAATATGGCACCATGAAAGATGCGCCACACAATAATAATAAAACAACATAGATCAAAAAAAGGAAGGAAGGAAAAGAAAAAATATATATAAGTAGAGAACGGATAAAGAACTTCATCTGGAAGGAAAACAGTCATGCTTAACAAGTTCAAACAGTGTTCGTTAGCTAACATCAGGAAGGGAAGAAAGAAGGAGATCGCAACACATTTGACAAGTATAAGAGTGAAAATGAATGGATAATGGTAGAAAGGAATATGAAAGATTACAGAGACTGAATACATCTGCGCCATTGACAACGATTTTGAGCCATGTCACCTATTGTCTCCAGCCATTGATTCCTAGAGTCCCGAGGGCCCCAACCCGGGAGTCTGCATCTCCCTACCTGACTCAGTTTAACTGTCAAGGATTTCATGGATTGATGCCATGTTTTTGTTTGGCCACCACTGGCTCTTTTCCAACCTGAACCTATATCAGCTAGTAATGCCCGTCGGGGGAGGCGGTGGTTAGGCATGCGCAGCACGTGACCTAGCCATCTTAGTCTATGTAACTTTATAGCCTCGTCGATTGATTTTCCCTCTTTGCCCAACACTCTACGCCTAACGTCAACATTACTTACCTTATTAAACCACCTAACGTGAGACAGAGATCGCAGACATCTATGATCGAAAGCAGTCAACCTTTTCATGTCTTCAACGCGTATTGGCCATGTTTCAGAGCCATAGAGAAGGACGGAGCGAACTGATGAGCAGTACACACGTCCCTTGGTTGATAACCGGATGTCACGCCTACGCCAGAGATGGTGTAAGTCAGCGAAAGCAGCTCGAGCTTTTCGGATCCGTGCTGAGATTTCATCGCCAATCAGTCCGTTGGTGCTAATACAACTTCCCAAATAGGTGAAGTGGTCAACATGTTCTATCACTTCACTCCCTATCACTAAGTTAGGAGTTGACGTAGTCCAGTCCTGTAGCAGCATCTTACATTTTGTAGGGGCGAATCGCATGCCAAACATACGAAGATTGCTGCTCAAGGTGTTCAGAAGACTCTGCATTTTGTCAGCATCCTCCCCTAACAGGACTATGTCATCTGCATATTCTAAGTCCATAAGACTATTCCCTGGTAACAAGTCGATTCCTAAGTCATTACGTTCAGTTAAGGATACTTCCATCAGCATATCTATGATGAAGTTAAACAGAAATGGGGAAAGTGGACATCCCTGTCGGACACCACTGGTTGTTACCAATTCAGATGACAATTCCCCATAAGCCCTTACACGACTACGTGAGTTTGAATAGAGTGCCTTGATTAGTGCAATGTACTTTCTTGGCACTCCCTTCACAGTCAGACATTGCCATAGTACCTTTCGATCCACGGAGTCGAAGGCCGCCTTCAAGTCAAGAAATATGACAATTGTTGGACGCCGAAAAGTGTGTCTATGTTCTAGAATCTGTCGAAGAGTGAAGATATGATCTATGCACCCTCTACCTGGTCTAAAGCCTGCTTGATTTTCCCTTGTCTGTTCCTCCCGAGTTCTGCTTAGTCTATGCATGATTACTGAGCCTAGGATTTTAGAGACTATGTTCGTTAGGCTGATCCCCCTATGATTATCACACGAGGACTTGTTTCCCTTCTTGAATATCGGTATAATAAGTGACTTACCCCAGTCTGATGGAACTGTCTCTGATTCCCAGACTTTGCCTAGTACCTCAGTTAATCTACAAACTAGTATGTCACCCCCATATTTAAACACCTCCGGAATAATTCCGTCGGGTCCTGCCGCTTTGCCTCGTTTCAAATTACTGATAGCTTTTGTACCTCACTACAGACGGCGGACCAGTGTCTATATCCCATTCGGGTGTGTGTGGATGTTCGGAGGTTCAGTGTGGCTGTAGGCAAGTTAAATTGTCCTCAAAGTGTTCTTTCCAGCGTTCAAGGCGTCTATCCTGAGAGCTAATTAAGGAGCCATTTTTCTCAGAAATAGTCTCACTTATGAATTGCCTTCTCCCCCCGTTTCTGATGAGTCTAAAGAGTTGCCTAGTGTTGCCTATCGCCGATGCTTTTTCCATCTCTTTGCCTTTGTCACCCACCACTGTTCACGGTCCTTGCGGAGACTTTTAGTAAGTTTCCTTTTGTGCAGCTTTCGCTCCTCATTGAATTCGGAGCTCGCCGGAATAAGTCTTCTAGCATCTATCAGTTCGGATGAGGCAGTCGAAATCCAGTGGTTTTTACTCACCTTTGGATTTGCCTTATTCACAGCTTTTACAGCTGTATCTATAGCTGACTGAATATTCTTCCAGGCTTCTCCAGGGTGAGCACAGCTGTCGAACACAGATATGCGTTTAGCTAGTTCTTCCTCAAATAGGGATTTAGTTTCCTGATCGAGCTGGGGACGTGATGGTTTTACCGCCAGCTGTTTCCTACGTCCGTTCAGTCGTAAGCACACACGAGCCCGGACCAGTGCGTGATCGGTATCTACACACGTGTTCCAGAAGGAGCGACAATCTCCTACCGACCCACGCCAACGATAGCTTATTGCTATGTGGTCTATTTGTGTCCAGCGTTGGTTTGATGATGGGGGTCGCCAGGTTAAACAGTGTCTCTCCTTGTGTTTAAAGTTAGTGCTTACAAGAAACAAATGATTATCTGAACAGAACTGTAGGAGACGGTCACCGTTGTCGGTTCGCTGGCACGGAACTCCATAGGTGCCACCGACATCCTTCTCAGATTGACACAATTTCCCTACTTGAGCGTTAAAGTCACCAGCTAGAACGACTATATCTGAGCGTTTAGCCTTTCTCACCAAACTAGACAGCTTTTGGTAGAACTCATCCTTCGTTTCATCCGAACTGCAGTCAGTGGGGGCGTAGGCGGAGATTACGAAAAGGCATCGGCGAGTAGTGCAGTCCTTTCTCCTTCTTACTGATCCGTTCAGACGGACAGCACACATTCGGCTATCTACCGGGATCCAGTCAAGTAATGTCTTTTCTGCCCTAGTACTCAAGCTATCCCTACGCCAGCTAATCCTCGTGAACTAGCTGTGGCATCTCCTGACACCCTCAAGGTGAATTTTGAAGATTCATCCTGTTGGCCAGGTGGGGTTAGGTGAATAACCACACTTGGGTCTTGTATGCGTGTTTCTGAAACACAACATACATCAATGGCTCGGATGCCAGGGTCTTAGCTAGTGATGCTTGTTGTCCTATTTGGCAAAGTGTCCTAACATTAAATGCTCCTATATGAAATTGGTGGCGTGGCTTTAGGAGACTATCCGTGGTGGTTTTTTGGCTTTCGTCGTTTTTAGTGGACACAGAGTGAAGAGGGAGTGAGGAGCCATCAAGTAGAGGAGTTGCATCAGTGGGAGGAAGGCAAGGCAATGGAGATGAAGACAAAGATAAGTGAGGATTAGAGAGGTTTTGTGTGCATTTCGGATTGTGAGGGCGTTTGTTACTTCCCGGCTGCCCACACCGTGGAAGTTGGTTGCGTGACCGCAGAGCCCAGGGGACAACTGCTTGAGGCCGGTCACACGCGGCCTGTTTTTGTTTGTTCTTTTTGTTTGGCGTGTCTCAGTAGCATACTTATCACTCCTGCCCTGTGACACGGCAGCAGGAAGCGCGGTCGTTGTTAATCCGGGCCACGGCCGATCCGGCATGAAATTTTGTGAATTTGTTTGAATCATGGTATTGGATGGGTAGCTGCTTTTTGTTTAACCGCTATCCAAACAACCTGCCTGGCATGGTAGAACCTCAAGAGACATAAGTCTCAGCCAGTATAGCTTGATTAGGTCATTGCGGTGTTCAAGCCCGACCACCACGTCAAGGTAGCAGCTTTCGGTCGGGTTTAAGCGATGTACGGCGGTATGGATTTCCTGGCTGTCGACCCCGAGTTGGTAATACCTTTTTATGGAGGATTCTCACTGGGATTGCTCAGTATCGTTCCTAATGACACAGTTTTATGCACCCTTTGTATTTTCCGAGACTGAATGTGTCCTGCTGTTTCTTCATACACTTACTATTTTTCTCGTATATTTCTGATTACACTTTCTTGGAATTTTCGCTCTCTTATATGTGTTGCAGGTTTCGCTTCGTCAGAATGGATGGTTTTTGATAAATCACATCTTTCACTTCGACTGGAAATCACAGCTAAGACCTTGTAGTTTTGAAAACACTTTGGTGCTATCATAATACTTTTACCATAAGCAGTATAACGTCTCCTATCGTCTTTCAAATACTAATGGTATTATTTTTGTGTGTGATGAAGTTTTGATGAAGACAAGCATTTTTATTCTAGTTGATTCTGCTCCCTTCGCTTAGTGGGTAGACAGCTATTAGCCCTAACAACAAACGAACACAATTATTATTTGGTGTACCGCCAGCCAGCAGCTGTTGGTAGGAGAAAGCTTCCTTTTTTTGCTAGAGTTGTTGTAAATGACTCCTATTTTAAGATGTATTTAGTGCGTCGTTTGGGGACTTTTCGATTTATGTGTATCGGTTTTGAATTCTTGCTATAATATCACATAATTCGTTTTGTTGTAGTATGGTTGGTTTATTAATTCCTCAAATGAAATCACCTGCACAAATCTAGTAAAAAAAGCATGAATAAAGTGATCCTCTTGTAAATTTTACTATCTTCAGGGGTACCTCGAAACATACTTTTGGTGTTCCGCATAGCGCGAAAGGATATCTGCTGTATGCCTAGCGTCTAAGGTACCACATCATGAAGTCCAGTAAAGGTAAGCCTCATCATTATCTCCGAATTTCTCGACATGTTAATGAATTCTTATGGATAGTGCGTAACATAAATTTAATTTAATAGTATGTATTAATATTCCTACTCTATTCTGTTTCGCGAAATCCGAATGAAACAAATACCATCTTAATGTATTTCAAGGGACTTTAAATTTATTACAGAGTTTTGGTTTTGTGTATTGATACAAATAGAATTTAAACGGCATGATTATACTGTAATTTTCGTAACATAATTTTTTGTCAATTTTTTAAATACTATTGCTAATTATGGAATCCCAGGGTCTTCTAATAAACTTGACTGACTATGTGGGATTACTTGAATATCTATCCATGAAAACGTTTGTTTTTCCCTTAATGAGGATAAAATCTCACATACCATAATAAAGATATATTTTTGTTGACTCTTGTCACCTAAAATGAAAGTGGAAGTCAAAATTTCTTTCAGCTGAATGTTATATGCAATAGTGTTTTTCAAGTGATTTAAAAGCCTGCAAACTACATGTATTTGATCAGTGGGAGTGAAGACATCCCTGATATGCGGTGAGTGAGAATCACATAATTTATGTACTAAGTATTAGATGGAAAAGACGCATAAGTGCATTAAATTTGTGAATATTCGAATAAAATAATTGATACATGTAGTAAGTACATCCACACACTACTTCACTTTAACTCATTGTATAATGTTAGAGTAGAATTTAAGCTGTAAGAAGAGTGGTTAAAGTGAGATGGCTTTTTGAATTCTTTCTGAAGTACCTGAAGTAGAACATTATCGCTACGTGATCCCAGAGCCCAGGGAATAGCTCTTTGAGGCTAGTCACACATTGTCTGTTTGGAGTTGTCTGTACGAAAACTTTACGATCAAGTCAGAATGTACAATTTTCGGCATCGATATTTTGTAATCCCCCCAGATCGGAAAGGTAGCATACTTGGCTTGCCGCTTGTCCAAGAGAAACACCTAAGTGCTGTTACATTTCCTATTCACTTGTTGTACGATTTCGACTTCACACCTCCAACATAGTGACTTACACTATGACGGTAGCTGCTTTTAGTCTAATCGCTATCCAGACGACTTTTGTGGGATATGACCCCTGCAACATCAGCCACATATTTCGCTGACTATATACTTAAGTAATCAAAGAAACTATTGAAATGATGCGCTGGTATATCATTTCATAAGTTGTTAAGATTTGTATGATTAAATTGTATCACACAAATACTTATAAATATAGTCCTAATGAACATGAAAAAGGTCAAAGTTTAATTCATATCCTCCAATTCATGTATTGGTGTCTTTAAAATATACTTTAATTTTTTAGATTCGAATGGATCGCTCCACCTAGATTCAATACCAAATAAAGCAGTCAGAGAGAACTGTGGTGACAAAATTAATAAGAGGAATACTGTTATTGGCAATATGTGTCATGCAGTTGTAAGTCAAAAGCCTACTAATGAAATGAAAGGGAAGTTAAGTGATAATAAAAATACATCGTTTTCTACCACTGAACTTTCAAGTCTTTCCAGTCCTCCCAGAACAAGTGAATGTACCCATAAACCTAGACGATCGCTCGTAGACTGGGATAGTTTTATAAATTTACCCAAAAAGCAACGAAATCTCTCTTTTAGAACTGGCGATCCATCTCGATCAGTACTCACGAAAACAACACCACCCGCTCTCACATCCCCAGTTAAATTGAAGCAGGATTATGATAAAGATTGTGTGTTACCTGTAAAAACAAATGATTCGACGGGGAAGAGTCCGTTAACGTCACCCAGAAGCAGTTCACTACAAGACAAGCCATGCTCGCCTAGCAGTCGTTCATCTTATGATAAAAATCCTAAGAGGAATGCTTTTGCAAAGAAAGAGGACTTACCTTATGCATTTAAATCAGACCGTATCTCACCACCGTTTGTAACGAAAAAGCCTACTGAATCTAAAAAACATAGGCTGTCTCTTTTTACCGCTGACCTCACCAACTGTATATTACTTGCAGATGGAAAAGATGTAAAGTCTCAAAAAGGAAGTCATGAACAAAATCATATTTACTCCAGTGATTCCAAAAAAAGGAAGTTATCCCCTTCAGTTTTTTCTTGTAAAATGAAAAAGTCATCCTCAATTTTAATGAAAGGAAGTCAGTGTAATGGTTTGCTGTCAACTAACTCCCATCCTGATAAAAATGTAAGTTATTTTGTACAATTCGTACATCCTTTTAAACTGTTTATGGTTCGGCTTTATTCCATCAAGTATTTCATCCTTCGAGTGTTTACTTGCTCACTCTTATTTGCTAATTTAATATATACGAGCATAAATTCTCATTCATGAAATTTTATTGCGTTGCCCCTTTTCTTTGAGATTACTCCCTTTACTAATCAAGAATCTTAGGATACCGCGGTAAAATCTTTTTAAAGTGTCTACTATGCGGTAAGGTCTTCGATGTATCCTAACAGTAACATAACATTTCAGATCATCATCAGTTGGGGAACTCTAAAAATCAAGTAGTTATAGTTTCAGCTGATTTCTCCTTTCTCCCGAGCGCCACTTGGTGTACACAGGATTAGAAAATCTACAGTTCCAGATACTATGTTGGTTAAGCCGATCCCACTTCGATTATCACAAAGATACTTCTCTCCTTCTAAACTGGGAGAATCAATTATTTGCAAAAGTTCAACGGAGCTATCTCACATCCCCACACATCAACTGATATTTTGCTTAGCCCTGTTAATAGTTTGTTACTACAATCCTTCAACATCCTCATGGTCATACCGTCGAGTCCTGCTGGTTTCTCTTGTTTTAGGTTAGACAGCTTTTGCAACCTCAGTTACAGTTGGATGACTGATATCTTCTTCCCATTTAGGTAGATGTTGGATGTTGGTCAAATTTAGCGTGACTGTAGGCATGTTGGATTGCTTCTTAAAGTGTTCCAGAGTCCAAGTCGTCTATCCTGAAAGGTAATTAGCGTCGTCCTTCTTGGGAGTCATTTCACTAACCACTAGGTTTCTGTAACCCGTTTCCTTATGGATTCTGAACAATAGTCTGGTATTATCCACTTCTGGCACCCTTCTCATTCCTCTTCCTTCTATTGCCCACTGTTGATCACTCGTTGCAAAGACTTTTAGCCAGCTTGCATTTGGGAAGCTTTCACTCGTCATATTCGGAGCTCTCTAGAATCAGTTTTCTTGCGTATGTCAATTCGGATGTAGTAACTGAAATTAACTGGCGTTTACTAACGTTTGTTTTAGGTTACTAACAGCGTTTCTTGCTGTGTCTAAAGTTGATTGGTATTATGCCAGGTTTCTTCAGGATGATATAAGTATAAAACTTGGGCACTGTGGTAGAGTATAATTCCATTATAGATAAGATTTTATTTTGATAAATCGCACAGTGTTTACAGTTATATGAACTGATGACGTTTCGAGCACAAACTATTGCTCATAATCATTTCAAGTTACTCACACAACTTTGATCTCTCATTTATATACATATGTGGAATGGATTAGATATTGGATTAAAAATCAATGTGAGATAATGTGCGATTTATCAAAATAAAATCTTATCTATAATGGAATTCTTCAGGATGAGTATTGCTGTCAGTCTGAGATACGTGTTTATTATTTTCTTTTAACTGGAGAGTTATTGTTGTCATCGAGTTAGATTCCACAGCAGCATCATATCTACCTGTTTTCTATGACCGTCCAGTCGTAGGTATATACATGCACGTAATGGGGTCCACGCAGGCAGCCCAGAAGTGACAATCTCGACTATCTCCATCGAGAGCTTGTAGCTACATGGTCTATTTGTATCCATCGTCGATTTGATGTTGGTCGGTAGTTGAGACAGTGGCTCTCCTAATGTTTAGAACTATTGTTGACTATGAGCAGATGATAATTTGAACAGAATTGTAAAAGGTGATCGCTGTCGTCGACATGGGATTTCATACTTCTATGGTTGGCAAAGCTTCCCACTTCACTTATTTGAGAATTCGTATCAGTCCTAATAGACTGTTTGCAGACGAAATTTCAGCATGGTTACAAACGGCTTGTGTGTCTACCGTTCTTCCATACTACTATTCTTTTTGCCTCACAGTTCTGTTTATTATCCCTTTTCTCTTGCTTTGTGTGCTACATGGAGTGTTGCGACTGGAACTGCTGCACATCTGTGCAAAGTTCTGCTTTGAGACCAGCCAGTCGGTGGCACTCATCCACTTACGTTATCAGTGGTGAAGATGTGATATCCGGCCACCGTTTGAATGACGTCTGTACTGGGCGGCAGTTCACCCTTTCCTTATTTATGGCTCTGAGACGTGACCGTTGAGAGGGGAAGGTATGAAGGGGCTAGCTATCTTTAACCATAAACGTTTTCGTTCTATCTTTCGTCTTATATGGTGTAGTATGTATATTCAGTAATAATGTCGTTAGACTAAGAGTGTTAGGTAAGGAGAGCAAGTCAATTGATGAGGTAAATTTACATGGATTGAGATAGCTAGCATGCGTGTTATGCATGCTACTCCGTTGACTGCTATAGGAAGTGGTTGAGAACTCTGTGTCTCCGTTAATGAGTTTGATGTGGTGGGTTTCTTACATCTTATCATCTGTAGATTGATAGGTCATGTTCTACGAAGCAGTTTATATCAGGTTTTTGTCGCATGCGTCGTTGGCATTTTGAGGGTTCCTTCTGCATGATCGCAGTTTAATTGCGAGTGATATTGTTCTTCTGTCTCTATAATTGTGTGACATGATGTTTCACAGCTACAACTACTTGTCTGTTTCATGAATGTTAATGGAATGAATTTGATCTTTTTTAGCGTACAAGGAAAAAGTTGTATGAAATCAATCAGTTTTACGAATCCCCATCAATGTTCCCTGCAACTTCTAGTTTAGTGGAGAATGTGGACGATGAAATATCAATTAGGAATGGTGTTATTTCTCCAGGGAATTACAGTCTTCTGAATGGACATTCAGGCGATGATTGCAAATCTCCGCAATACTCATATTCGGTTAGTGTTAATAGCTCTGTGGAGTGTTTTCTCCTTTTAGTTTACATGTTATTTATAAATTTTTTTATCTCGTTTAATTAGTTTCCCGTATATTATTTTGTGTTTATTGTAATTCTCTTTACAGATTTAGGAGGGTATGAGGCTAGCAACCCCATCCTGTAAAAATATACACTGCTACAGAAACTTCAAGCCACTAGCTTGAAGCCCTATGTTCCACTGGGAACGTTAAGGAAAAATTATTATTATTATTATTACAGATTTAGGCAATTCTATCCTATGGTGTTTGTATGAAGCAGAATTGGGTTGTAAGACAATTACAGATGGTCACATTTCAAGAACCCGAATATTTTGTCGGCTATTCTTGCAGGCGTAACTATAGGGATAAGTCTTGGGGCAATACACACTTCTCCTGGGTCTTAGTTGGTAGTCGCATCTGTTCTGTTCGGCTGTGTTATTGTTGGACCTGTGTGGAATCGTCACTTACACCAGTGTGATCGTGTAGTCCTTGTCTATGCTACCGTCGTCTGCAGCTCTGACGAATTTCCCAAGACCTTTTTGGTCTACAATAAAACGCCAGCCATCTTAAAGTACTAGTACCACGGGGAGATTTTAGTGCTATTAGGAAGGATCTCAGGTCCTACCTTCAAATTCTTGGACTCAGCAATCTTATAATAGCGATCACCTGTTACAACTTTGTCTAGATAATTTTGTGTTCTTAGACTTAAGGAGTGGCACTGTATGACTAAACAGACGACTTCCTGGCTCAACTCTAAATTCACGCAGACCATGTCGCTACCGACTACCCTTGGGAGTGAAGTAGAACACTTCTGTTTCATATGAAACATGTATTGGGTTAGTGAACATACTCTGGTCCGTGTACACCTCTGTCTGCTTTGTGAGACCTTTATAAGCTCAGCTTGATAGCAGAAATTTTATGAGTGCAAGTAAATGGGAATTCATAAAGTATTAGTCACAGCAACTCTATACTTTCTGATCAGATTTAGTTTCATTTTCATTATTCAGTTGAAACGCTGATAGATACTTTTTGTGGTTCTAAAAACGATTAAAACGGGCTTAAATTTATGAGTGACTTTCGTAGCAGGGTCAGAAGTGATTACCTTTGGTTTATCTCAATCACTGATCGTTGCAGCCTTTCAGAGAGGAGAAAAATCCTACTTTGTTGATCACACAAAAACAGGCTACATTATTTTAATTTGTAAAATCCTTGCGTTCATAATCTTATGACAAAACTTAAAAGTACATGAGGCACTTTTAAAAATTGGTCAAAAGTGTGTCACATCAACACTTGGAAATTAATCTAGTGCTTATTGGTAACTAACAACAGGATGAAGTGCTTGGGTTCCTGGTGTGAAGTCGTGACTGTTCGGGGACACGAAGTCCGGATGCAAAGACATGTACTCGTCGGGGATATTGGCTGGAGGTGGCGCTATATATCTCTATTTAGCGGATGTTTGGATTCATTGTTTGTTGGATTCTGTCTCAGTGGCTCGCCTCATAAGCTGAAGGTCTCTGGGTTTGTTCCTGGTGGCGGCATGATGGACGCGCCTTGCTAGAGAGTCTTAATTAGACTAGGACGAAACAAGTGTTCAGTATATCCTAGTTTTCAATAGTTCTCTAACCGAAGTCAGTTCGTTATCTAACTTGGAAAGTGTATCGATTTGGTGTTCACCTTTCGTTAGATCTTGGAATATGCGTACACCTGGCACCCAATAGCAGCTTTTCTCATGACTTAAAGATTCCTTTTTACTCTGTCAGAGTTATTTATGTTGGCATTTTTCACTAAAAGAGGTACCTGTTGAATTATTTTATTTGGAACTCACCTGAAAAAGTTCTTTCATATACCAGAATGAGGCATATTTGTTGATGATACTACTGAATTACCCAAACTGAAGTAGGTGGAACAAGCTACGAACTCAGGAACGTTGGCTGTATTCCATTCTTAAACCAATCATCCAAATCTTTACGGTTAATTACCTCATTTGGCCTCATCTAGGACTCTCTATTCGAAAACTCAAGGTAGGGGTTAGAGTCCTTACACTCTTTTTCTTGTTTGGTCTTCGTTGTCTGGAAATTTTTTTTCATGTTCCAGGTTATAAGTAACATCTGTTATTGTAGTGCTTACTTACCCCGTTCGAATTATGTGGAACAGGGTCCGAGCCCAGGTCTCGTTGGCTAAATGTCTAGTCTGTGATGGGTTATTCCGTTAGGACTCTGGCTAGTGTTCTCCCAGTTGATATCAGTCTCTACGTTAAATGAAATTTGTAACTTGTAGACTTACCAAGATCTCACAGGCCGTTCTTTAGTTGACATAGAGTTCGCAGACAAGGTACACAACTCTGTAGGTGCTCACTGCTCAAATGTATATTACCATTTCAGTTTGTTGACCATTTAAATTATCTGGGGGCTCTCGTCAACTTTGATGCTTGACAAATTCTCGATGTGAATGCTGAATGTCTGCCTGGCCTTCACCAAATTAAGCCACTTATTGTACAGGGGAAGTTATATGACTGCTAACTGAAGGTCGATTATGCTGCTCAGAAATTCTTTTTGTCCTCTTGTATGACGCGAAAATGGCCACTAAAGAAAAACCACAAATAATTCAAGTTCATGACCATCTCTCCCTCTGTAGATTTTCCATTGTTAACTGACTTCACCACATGAGTTATGCAAAAGTGAGAAGTAGATTCCTAGACAAGATGAAAAAGTTAGTTTAGAAAGCTGTAAATCTCTATTCTCAAATGAATGGGACGTGTGTTACACATCCCTGCCTATCACTTATCCTAAAATACTTCCTTTTTAGGAGCACGATTAAGTTGGAAGGAAGTAAAGAGTACGGTACTAGTTCATGAGGTTCTAAGCTGTGTTGGGTGTTCTAGGTTAATTGACTGTATTCCACATAAGAATAGGAACCTTAGTGTGACTAGACCTTAGACTACATAGATTAGAAGAGATCTCAGTAAAACATAGGCATTCATGCTTTCGCTTCATCGTGGTTATTTTTTTAATTTCATTTTGTGTCTTATCTTTTATTTTTACCGTACTTGTTTTATTTTGTTTGGTGATTAAAATAAGAGTGAGTGCATTAGTATTACTAGAGTCGTTTCGAATTCATACTATTTGGAGACTTTAATCACCAATCTTAGTTGTATTGTACTTTGTAACTGTACTTTCTCTTTTGCGATATTCAAACTCTAAATCGGCTGGTGTCATTTCTACATGTACTGTACATATTGTTTCTCAGTATTTTTGAATTTATATTCAAATTATTGGCTTATATGAACTTTTTCGGTCCACTTTCATTTATAGAAGAAATCAACTGTTCCTGCTTCTAATGATTCAAAATTGAAATCAGTCACTCCTCCTTGGGCTACTCGCAGTACCTTTAGTGATGATGATAGTTCAATTAAAATAGTTAATACTACATCAGACAATACATCACCCTCTCAAAATAAAGATTTAAATTCTTCAAAGCATCATTTGTCTTCAAAAATACATCCTTCTAAGGTATGTCTAATATTTCCCCCTCTTTTTATAAATTTAAGTCTGCTCTAATCTATTTACTTCAAAGTTTGACTTCAGTTGTATAAGAATTTGTAAAATTCAAACTCTCGTAAACCACTAGTCGAGATTCGTTTGTTCAAACTATTAAAATTCATGTGCATTTTAAAAATACTGTATAATGTTTGTCTGTTAGTATCTGATATGTTTCTAAACTATTCATATAGGTTAGGGTAAGTGTAGTCCACTCACTCACAATCTTGTGTTTGGATGGATTAACAACAATATGGAATAAGGATAGTTTACTGAATTTTCCCTTAGATGTTTTGAATTCATCTTATTCTGATTTAATCTTCGGAAAAAGATTAATTACCCTCGACTTCATCCGACCGATACTTACGCATTGTATTATGTTTCTCCTCCAAAAATATTGTGTGATATACTTCCTCAACATTCATGGATTGATTACAGGATTTTCATCATGAGCTGACATCAGTTAGGGAACCACTGGAAAACCTGGGAGTACTGGACAGCTGTTTCGTCCCAGTTTGGGACTCTTCAGCAGTACGCAACCACCGCCAGGGTTCGAACCCAGGACCTTCTAGCGAGATCATAGACTATTAAGCCAATGGGACCCGATCTAATGGCCCACGAATTCTAACTTCTGCCAATTCACGACACAGTGCGACCCCAGCCAATGTCTTCGGGGAGTATTTGTCCTCACACCCGACCTTCTGCACCCTACTGGTCACGACTTCTCACTAGAACCCCAGGTAACTACCTACCTGAATAGGGCCAGTCAACTCATGATGAAAACCCTGTAACCAATCAAATCCCTACAAACCAACACTTGAATATCAATGAGATGCTCACTAGCTACTGGCCCCATTCAGGTAGGTAGTTACCTAGGGTTCTAGTGAGAAGTCGTGACCAGTAGGATGCAGAAGGTCGGGTGTGAGGACAAATACTCCCCGAAGACATTGGCTGGGGTCGCGCTGTGTCGTGAATTGACGGAAGTTAGAATTCATGGGCTGACCTTTGGATCGGGCCCCATTGGCTTAATGGTCAATGAGCTCACCTTGTAACCAGAAGTCCTGGGTTCGAACCCTGGCGGTGGTTGCGTACTGATGAAGAGTTCCAAACTAGGACGAAACAACTGTCCAGTACTTCCAGGTCTTCCAACGGTTCTCTAACTGATGTCAGCTCATGGTGAAAATCCTGCAACCAATCAAATCCCTACAAACCAACACTTAAATATTCATGGATTGAACTGAGTAAGCTATTATTGCTACCTCTCCGTCTACAAGATTATGATCATCATATAGACATCAAGGTGAAAATTAAGCATAAATCTTAGAGATTATTATTGTTATTATTGCTCCCTTGGGTTCCTAGTGGAACATAGGGCTTCAACTGCACGTCTCCACTTGCCACTTCTGTCTTCCTCCTGCTGTACTTTTCACCTGCATCCATGTTAGTCCATACTCTTTCAACTCCTCTTCACACCATCTCCTCCATGTCACCCTTGCACTGACGTCCCACTCGCCGCTTCCCTCTCGGGTTCCACTCGAGGGCTTGACGCGCGATATCACTCAGCGGTCTCCTCAGCGAGTGTCCAATCCATCTCCACTTTCTCCTGCATATTTGTTGGTTGGCGATTGGTTCTTGTTTTGTTTGTTAGTTCCCATAGTTTCTTGTTAGTGATTCTTTCCGGCCCGGTCATCTGATTTTCAGTATAGAGCGAAGACAGTTGTTGATAAAGGTCTGCAATAGCCTGTTGGAAATATTCTTTGTGACCCGCCCGCCAAGTTTCTGATCCGTATAGAAGAACTGACTGACTTGACGTTGGTATTGAAAATCCGACCGAATTTTGTTGTTGATGCTGAGTAACGAAGATTTCCAGATTGGTTTCAGGTTGATGAATGTGTTTCTCGCCTTCCCGATTCTCGCTCGATTTGACATCGTCGTCCGTTCCGACTGCCTGTAGTTGAGACAATGCTCCCTAAATAAGTGAATGAAGTCACTAACCTCTTTCAAATTCATCCTGTTGATGGTGATTGACGCTGGATGTTGCTGTTGTTGTTATTGGTTGGTTAGTTGGTTATTTTCATCACCTCCGTCTTGTCTATGTTCACTTGGAGTCCTGTCTTCACCGGCTGCTTCTTCGAGCAGTTAGTCGGTTTTCGCTTGTAAGTCTTCGATTTTGTGTGACATCAAACATAAATCATCCACACGCAAAATCCAGGTCTTCTAGGTTCTTCGCGTCGGTCCAGGATATCCCTACCTTCTCGTTTCCCACTGTCTGATGCATAATCCAATCAGTTCACCACAATTAGGAATATCATTGGTGATAATAAACCAGCACCCTTGTCTGACTGACTCCTGTGTTTATTCCAAACGCCTCGCTGAGTTTTCCGTTGTGGATCACTTGACATGTGCCGTTGTCGTACAGCTGTTGAATAAGGTTGATGAATATTTGGGGTACGCCGTAGTACTCGAGTAGTTTCCAAATTACTTCACGATCAACGCTGTCGAAGGCCTCAACGTTTATACAGTTGAGGTAGAGGTTTGATTGCCATTCCATGCTTTGTTCTGTGATGATGATTCGTAGAGTTGCAATTTGGTCAGAACATGATTTGCCTTTCCTGAATCCAGCTTGTTCTGGTCTTAGAGATGATTATTCCTAATTTTCTAATACACTTGCTATCAATATCATAATGTATTTAAAGTAAATGTATTCTTAAAAACAATCAGTCATTATGTTTTCTGTATTTTCTTTTTACTTTGTTGTTTGTTGTGTATCAATAATTTTCAACTTAGTGAGGAAAATAAAACTATTATTACATACAAATCGTCATTTCTAACACATTTTACGCTTTTTTAAACTTTCAGTTAACGGAAAAAGATGTTTGGCACAACTACAGACCTCCTCATAATGGACCTTATACATGTTCATTTTGTGGTCAAGTGATTCATAAGCGATCGAATTTTTCGAAGCATCTGCTTACTTGTAAACCTAGATTGAGCATCGTAAGTCAAAATGCATTTTACAAATATGAATCGTACAATTTACGGATCCAGTGCCCTTCTGTTTAAAATACCTTGAAACGTACTTAGTGTTTAAGGAGAAAGTTGATGTACGATTTAACCTCTTGTTTGGAAATGAAATGCTCAAGTCAGTGGTACACATATTCACAAAGCTTAATTTGTTAGTGAAGCTAATAAGATTGCTTATTTGGTTGAAATGGTGTACGGTGTTTCAGCCAAGCATCTGTCATTTTACGAATTAAGGTGAACTGTGATGGTTGTGTTCTTTCCTGTTTAGTTCTCGCTATGTTTTTCATTTTGATTTGAAGAGCAGTTAAGTCAAAATGTTGTTTATAGCCAAGTTTAACATTTTGCATTTATTCAGGTTGCAAAGATCGACGACTATGAATCTTGCCTTATATGAGTCTAAACTAAGTTTGTTTTATCTTTTGTTACATTCCGGAGAATAAACATCACCACACTGGATTATTCTGCCGTATAATGTCTTCTGTAATAGTCGATTACAGAGAAAATTACTTAAGTGATTGCATCTGTAATTGTAATTTGTAATGATAAGAAGAACAAAGCAAAGCATGGCAGTGACAAGTAATAAATCTGTCAATTTTTGGGATGTCATAATTCATGGTCATTGGATGATTCTAGTCCAAATGACTAAATTGCTGACTATCTTGATCTCGTAACCTGAAGGCCCCGCGTTCGATATGTGGTGGAGACATGGGTGTGCACGGGTGAAGAGCCTCAGGTTGTGACGAAACAGCTATTCATTGCTCGTTGGTTTTCAATGTTATCTAACTGATTTCGGTTTATGATGAAATCTACATTCAGATTTTCAGGAAAACAAGTTTTAATCAGTTAAAAAAGAGCAAATACACTATACCTTTTCCATATAAATAGACAAGCTTGTTCGATTTTTGAATATTAGAAGCTATTCATGAATGTTATAACCTTAATAGTAGGCAACTTCTTCGTTTTATATTTCATAATTTTGTGCTCATCTTATACGATAGTATTTTCGAATTTGAAGTATCTTCAAGGATATTAAAACTGTTATCTTATAAAATATTTCATGTAAATTGTACGTTGTATGATTTGGTGAACCAAATTTCCCTTAGAACCTTTCTTGCCCCATTTTGGCTACATAACATTTAATTTTAGTTCTGCATAAATCTAAGTGAAAAAATTGTGCCCACTACTTTAAAAGGAGTGCAGAGAGTTTTGGAGATGTGATTGTGTATTGCATTACTTATTGTGTACACCAAAGTTAATTATCACTAGTTTTGATACGAAGCGCCAGATTAACCTACAATACTGCATATACTGTACTTGTAGTTTCTCATTTAATTTGTATAAGATATTTTGTGTGATTTTAGCAACTACTATCAATTCACTGCAAGAAATACCATGTGTACCGATATATATATATATATATATATATATATATATATATATATATATATAATAACCAATTGGAAGTTTTAGATATTTTCAACAGTTAGCTAGTAGGGATTCAATTTGTTTCCAGTTTGATTACGGATCGATATCACTTAGAGAACCATTTAAATCCAGCAGGGAGTACTGGTCAGCTGTTTCATCCTAGTTTGGGACGCATCGGCAGTACACACTCACTGGAGTTCGAACCCAGGACCTTCTAGTCACAAGACAAGCTAGTAGACCATCAAGCCATTGGGACCTGTTTTAATGAACCATTAATTCTAACTTCTATTAACTCGTGATTTTATCACGATTACCAGCCAGTGTCATCTGCGAGCATCTGTCCTCCCTCCTAGTAGTCACGACTTTTCACTGGAACCTCAGGCGACTTCGTTCTGAAGCCAGTAACTAGCGAGCACTGGATTAATATTTATTTATAAATATAAATATATGTATTGATATAATAATGTGCTTCGATGGCACAGCGGTTAGGACCGTTGCCGACCATGCACATGGTCTGGGGTTCTATCCCCTGTCGACGCACACCTGATATCAGTCGTCGGCCTGCAAGATTTGGGCTGCCGATATCACATGCTGAAAATTCCATGCTTGTACCAAAAGTACTATGTGGAACCAAGCTATAATCAAAAATAAAATATTTATTATACTCATACTATGGAATCTTTTTCCGTATGACAATTGATGTTATCAGTGATCCAACAGTCTATGAAATAACTTCACAGTTGTTGTAACATACATACTATGAGTTTTTATCATTACAATTTTGGTCTAGTGTTTGCATATTCTGTATTTCTCCCAGAATGACACCGAAAAAATGAAGTCCTTATCGCAGAAGAAGAAGCAGAAACTTCATTCTTTGTTGAAATCCTGCAGTAAAATGTCATCAAAATCAGATGATGTTATGAAACGTTTAACCAGACGTATACTGTTGCATACTGCAAAAAATAAGGTATCCATTAATTTTTACATTGAGATTATTACTATTATTTACTCGCATAAGTGTATAATGAGCATAAGGCTTTAATCGCATCTCATATCATTCTGACGGTTGTATCGCTCATCGCATTTGATTCATCGTCTCCAAAGTTTCTAACATCAATAAGGATGTCATTTTATCATACGTTTTATTTTGTGTCCCTTCATTTCCGCAAGTAAGGTTGGGACTGGTTAGTACTGAAGTCTCAAAAAACAGAGTCACTGGGTTTTTAAATTTGTCTTGTGGAAAACATTTTTCTAACACCAACATTTTCCCCCATACTTTCCTTTTTCTCCTTTTTTTTCTTTTCCGTCCCCAGTGGAATATAGAGCACCAAGTTATAGGCTTAAAGTTTCCGTAGCAGTGGTATTTATTTCTATGGCATGCGGTTCCTAGCCACATGCCCGACCCTCCCTCTTTACCAGTCTTCTTACTGGCTCAGCAAGGGAAGAAGTGTGTAGGCCCAGGATCGAACCCAGAACCATTTGCGTGGTTGGCGCGCATTCCAGCTCTGTGTCACCTATATATTAACAGTTTTTATATACGCCTTTCAAAACTGCAAGAAAAGAATAATAGGCATGTGATCACTGATATCGTTATCCTGATGAATCGGTGATTTCGAGTTTCAAGTGGTCGTCCCAGTAAAGAAACACCAGTAAATAGATGAGCATATCGATCTTCGAACAAGTAGTAATTTCAGACACATATTGAACATTTCCACCCTCTTCCTTCCTCCAGCAACAATCACCGCAGTCGTTTTCTCTATTTCACGGAAAGATGCACTCATGAGGCCAGGTTGCTAAAGTGAAGGGAATCCGAAGTGTATTTGAGTAACTGGCATTATGAACATATCAATCATTAGTTGGAGAAACTACAAACACAACCTAACATCATTTATTCATCACCTTTCTCACCTGTCTTCACTTAAATGCTCTGTACCCACTAATGTGTGTCCATTATATTACTATATTACTGAGGTATTGTTAATCATCAACGACTTGTGATTGGTGATAAGATACACCAACTGTGTGAAGGGTGGTTATAAATACCACCCGAGGCTGACCAAACGTGGGGGTACGTGAAATGAGGTTCGAATCCGTTACCCATTGGCTGGAAGTCGAGCCCCCAGACCGATAAGCCACATCTACACGTGTGTTGATTATAGAATCATTGTGTTTCTCACAGTATGTCGTTTCTCATAAAATGACTAATAGACTGTTAGTCATAGTGTGTTTGTATTCTATAACATTGTGATTGGTTGTAATGTTTATATTTTATGATACTTTTTGCACATATAGAAATGTGATACATCCGTCAATCATGTGATGGAGAATTCGTCTTATGAAACCTCTGATATATTCTCAAGTCATGATGATACGAAAGACGTTTCATCCTGTATAGAAAGCTCTCACAAAAGTTGCCTACCGACACCGATAAGATCAGTGTGTGACACCAATGAAGATTTTAGTGATATATTCAAGGTAGGCGATTTCGTTTAACATGCACTAGTTGTTTGTGACAGCTTCCTTTTCTCTATGGATTTTGTTGTTAAAGTGTTGCTTAGAGCTGTTCTGATAGTTTATTTATTTGTATATATGTATACGTGTGTGTGTGTGTGTTTAGGCATCCTTAGTGTAGTGTGAATCTCATTTTGTGGTTTGAATATTTTGGTTTCGAGAAGAAAGCATGATGAAATGTTACAGGTGAATAGTAATTAATTGTGTCAGTTGTAGGATGCACTGAGAATCACACGAATAGTAAGACCGATGTGCTGTGTTTTTTATACTCCAGGACTCAACAACTCCTACGACGTCTAAAATGAAAGCTTCACGTGACCTCGAGAATGAACGGAGTGTTAGTGAGCACAAGTCAAATGAATCCCTGGACGAAGATAATGATTCATCAGTTCGTACACTGAGGAGAACGCGTGTACGCGAGATGCGAACGTCTACCGATAAAGCAAAGGTTTGTTGAATTATCTTATTTTGTCAAATGTGTTAGATGGCTTTTACAGACAACTTTAATATCTATGTAATTATATGAAGGATGGGTTGCAATACTTGTATTTGATTTGTTATTGTGTGTTTGTTAGATGATACGTCGTACTTCCTCAAAGAAGTTGTCGAAATCTGAAACAATGTGTAGTCCGTCTTCAAAGGTAGCAGAGGAACAGTTTGATTTTACTGGTTCCGATACTACTAGTGAATGTTCACGTGCACAGATAAGTGAAGACAAGCCAGAGGACAGTAATCGAGTGAGTATTTTATTTTCGATTATCATGTAGTTGGTTGTTATGATGTAAGATGTGTTTGAGATATTTGATATAGTAGGGTATTACATGGATATATTTACTTTGTGATATATTGGATAGATTTTCTTCTCTGTATTCATATTTGGCTATCCGAAGAACTTTGAGAATTGAAGGTGATGAAAAGGAGTTGCTTGATTAGTGAATCTTTTGTGTTAAATCTGATGTGAAACATATGTAGTTGGATGAATCAGTAACTGGTGAATACATTTGCTAAAGGACCAAATACTCTTTCGTAAGTCTTTGGATGTTATGATAAAATCACGGATTCCTATGCCTGTGGATGATGACACTCAATGATGATTGACATCCACCGTGTCGAAAGGCTGTCTTGACATCTCAGTTACTCACACGCTGATTCAATACAACTCACACAGTAACACAGTAAGCGGTTGCACAGAGTCGCTACACATCCCCACCTGTTGAAAGAACGTGGAAGACTGCACTCATTGAGGCAACGGGACGATTATTCTGTGAGCCTAGACGGCTGACCTATGGATGGAAGTCCCCAGTCAGACATACGATTTCTATTTGACTCTGCTGTTTCTAAAACTCTATCTTAGTCAACAGTGAAACTCATCCTTATTTGAATTGAATCTGCAATGCGTTGGTTCATTCGTGGAGATGACCTAATGGGCGCTGCTTCCCTAGCTGAATACTTCTTATTCTCGTAAAGCCGTCTAAGCTCACAACAGAAAAAACGACTGTTATTGGGGATCCAATCGAGTAATGGGGCTTTGGTTGTATCTCTTAGTGCTACAATGATACTAGCCACGCTGAATCCCGACGCCACAGGTTCCCTGAATAAGCACAATTGGTACACACTGAACTTTCGTATGGAGAAGATAATTGAGGCATTCACCGAGATCTTGAATGCGGGTTTCGGAAACGCCGAAGACATCGATGGTGAGACTTTCTAATGTTATAGCCAGGCCTTGCTGTTTTCCTATTTGCATCAGGGTGCGGACTCTGTAGGTGGCACAAATGGGTTAAGATTTCAAACGAAAGTGAGACCGCCAAAGCAGGTAAAAATAAAACGCAAATGTTTATATGTAAACATCTGTAAAAATTTATAATTGTAAAATCTCGGTGAGACTGAAATGAGTAATTCCAACGTTTCGTTCGGCAATATGGTCCGAACTTCTTCAGGGAAATTAATCAAAGTTAACATAACAGAGGTCTATATATAAAAGAAACTCCCTGTTTTTTAAAACTTTGTCCAATCATGATACATAAAACATGTATTAACAAGCATAATAAACAAAATTATATGAGCTCTGATCAAAATTTGACCTTGGACTTACAAATATTGGTCTACCTTTGTTAAACACTTTAAACAGAGTGTGCATGCGTGTGTGGGTAAACAGTTGTAAAACATTTCTTAACGTATTCATAACAAGATATAGACAGTCAGGAATTTTTTTCAAGTATTATTAATTAGTGATACATATCCACTTTTTATTTGTTAATCAGGATTTCCTATGCATTTCATATAGGAGCTCTTAATGTTAGGACACTTTGCCAAATAGGACAACAAGCATCACTAACCAAGACCCTGGCATCACGAGCCATTGATGTATGCTGTGTTTCAGAAACACGCATACAAGACCCAAGTGTGGTTATTCACCTAACCCCACCTGGCCAACAGGTTGAATCTTCAAAATTCACCTTGAGGGTGTCAGGAGATGCCACAGCTAGTTCACGAGGATTAGCTGGTGTAGGGATAGCTTTGAGTACTAGGGCAGAAAAGACACTACTTGACTGGATCCCGGTAGATAGCCGAATGTGTGCTGTCCGTCTGAACGGATCAGTAAGAAGGAGGAAGGACTGCACTACTCGCCGATGCCTTTTCGTAATCTCCGCCTACGCCCCCACTGACTACAGTTCAGATGAAACGAAGGATGAGTTCTACCAAAAGCTGTCTAGTTTGGTGCGAAAGGCTAAACGCTCAGACATAGTCGTTCTAGCTGGTGACTTTAACGCTCAAGTAGGGAAATTGTGTCAATCTGAGAAGGATGTCGGTGGCACCTATGGAGCTCCGTGTCAGCGAACCGACAACGGTGACCGTCTCCTACAGTTCTGCTCTGATAATCATTTGTTTCTTGTAAGCACTAACTTTAAACACAAGGAGAGAGACTGTTTGACTTGGAGACCCCCTTCGTCAAACCAACGCTGGACACAAATAGACCATATAGCAATAAGCTATCGTTGGCGTGGGTCGGTAGGAGATTGTCGCTCCTTCTGGAACACGTGCGTAGATACCGACCATGCACTGGTCCGCGCTCGGGTGTGCTTACGACTGAACGGACGTAGGAAACAGCTGGCGGTAAACCCATCACGTCCCCAGCTCGATCAGGAAACTAAATCCGTATTTGAGGAAGAACTAGCTAAACACATATCTGTGTTCGACAGCTGTGCTCACCCTGAAGAAGCTTGGAAAAATATCCAAGCAGCGTCGGTGGCACAGTGGTTAGGACTCTCGCCGATCATGCACATGGTCCGGGGTTCGAGCCCGCACTGACGCACACCTGATATCTATGGTCGGCCTGCAAAATTTGGGCTACCGATATCCGTGCTGAAAATTCCATACTTGTACCGAAAATACAGTGTGGAATCAAGCTGTAAATCAAAAAAAAAAAAAAATAAAAAAAAGATACAGCTGTAAAAGCTGTGAATAAGGTAAACCCAAAGGTGAGTAAAAACCACTGGATCTCCACCGCCTCATCCGAACTGATAGATGCTAGAAGACTTATTCCGGCGAGCTCCGAATTCAATGAGGAGCGAAAGCTGCACAAGAGGAAACTTACGAAAAGTCTCCGCAAGGACCGTGAACAGTGGTGGGCGACAAAAGCCAAAGAGATGGAGAAAGCTTCGAGGATAGGCAACACCAGGCAACTCTTTGGACTCATCAGGGAAACGGGTGGGAGAAGACAAATCATCAGTGAGACAATCTCGGAAAAAAATGGCACTATAATTAGCTCCCAGGATAGACGACTGGATCGTTGGAAAGAGCATTATGAGGAGCAGTTTAATTTGCCCACAGCCACGCTCAACCTTCCGAGCATCCAACACCTCCCTGAATGGGATATAAACACAGGTCCTCCGTCACTAACTGAGGTTACTAAAGCTGTCACCAATCTGAAACTAGGCAAAGCAGCGGGACCTGATGGAATGACTCCAGAGGTATTTAAGTACGGTGGAGACAGCTTACTGTCCGGATTAACTGAGGTACTAGGCAGCGTCTGGGAATCAGAAGAAGTCCCATCGGGTTGGTGTAAGTCACTGATTATCCCCATATACAAGAAGGGAGACAAGTCTTCCTGTGATAATCACAGAGGGATTAGCTTGACTAATATAGTATCTAAAGTCTTAGGCTCAATAATCATGCGTAGACTGAGTGGTGCTCGGGAAGCACAAACACGAGAGAGCCAGGCAGGCTTTAGACCAGGAAGAGGGTGTATTGATCATATCTTCACCCTCCGACAGATTCTAGAACATAGGCATTCCTACCGGCGTCCAACAGTCATTATATTTCTTGACCTAAAGGCAGCATTCGACTCTGTCGATCGGGAAGTTCTCTGGAGATGCTTGGCTGTAAAGGGAATTCCAAGAAAATATATTGCACTGATTAAGGCACTCTACTCGTACTCATACAGCCAGGTGAGGGCTTACGGCGAGCTGTCATCTGAACTGATGACGACCAGTGGTGTCCGTCAAGGATGCCCATTATCTCCTTTTCTATTCAACTTCATCATAGATGTGTTAATGGACTTAACCCTAGGTGACTTCAGCGATTCAGGGATTGACTTGCTACCTGGGAATAATCTCGTTGACTTGGAATATGCAGACGATATAGTCCTTCTAGGCGAAGACGCTGACGAAATGCAGAGTCTTCTAAACACCTTGAACAGCAATCTACGAATGTTTGGCATGCGATTCGCTCCCGCCAAATGCAAGATGATGTTACAGGACTGGACTACATCGACGCCTAGTTTAAAAATAGGAAGTGAAGTGGTAGAGCACGTTGACCGCTTCACTTATTTGGGAAGTACCATCAGCCCCAACGGGCTGATCTCTGACGAAATCTCAGCACGAATACAAGGGGCTCGTTTCGCATTTGTTAGTTTACGCCGACTCTGGCGTAGACGAGATGTTCGACTATCGACCAAAGGGCGGGTGTACTGCTCATCAGTCCGCTCCGTCCTCCTTTATGGTTGTGAGACCTGGCCACTGAGAGTGGAAGACATGAAAAGACTAGCTGTCTTTGATCATAGGTGCCTGCGTTCTATTTCCCGTGTAAAGTGGCATAATAAGGTGAGCAACATGGAGGTTAGGCGTAGAGTTCTAGGTAAACAGGGGAAATCAATCGACGAAGTCGTGAAGCTACAAAGACTGAGATGGTTAGGACATGTGTTACGTATGCCAAGTCATCGCCTCCCTCGACGAGCTATGTTAGCGGATATAGGGTCAGGCTGGAAAAAAGCTAGCGGCGGTCAAACAAAAACTTGGCATCAGTCAATGAAATCCACAACAGTTGGTCTAAGCCACGTAGGAAGGTGTAGACTTCCAGGCTGGGGTCCTCGGGACGGTAAAAATCTATGGTTGGAAACAATTGGTGACATGGCTCAAAACCGTTCTCAGTGGCGCAGATGCATCCACTCCCTGTGACTTATGATCTCCAATGAAACTGTTTTGTTATTCTTTATTACTCCTTTGTCTCACACCTCTGCTCACTGTTTCTATTATGCTTTTCTTGTACTTTCTTCTCTTGCTTCGCGTGCTACACGGAATGTGGCGACTTGAACTTCCGCACATTTGTGCAAAGTTCTATGTCGAAAACAGACAGACAGACAACATCAAACCTCCATGTCTGTTCAAACTGCTAGTATCTAGAATTTTATGATTAGACGTATTTTCACAATTATGGTGTTCAGGATTGGAAGAAGTTCGGACCAGATTGCCGAACAAAACGTTGGAATTACTCATTTCAATCTCGCTGAGATTTTAAAAATATAATTATTTACAAATGTCTACTTCTCACTCGGCATCAAATCTTCACGACAGTTCATTTGGGTTTATGTGTAAAACTAAAATCAAAAACGAACATGTTGCTGGAAGTTTATTTGTAGTCTGTAAGACTGTGCGTGTAATCGTAATCTCATGCACTGTTATCACTTGGTTTGTTTGAGAGCTGCGATACCGCCCACACTTAGACAGAGGCAGGTGATTTTCTAAAGGGACTATCCCCAAACCTTTCATTTGGATCCTGCATTCTGACCGAAAAGGTAGTGAAGTAGCCTTAGGAGTTGCATTTCCATGATTGACTGACGGACTGGTTTCAACATAGAACATTCCACAGATGCGAAGCAGCTCGAATCGCCACACTTCATGTACCACACAAAGCAAGAGAACAGAGTAAAGAGAGATTAAAAAGAGAAAGAGAGAGATAATAAATAGAAGAGCGAGAGGAAAAGAATAGTAATATGGAAGAAGAATAGAGTTTTATTGGGTATTATCAATCACAAAGGGAGACCGTATTTGCGCTATTCACTCAGAACGATTTTGAGCCATACCACCAATTGTCTCCAGCCTCTGTTGGTCATCGCCATCCTGAGGACCCCTACTAGACGGTGATCTACACCTCCCTATGTGGCTGGAGTAAACTAACTGTTATGGATTTCATCGACTGATGAGGCCATATCTTGCTTTGACCACCACCAGCTCTTTTCCAACCTGATCCATCCATCCGATGTCAGCTAACATCGCCCATTGTCGAGGAAGGCAATAGCTAGGCATGCATGCGTAATACATGTCCTAACCATCTCAGTCGATTCAGCTGCTTCACAACCTCATCCATTGACTCCCCCCTCCCTTCTTAACTAGAACTTGATTCCTAAACTCAACATTGCTCACCATATCATACCACTCAACACGGGAGATAGAACACAGGCACATGTGATTGAAGTTAGCTGGCCAGACTTTTCATGTCTTTCACTTTCAATGACCATGTTTCACTGACAGCCATGAAGGGCGACGGAGCGAACTACTGAGCACTATACACGTCCTTTGATCGACAGCCAGCCGAATATCATGTCTACACCAGAGATGATCCGTTTCCATGATTGCCGGTGACCAGATTCATACGTCAGTCGATAATTTTGAATTCTGAAGTCCATGTTCACCATAGCTTTGGATTCAGCGTTTTCTATCCTCTCTAGGTAGATCTGAAGTCACCCTGTCCAGTGGTGAGTACCAGACTTTCGCAATCGACCCTTCCCTTTTCTAAAAAGCTACACAACCGCGTGAAGGCGGTGAATCAAACTTGGTAGGACGTATGAAGTCGTGGCTTCATGAAAGTATTCCTGAAGAAAGACAAGCGTCTACCTATGTTTAGTTGTACAGGGTCGTTTCTAGGATCACAAAATATCAAACCTCAGGACATTCACTTTACAGGCTGCTCTCGTTCACCAGTGAACGAATTGTAGCTATGCAGCCAGGTTAATTAAGTTAAGGGAATCTGAAGTGTATTTGAGTAACTGGCGTTATAAACCTATCAATCATTAGCTGGAGAAACTGAAAACACAACCTCATTTATTCTCACTCAAATGCTCTGTACCCACTTAAACTAATGTGTGTACATTATATTACTGTATTACTGAGGTATTGTTAATCATCAACGACTTGTGATTGGTGATAAGATACACCAACTGTGTGAAGGGTGGTTATAAATACCACCCGAGGCTGACCAAACGTGGGGGTACGTGAAATGAGGTTCGAATCCGTTACCCATTGGCTGGAAGTCGAGCCCCCAGACCGATAAGCCACATCTACACGTGTGTTGATTATAGAATCATTGTGTTTCTCACAGTATGTCGTTTCTCATAAAATGACTAATAGACTGTTAGTCATAGTGTGTTTGTATTCTATAACATTGTGATTGGTTGTAATGTTTATATTTTATGATACTTTTTGCACATATAGAAATGTGATACATCCGTCAATCATGTGATGGAGAATTCGTCTTATGAAACCTCTGATATATTCTCAAGTCATGATGATACGAAAGACGTTTCATCCTGTATAGAAAGCTCTCACAAAAGTTGCCTACCGACACCGATAAGATCAGTGTGTGACACCAATGAAGATTTTAGTGATATATTCAAGGTAGGCGATTTCGTTTAACATGCACTAGTTGTTTGTGACAGCTTCCTTTTCTCTATGGATTTTGTTGTTAAAGTGTTGCTTAGAGCTGTTCTGATAGTTTATTTATTTGTATATATGTATACGTGTGTGTGTGTGTGTTTAGGCATCCTTAGTGTAGTGTGAATCTCATTTTGTGGTTTGAATATTTTGGTTTCGAGAAGAAAGCATGATGAAATGTTACAGGTGAATAGTAATTAATTGTGTCAGTTGTAGGATGCACTGAGAATCACACGAATAGTAAGACCGATGTGCTGTGTTTTTTATACTCCAGGACTCAACAACTCCTACGACGTCTAAAATGAAAGCTTCACGTGACCTCGAGAATGAACGGAGTGTTAGTGAGCACAAGTCAAATGAATCCCTGGACGAAGATAATGATTCATCAGTTCGTACACTGAGGAGAACGCGTGTACGCGAGATGCGAACGTCTACCGATAAAGCAAAGGTTTGTTGAATTATCTTATTTTGTCAAATGTGTTAGATGGCTTTTACAGACAACTTTAATATCTATGTAATTATATGAAGGATGGGTTGCAATACTTGTATTTGATTTGTTATTGTGTGTTTGTTAGACGATACGTCGTACTTCCTCAAAGAAGTTGTCGAAATCTGAAACAATGTGTAGTCCGTCTTCAAAGGTAGCAGAGGAACAGTTTGATTTTACTGGTTCCGATACTACTAGTGAATGTTCACGTGCACAGATAAGTGAAGACAAGCCAGAGGACAGTAATCGAGTGAGTATTTTATTTTCGATTATCATGTAGTTGGTTGTTATGATGTAAGATGTGTTTGAGATATTTGATATAGTAGGGTATTACATGGATATATTTACTTTGTGATATATTGGATAGATTTTCTTCTCTGTATTCATATTTGGCTATCCGAAGAACTTTGAGAATTGAAGGTGATGAAAAGGAGTTGCTTGATTAGTGAATCTTTTGTGTTAAATCTGATGTGAAACATATGTAGTTGGATGAATCAGTAACTGGTGAATACATTTGCTAAAGGACCAAATACTCTTTCGTAAGTCTTTGGATGTTATGATAAAATCACGGATTCCTATGCCTGTGGATGATGACACTCAATGATGATTGACATCCACCGTGTCGAAAGGCTGTCTTGACATCTCAGTTACTCACACGCTGATTCAATACAACTCACACAGTAACACAGTAAGCGGTTGCACAGAGTCGCTACACATCCCCACCTGTTGAAAGAACGTGGAAGACTGCACTCACTGAGGCACCGGGAAGCTTACATTTCACTGTCCAGCTGACGTCATGACGATCCCAGCCTGGCTTTTTGTATTCGGATAGGTATCTCTTCCGCCATACCACCAATTCTCACAGGATTGTCTAGGTGTATAAATTTATCGATAACCTCAAGCAGCTCTCATACACGGGTGATTGCAGATACAGACCGCTGCCAGTCGTGGAACTGTACTTTGCACTTGGACGGCGCTAAACATTTACCATACTTGCAGACACTGATGGCCAACTGATTAAGTGCGATTTTGACAGCCTGCATTCTGTCTCACAGTAAGACGATATCGTCTGCGTACTCGAGGTCGAAAAGTCTCTCTGCAGGTGTAGATCTACACCACCTTCGCACATGTCCTTCATAAGTGACTGCAGATTGTCATCGGTGTCAAAGTTAGAGAGGAATGGAGAGATTGGCCGACCGTATCTAACCGTACTGTTGGTTGGGAAGAGTGATGATAGTTGGTTGTATGCCGTTTTTTCCTACCTGAGGTGTTTCTGTTCGGGAGTTTGTTGGTTGTTGAAAAACTTTCTGAGGTACTTTTGTTTTTAAGAGACAGTTTCAGAGAGTAGTTGTGTCGAATGAATCGAAGGGAGGTGTGATATCAAGAAACGCAACGATTGTTGGCCTGAAATATGTTTGACGGTGTTGTAACAACTGACGAAGCCTGAGCTCATATTCAATGCATCTACGAGCCGAACGAAACCCATGTGACTCCTCTCTAATCAGTTTGACACATGTTTTGCTTAGCGCGTGAAGCTAGATAGCAGCCATTATTTTAGATATGACTGATAGGGAACTAATCCTTCTTTGATTGTTCCATGTATAACGTGTTATTGTTTAAAGATGGGGAGGATAATGGCCTCATTCCGTATTGATGAAACACTGTGTGTTCCCTATACTCTCTTGAAAAGTCTGCTCAATTCTGTCGGGCGAGTCTCGTCACCATCTTTAAATTCAGTCGGGAGTAAGTTGTCTGGGTCGGGTGTCTTAAGATATTTCAACCCCTTAATTTATTTTCAGTCCTCCGCTTCGTTTAGTGGGTCTGTATTGAACGATCGCGGGGTAGTGTAGATAATGATGTAGGAGAGGGGCGCTACTGGTCAGCTAATCTGCATTTCGAAGTGTTCTGCCCAGCGTTTCGGGTGTCCTTTCACGTAAGTAATTGGCGCACCGTTGCCACACAAATCGTCTAGCTGACACCAAGCTCCGTGCTACAGGTAACCCGGATGGTCTGAAACAACTTCGGGTAATTTCCAGACAGAGAGGCTTATTCTAACTCACACACACGTTGTGACCGCTAAACTTCGTGGTTTTTACTTGAACATTGTCTAACCTTGTGCGTAAGCGACTTCTGCATGTTGTTATACTCTCTGTGTGGTACGACTTACCAGCGCGCATTTAGAAGACTGAAGGAATTCACGAAAATTGAGTGGTTTTTAGCTCAGCTTGCTTTTAAGCCGCAAGCTACTTTATATGCAATTTTCATAACGTTCTGCAGGTTTAATGTTCATCTATATTATTTGGAGGATCGCTAGATAGCCTTGAGTTTAATTCAATCTGGTACTTCGCAAGGGTAGCAGGTGCTACCATTCTATTTACATCAACCTGTAATATACACTTGTTATGAACACCACAAATGTCAAGATGAACCTGTCAAACACTGTAGCACTATCGAAGGCCAGTCGTGTGCCCGAGAAGGAGTGTTAGTCTCGTATTCATCCACGCCGTCGGAAAGTAACAGCGATGTGGTCAATGTGAGTCTAGGCATGGTTGGTAGACGGTGGACGCCAGGTAGCGCTACATTGATGGTTGTTTCGGAAGTCAGTGTTGGCTAAAAATAGTTTGTGTTGTGCGGTAACTTGCAGAAGACGGCCCCATTATCTGTTCTGTGATCATGAAAAAACCCCGCTGACCACCTGGAGGATTATTCTGTGAGCCTAGACGGCTGACCTATGCATGGAAGTCGCCAGCCAGATGTACGATTTCTATCTGACGCTCCTGTTTCAGATACTCTCTCAGTTAGCGTTAAATCTCGTGCTTAATTGTTTGTAGGCTGCAATGCATCGGTGCTTAGGAATATATAACAAACAGCCATCGCCTGTCTGGCCTGCCGCTTCTCACTTCGTGTCACATTGCAGACTCACAACACAAAAACGACTGTTGATGTGAATGCAGTCGAGTAATGGAGCTTTAGCTCAGGCTCTTTGTACGAGTCTGACACCATCGACGCCGGACGTGGAGACCATAGGGTCCCCAGGTACGCGTTGGTGATGCATATTATTCAAACTTTCATATATAGGAGACAACCGTAAGACTTTAGTGTTATCTTGAATGAGGGTTCTCGAAATGACGGAGACATCGATAGCGAGAGCATTGCTAATGGAGTGTGATTAGTTTTACTGACAGTTTTATGCTTGATTCCATTTATTGTGTGAGGCCTGTGATACTGATGGGGCGCTCAGATCGAAGCTGGTGCTTGTCTTAAGGGACTATCTCGCGAGTCTTTGACTTGGAGTCTAATCTGCAAGTCCGTGGAACAGCGTCCGGTGCTATGTTCTCATGGTTGCTGGTGACCATTTCAGATTTATACTTCATTTGATCCGATTGGATTCTGGAGGTAACGTATTCCATAGTGTAACTGCTTTTAGTCCAACTGCTCTCTAAACAACCTCCCGGACATGATAGGACCATCAGGAAGATAAGTCCCAGGGAGTTTAGCTTGTTGGGTCGCTGTGGTTTTAAAGCCTGACCACTATTACAAGTCAGCAGTTATCGGCCGGGACACAGGGTTAACAAGCACCCTCATAAGATAATTCCAAATGTGTATATCTGCTCACGTGTGACTGCGGCAGCAGTCACATTGGAGGAACAAGAAGAAGGGTCTATATCAAATTATTCGAAAATGTACTAAAAGGCGTTCGATTAAAAGGACCGAATCTTTTAAACTCGTCAATATCCCAAACATCTGATAGACACAGGATCCCGAGTGGGAGGCACCAGAAGCATTCAAAATGGTTAAGAAACAAAAAACCCGAGTCCACTGTAGTGTGATCAAGTCTTCGCAATAAAACATCTGAAATCTAAGCTATGTATTCAAAAGTGATCCGTTTTTGGATTTAAATTCTCTTCTTTGTCTTCCGACTTCATCATTTTGTTTCCCCTCCCGTTTTTTCACTGAATTTCATATTGAACACAGTTTTTGATGTTTTGAATTCTACTCACCTTATAACCTCAGTATATTTTCATCCGAAATCGTATCCACAAAACTTGACTTTATAATTTTGTTAGTCCCGTTGAATGCAGTATAGAATGACGGTCAAATTTCTACGTGAACTTCATTGAAGCTTTGACCGTGAAGTGTTTCGGAGACGGCTTCAGCACTACGAAGTGACCGAAAACTCTGTTGACCTCATTGAACAGATATCTGACAACGTCAAATGTCAGGTGATATACTACAGAATACTCAGAGGTGTTAATACAGATGTAAGAAAAGGTTGCGTACTACCACTGATAATACTCGTGATTGTGATGGCCTGTGCCAAGTTGTAGGCGGTGGGGAGCTAGACGACATTAATATGTTGTTCCAACAAGAAGGCTCTAGAAGACTCGAACTTTCTCGGACGATTTATGTCTAATGTCACAGAAACTTGAAGATCTACATGTGGAAGGCAACAAGTTAGCAGGAAAATCATCGATCATAGGACTTCAAGTGGATATATGGGAGACCGAAGTGATAAAGATACCTGGCCACCAACAACTATTAGCACCAGTAATTATCAATGGAAAAAAATTTGAAATAAGTCATCTCTTTCACTCATCAGGGCAACGTCTTTTCAACTATAGAGAGCACAAATGAGGGTTTCAACGGAGGGAGCAGAAACGAGAGACAGGCCAACATTCATCTGAAATCAATTCAGAAATCTACTGGACTAAGTATAAAGACCAAGGTTAGGATTTTCAACACTGATGGTAACTCGATCGGTGTTTCTATATGGTTTAGTGAACTTGAGTGTCACGAAAAGCATTTCCAACAAGCTACTGCAGAGGGTTATCAACAGGCCCCACTTCTCCATACTGAAGAGTAGATACCAACGAAAGGGTTAGTCAGCACGGAACTCTGGTGGTGCAACGAGTCGATCAATAACCCATCACTCAACAAACACCTATATTAAAATGGAGATGGGTCGGTCACGTTCTGAGGTCACCCTTTAGTGAATAAGCATGCCAGGCTGTTCAGTGGAACCCAAATAGAAGACGACGACTTGGGTGTGTGTCCGCGGCTAACACAGAGAGATCGTATGAGGTTCGAATCCGTTACCCACTGGTTGGAAGTCGAGCCCCCAGACCGATAAGCCACATCTACACGTGTGTTGATTATATAATCATTGTGTTTCTCACAGTATGTCGTTTCTCATAAAATGACTAATAGACTGTTAGTCATAGTGTGTTTGTATTCTATAACATTGTGATTGGTTGTAATGTTTATATTTTATGATACTTTTTGCACATATAGAAATGTGATACATCCGTCAATCATGTGATGGAGAATTCGTCTTATGAAACCTCTGATATATTCTCAAGTCATGATGATACGAAAGACGTTTCATCCTGTATAGAAAGCTCTCACAAAAGTTGCCTACCGACACCGATAAGATCAGTGTGTGACACCAATGAAGATTTTAGTGATATATTCAAGGTAGGCGATTTCGTTTAACATGCACTAGTTGTTTGTGACAGCTTCCTTTTCTCTATGGATTTTGTTGTTAAAGTGTTGCTCAGAGCTGTTCTGATAGTTTATTTATTTGTATATATGTATACGTGTGTGTGTGTGTGTTTAGGCATCCTTAGTGTAGTGTGAATCTCATTTTGTGGTTTGAATATTTTGGTTTCGAGAAGAAAGCATGATGAAATGTTACAGGTGAATAGTAATTAATTGTGTCAGTTGTAGGATGCACTGAGAATCACACGAATAGTAAGACCGATGTGCTGTGTTTTTTATACTCCAGGACTCAACAACTCCTACGACGTCTAAAATGAAAGCTTCACGTGACCTCGAGAATGAACGGAGTGTTAGTGAGCACAAGTCAAATGAATCCCTGGACGAAGATAATGATTCATCAGTTCGTACACTGAGGAGAACGCGTGTACGCGAGATGCGAACGTCTACCGATAAAGCAAAGGTTTGTTGAATTATCTTATTTTGTCAAATGTGTTAGATGGCTTTTACAGACAACTTTAATATCTATGTAATTATATGAAGGATGGGTTGCAATACTTGTATTTGATTTGTTATTGTGTGTTTGTTAGATGATACGTCGTACTTCCTCAAAGAAGTTGTCGAAATCTGAAACAATGTGTAGTCCGTCTTCAAAGGTAGCAGAGGAACAGTTTGATTTTACTGGTTCCGATACTACTAGTGAATGTTCACGTGCACAGATAAGTGAAGACAAGCCAGAGGACAGTAATCGAGTGAGTATTTTATTTTCGATTATCATGTAGTTGGTTGTTATGATGTAAGATGTGTTTGAGATATTTGATATAGTAGGGTATTACATGGATATATTTACTTTGTGATATATTGGATAGATTTTCTTCTCTGTATTCATATTTGGCTATCCGAAGAACTTTGAGAATTGAAGGTGATGAAAAGGAGTTGCTTGATTAGTGAATCTTTTGTGTTAAATCTGATGTGAAACATATGTAGTTGGATGAATCAGTAACTGGTGAATACATTTGCTAAAGGACCAAATACTCTTTCGTAAGTCTTTGGATGTTATGATAAAATCACGGATTCCTATGCCTGTGGATGATGACACTCAATGATGATTGACATCCACCGTGTCGAAAGGCTGTCTTGACATCTCAGTTACTCACACGCTGATTCAATACAACTCACACAGTAACACAGTAAGCGGTTGCACAGAGTCGCTACACATCCCCACCTGTTGAAAGAACGTGGAAGACTGCACTCATTGAGGCAACGGGAAGCTTACATTTCACTGTCCAGCTGACGTCATGACGATCCCAGCCTGGCTTTTTGTATTCGGATAGGTATCTCTTCCGCCATACCACCAATTCTCACGGGATTGTCTAGGTGTATAAATTTATCGATAACCTCAAGCAGCTCTCATACACGGGTGATTGCAGATACAGACCGCTGCCAGTCGTGGAACTGTACTTTGCACTTGGACGGCGCTAAACATTTACCATACTTGCAGACACTGATGGCCAACTGATTAAGTGCGATTTTGACAGCCTGCATTCTGTCTCACAGTAAGACGATATCGTCTGCGTACTCGAGGTCGAAAAGTCTCTCTGCAGGTGTAGATCTACACCACCTTCGCACATGTCCTTCATAAGTGACTGCAGATTGTCATCGGTGTCAAAGTTAGAGAGGAATGGAGAGATTGGCCGACCGTATCTAACCGTACTGTTGGTTGGGAAGAGTGATGATAGTTGGTTGTATGCCGTTTTTTCCTACCTGAGGTGTTTCTGTTCGGGAGTTTGTTGGTTGTTGAAAAACTTTCTGAGGTACTTTTGTTTTTAAGAGACAGTTTCAGAGAGTAGTTGTGTCGAATGAATCGAAGGGAGGTGTGATATCAAGAAACGCAACGATTGTTGGCCTGAAATATGTTTGACGGTGTTGTAACAACTGACGAAGCCTGAGCTCATATTCAATGCATCTACGAGCCGAACGAAACCCATGTGACTCCTCTCTAATCAGTTTGACACATGTTTTGCTTAGCGCGTGAAGCTAGATAGCAGCCATTATTTTAGATATGACTGATAGGGAACTAATCCTTCTTTGATTGTTCCATGTATAACGTGTTATTGTTTAAAGATGGGGAGGATAATGGCCTCATTCCGTATTGATGAAACACTGTGTGTTCCCTATACTCTCTTGAAAAGTCTGCTCAATTCTGTCGGGCGAGTCTCGTCACCATCTTTAAATTCAGTCGGGAGTAAGTTGTCTGGGTCGGGTGTCTTAAGATATTTCAACCCCTTAATTTATTTTCAGTCCTCCGCTTCGTTTAGTGGGTCTGTATTGAACGATCGCGGGGTAGTGTAGATAATGATGTAGGAGAGGGGCGCTACTGGTCAGCTAATCTGCATTTCGAAGTGTTCTGCCCAGCGTTTCGGGTGTCCTTTCACGTAAGTAATTGGCGCACCGTTGCCACACAAATCGTCTAGCTGACACCAAGCTCCGTGCTACAGGTAACCCGGATGGTCTGAAACAACTTCGGGTAATTTCCAGACAGAGAGGCTTATTCTAACTCACACACACGTTGTGACCGCTAAACTTCGTGGTTTTTACTTGAACATTGTCTAACCTTGTGCGTAAGCGACTTCTGCATGTTGTTATACTCTCTGTGTGGTACGACTTACCAGCGCGCATTTAGAAGACTGAAGGAATTCACGAAAATTGAGTGGTTTTTAGCTCAGCTTGCTTTTAAGCCGCAAGCTACTTTATATGCAATTTTCATAACGTTCTGCAGGTTTAATGTTCATCTATATTATTTGGAGGATCGCTAGATAGCCTTGAGTTTAATTCAATCTGGTACTTCGCAAGGGTAGCAGGTGCTACCATTCTATTTACATCAACCTGTAATATACACTTGTTATGAACACCACAAATGTCAAGATGAACCTGTCAAACACTGTAGCACTATCGAAGGCCAGTCGTGTGCCCGAGAAGGAGTGTTAGTCTCGTATTCATCCACGCCGTCGGAAAGTAACAGCGATGTGGTCAATGTGAGTCTAGGCATGGTTGGTAGACGGTGGACGCCAGGTAGCGCTACATTGATGGTTGTTTCGGAAGTCAGTGTTGGCTAAAAATAGTTTGTGTTGTGCGGTAACTTGCAGAAGACGGCCCCATTATCTGTTCTGTGATCATGAAAAAACCCCGCTGACCACCTGGAGGATTATTCTGTGAGCCTAGACGGCTGACCTATGCATGGAAGTCGCCAGCCAGATGTACGATTTCTATCTGACGCTCCTGTTTCAGATACTCTCTCAGTTAGCGTTAAATCTCGTGCTTAATTGTTTGTAGGCTGCAATGCATCGGTGCTTAGGAATATATAACAAACAGCCATCGCCTGTCTGGCCTGCCGCTTCTCACTTCGTGTCACATTGCAGACTCACAACACAAAAACGACTGTTGATGTGAATGCAGTCGAGTAATGGAGCTTTAGCTCAGGCTCTTTGTACGAGTCTGACACCATCGACGCCGGACGTGGAGACCATAGGGTCCCCAGGTACGCGTTGGTGATGCATATTATTCAAACTTTCATATATAGGAGACAACCGTAAGACTTTAGTGTTATCTTGAATGAGGGTTCTCGAAATGACGGAGACATCGATAGCGAGAGCATTGCTAATGGAGTGTGATTAGTTTTACTGACAGTTTTATGCTTGATTCCATTTATTGTGTGAGGCCTGTGATACTGATGGGGCGCTCAGATCGAAGCTGGTGCTTGTCTTAAGGGACTATCTCGCGAGTCTTTGACTTGGAGTCTAATCTGCAAGTCCGTGGAACAGCGTCCGGTGCTATGTTCTCATGGTTGCTGGTGACCATTTCAGATTTATACTTCATTTGATCCGATTGGATTCTGGAGGTAACGTATTCCATAGTGTAACTGCTTTTAGTCCAACTGCTCTCTAAACAACCTCCCGGACATGATAGGACCATCAGGAAGATAAGTCCCAGGGAGTTTAGCTTGTTGGGTCGCTGTGGTTTTAAAGCCTGACCACTATTACAAGTCAGCAGTTATCGGCCGGGACACAGGGTTAACAAGCACCCTCATAAGATAATTCCAAATGTGTATATCTGCTCACGTGTGACTGCGGCAGCAGTCACATTGGAGGAACAAGAAGAAGGGTCTATATCAAATTATTCGAAAATGTACTAAAAGGCGTTCGATTAAAAGGACCGAATCTTTTAAACTCGTCAATATCCCAAACATCTGATAGACACAGGATCCCGAGTGGGAGGCACCAGAAGCATTCAAAATGGTTAAGAAACAAAAAACCCGAGTCCACTGTAGTGTGATCAAGTCTTCGCAATAAAACATCTGAAATCTAAGCTATGTATTCAAAAGTGATCCGTTTTTGGATTTAAATTCTCTTCTTTGTCTTCCGACTTCATCATTTTGTTTCCCCTCCCGTTTTTTCACTGAATTTCATATTGAACACAGTTTTTGATGTTTTGAATTCTACTCACCTTATAACCTCAGTATATTTTCATCCGAAATCGTATCCACAAAACTTGACTTTATAATTTTGTTAGTCCCGTTGAATGCAGTATAGAATGACGGTCAAATTTCTACGTGAACTTCATTGAAGCTTTGACCGTGAAGTGTTTCGGAGACGGCTTCAGCACTACGAAGTGACCGAAAACTCTGTTGACCTCATTGAACAGATATCTGACAACGTCAAATGTCAGGTGATATACTACAGAATACTCAGAGGTGTTAATACAGATGTAAGAAAAGGTTGCGTACTACCACTGATAATACTCGTGATTGTGATGGCCTGTGCCAAGTTGTAGGCGGTGGGGAGCTAGACGACATTAATATGTTGTTCCAACAAGAAGGCTCTAGAAGACTCGAACTTTCTCGGACGATTTATGTCTAATGTCACAGAAACTTGAAGATCTACATGTGGAAGGCAACAAGTTAGCAGGAAAATCATCGATCATAGGACTTCAAGTGGATATATGGGAGACCGAAGTGATAAAGATACCTGGCCACCAACAACTATTAGCACCAGTAATTATCAATGGAAAAAAATTTGAAATAAGTCATCTCTTTCACTCATCAGGGCAACGTCTTTTCAACTATAGAGAGCACAAATGAGGGTTTCAACGGAGGGAGCAGAAACGAGAGACAGGCCAACATTCATCTGAAATCAATTCAGAAATCTACTGGACTAAGTATAAAGACCAAGGTTAGGATTTTCAACACTGATGGTAACTCGATCGGTGTTTCTATATGGTTTAGTGAACTTGAGTGTCACGAAAAGCATTTCCAACAAGCTACTGCAGAGGGTTATCAACAGGCCCCACTTCTCCATACTGAAGAGTAGATACCAACGAAAGGGTTAGTCAGCACGGAACTCTGGTGGTGCAACGAGTCGATCAATAACCCATCACTCAACAAACACCTATATTAAAATGGAGATGGGTCGGTCACGTTCTGAGGTCACCCTTTAGTGAATAAGCATGCCAGGCTGTTCAGTGGAACCCAAATAGAAGACGACGACTTGGGTGTGTGTCCGCGGCTAACACAGAGAGATCGTATGAGGTTCGAATCCGTTACCCACTGGTTGGAAGTCGAGCCCCCAGACCGATAAGCCACATCTACACGTGTGTTGATTATAGAATCATTGTGTTTCTCACAGTATGTCGTTTCTCATAAAATGACTAATAGACTGTTAGTCATAGTGTGTTTGTATTCTATAACATTGTGATTGGTTGTAATGTTTATATTTTATGATACTTTTTGCACATATAGAAATGTGATACATCCGTCAATCATGTGATGGAGAATTCGTCTTATGAAACCTCTGATATATTCTCAAGTCATGATGATACGAAAGACGTTTCATCCTGTATAGAAAGCTCTCACAAAAGTTGCCTACCGACACCGATAAGATCAGTGTGTGACACCAATGAAGATTTTAGTGATATATTCAAGGTAGGCGATTTCGTTTAACATGCACTAGTTGTTTGTGACAGCTTCCTTTTCTCTATGGATTTTGTTGTTAAAGTGTTGCTCAGAGCTGTTCTGATAGTTTATTTATTTGTATATATGTATACGTGTGTGTGTGTGTGTTTAGGCATCCTTAGTGTAGTGTGAATCTCATTTTGTGGTTTGAATATTTTGGTTTCGAGAAGAAAGCATGATGAAATGTTACAGGTGAATAGTAATTAATTGTGTCAGTTGTAGGATGCACTGAGAATCACACGAATAGTAAGACCGATGTGCTGTGTTTTTTATACTCCAGGACTCAACAACTCCTACGACGTCTAAAATGAAAGCTTCACGTGACCTCGAGAATGAACGGAGTGTTAGTGAGCACAAGTCAAATGAATCCCTGGACGAAGATAATGATTCATCAGTTCGTACACTGAGGAGAACGCGTGTACGCGAGATGCGAACGTCTACCGATAAAGCAAAGGTTTGTTGAATTATCTTATTTTGTCAAATGTGTTAGATGGCTTTTACAGACAACTTTAATATCTATGTAATTATATGAAGGATGGGTTGCAATACTTGTATTTGATTTGTTATTGTGTGTTTGTTAGATGATACGTCGTACTTCCTCAAAGAAGTTGTCGAAATCTGAAACAATGTGTAGTCCGTCTTCAAAGGTAGCAGAGGAACAGTTTGATTTTACTGGTTCCGATACTACTAGTGAATGTTCACGTGCACAGATAAGTGAAGACAAGCCAGAGGACAGTAATCGAGTGAGTATTTTATTTTCGATTATCATGTAGTTGGTTGTTATGATGTAAGATGTGTTTGAGATATTTGATATAGTAGGGTATTACATGGATATATTTACTTTGTGATATATTGGATAGATTTTCTTCTCTGTATTCATATTTGGCTATCCGAAGAACTTTGAGAATTGAAGGTGATGAAAAGGAGTTGCTTGATTATTGATTCTTTGATGTTCAATATGATGTTGACTTTGTGCAGTTTGTTGATGTTTTTTGGGCGACAAATTTTCTGGTAAATTGATATGCTGGGAATTATATGGGAGAACTCTTTAGTTGCTGCTGAGGCCTGGGAATATTTTATGTGGATATGGGTGCCGGAATTCTTTCTTGTATTCTCTCCGTTGAATGATTTATACGACGATTTATAAGAGGAAGGTGATTAGTAATGCCTTGTGTTGGGTTTAACCACTTCAATGTGTTATAAATATGAAAGGTAAGAATGAAAGAAATATTGAACGCTTTCATTGTAAATCGTAGTTGTTTCTTATTTTGGAAACATTCTGATGCTATGAAAGCTGGTGGAAGTATTCAAAATTTGGGAGATGATTGGAAAATCAATACGTCTATGCCAAACAAACGTTTTGTTTACCGGTTGTTATGGTGAATAAAGATTATTAACTTTTTTTATCTTCGGAGTTTTTTTTGTCTAATTGGTTTTCCATTTCGTCAACATTTTTTAGAATAAAAGTGATAATTCGCTTTTCCGGTCACCTAATGGATTGAAGACAACAGATAAAGAATTTTCGATTACCAAATCTTCTTCTCTATTCAAATGTGACGCATGTTCAGTTGAATATAGTCTTCAGAGGTTACTTTCGCTTCATATGCGCGGAAAGCAACATAGGGTGAGCCTTAGCTAGTTTGTGTAAAATTGATGTTTGGTTTTGTTGGTTTTTAATTGTTTGGTGGTATTGAAACGGAGAGGATTAGGGCAGAGAGAGAGAGAGAGAAATCATCCAATCTACCTGGCTTTGGTGGATTGGACAGAGTTCGCACCCGCAAATGTTAATGTGCATTGAGATGCACCCTCTTAAATTTCAATTCTGTTACCAAACTTTTTAAATATTTGATTATCGTATCAACTGAATTATTTCGGTCTGTTAGGATAAGTCTGAATTCAGTAAACGTCAGTTGAAATATTTCCCTACTAATTTAATTAAACTAGGTGTAACGGGGATAAGATGATTGTTTCAGTCGTTATCAAGTTATTGCAAATAGTGCTGCACAGTTTTAAAATCATCTAGCATTTGAAGTGATGACCTGCTGTAACGGTGGATTTACCTTTCTATTATTATTATTATTATTATTGTGACTAGTAATATTGTTTCTTTTTGTGCTTTCCAAATGAAACACAGAACTTCCTATTGGCTGATATCTCCATTGCACTCGCATCTCTACCGTTACTTTCCACTGATTTTCGCTTTATTAAGTGGGCGAAATTTTAAGAATAAGTTCTTCCATGGCGTAAAATTTCATCCCACACACAACTGTGGTCTAGTTTATTCTATGCTAATGCGTCTGTTATTTCTGTTAAGTAATATCTAACACCCACCGATGATCTTCCTGATTATGGTGGAGATGGGAATTGAGAAGATAAGCACTAATCGGACCGACAAAATGACCCTGTAAGACCGAGTTTATGAAGGCACCCAACCATCAACAAGAAGCACCAATCACTAACAACAGAGAAAATCTAAAAGAAGCCGTCTCTTTCAATTATTTGAACTACAGGCCACGTCAAATATGAGGATGCCAGAGCCAACCAGCAAGGATGGGATTGGGAAAGTAAGACAGGCTTTCATTACACTAAAACCAGAATGTTAGTCTACATCATTGAACAGAAGGAACAAGAACTGAATTTATTAGCACCAATATCAAGTCAGTAATTCTTTATATTTCGCAAACTTTTCGCGTTACCGGAAGCATTTTCAACAGACTGCAGACTTTCATCAATGGCTGTGTTCTCTCAGTTATGGAGATCGGATAGTCGGCGAGAAAGGGTAAATAACAAAATACTCTCACATGAAGCCAAGATCCTATTGTTTGGCGAGTATGCAGAAGGAAATAGATTTGGATTGGAGATATGCTGGTGAAATTGTTGAATGATGTCACATACCAGGCCGTCAAGTGGACTGAAATAAAAAGTGGTGGGTTAGGCATTCGAAATCACGTGAATAGGAAGTGAAAGTTTATGAAGACTCGTGTAGCCAGTTAAAAACTGTAGCAGAGAATCGACTGCAATAGATGTATGCTTCTGAGGCCGTTTGTTCCACTTAACAATAATAATAATAATAGCTGAGTTGTCGACATAATGTCGATGTTTTCCGGAACTGGTTTTTAAAAATCATTAGTTTTAACAAATTCGTGAAAATGTTTTTTTTGTTAGTCCTTTTTTCGAATTTCGATTTATTTATTCGTAAAATGTATCTTTGTGAAAATTTAAACAGCGTGTGTCTGCATTCGTTGTTCGAAGAGTGCATCAAGGTAATTGAAAATCTCGTTCATTCAGATACTTTTATATGACGGATAGTGAGAGTTTCGTGAATTAAGTTTTGAATTATTGTACATTGCTAACAGTGCCAAACGCTTGAATCTGTCTCACCTTTGGTACTACTGTTATATTCGTCTGACTATCATAAATGGTCGATGATGCAATTCTTATTCAGGTAATTATAGGACTGCTTAATAACGTCGTTTAGTCGTGATTATAAAGTTTGTAGAAAATTTTTCCTTTTTTAAAAGACATTTGTAATAAAACTTTTCTGTCTACTTATTCGTTCTTCTCTTTTCTTATTTCAATGAAGTTAAATGTTATGAAGAATGAATTGCTTATGAATGAATCAGACAAATGTGACAGTGAACCCGTAGGAAATATAATCCCAGATGTTGTATCCAACGTGTGTGAAAAGTCGGTGCTGGTTAATCCTCCAGTTATAAACAATAACGAAGTTGTTGAGTTGCCTGAGGTAATTATTACTTAATAGTTTTCTTTAATGAAATACACAATTACAATACTTACTTTATGTTGACTTAAAAATTCACTTCTTTGTCCATTTACAGCCTCTATTTACTTTTCTGTTTTCATAAACTGTTGATTTTTATGACTTTTAAGTCCAAACACATAGTAACTTCCAACTTTGATTGCATTACAGTAGTTATCACCATTATAGTGTAACAACAGAAGACAAGGGCAAGGGAACAGATCGTTTATTAAAGAAATCAACACATATTTATAGATTTTCATGTACCTTATTACAGATTATTGTTAGCAGAAAAACACAGTCTTCTGATTGGTTATTTCTCACTCAAAGTTAATCTTTCATCTCTTTGTGGCTGTTTCTTGAATGTCAGATCATCTATATGTTAACTGTATCTGATTATGCAAAGTCTGCTGCGGTTGTTTGTTGTTTGACTAACAGCCAGCTCTCACCACAATAGGACTTAAAAGAAACGAGCTAGCTGTTCATGCTTTGAAGGAGAGCTTTTGAGTTTTAGTAAACTTGTCGACTTCAGTGTATTGTTCCGTAATACGGAAATGTTCTGCTTAGTTTCACACACACTTATGCTGTTGGGATTGACTTTCCACTTAATAGACAGAAGGAATTATTATTTTCTTTTACGTGAAAATACTGTTTTAGTTTAGTGTATGATTCCATATAGATATTGAAGGAAGGCAACAGAATATCCCACCGGTCTATTATTTTTAGGTATATTTCTGACTCACTCGAGGTATTATGAATCGCATAATGCAATGAAAAGGTTTATTTAGCAGGCAATGATTGAAGGTGATAGGATGTCTGGGTTACAGTGGAATTAGAACCAGTAGCCTCGGAATTACTAGTTTGGCTCTACCAGCTAAGCTAACAGACAGAAGAAGACTTAGTTGGGCAGCTAGTATGGTGAGAGACGGAGAGTAGTGTATCATTGATCCATATGACAGCTGGGTAGTGATTCCGGTGATTGCAGTACAATTATGACCTGAGTAGCAGTAGGGTTTCATAGCTCAGTTGGTAGATTGCTAGACTAGTAGTGAAGAGGTCACTGGTTCAAATCCTGCCACCATTCAGATTTTCATTCCACTTTCAATCATCACAGTTTACATCGGTAACAGTCTGCCAACCCAAGACTATCTCAAGTAGTCTCACTATCAAAAAAATATATGTTTCAGAACATTTTCGATATTACTTTTATTATGCATGAAATAGTAAATCACCTAATTAACCTGCTGAGAATTTCTATATTCATTAGAGCTTATCATGAACCTTAATGAACGGATTATTTCTTATAAAATTGTCTTGTTAAGGACAACTAAATTTTACTCTAAATAGTTGATCAGAGATGAATAGGAAAAGAGAATAACTTTGGGGCCTTTGTTCTCATTTTTATCACGACCAATATTGGGGACGTAAACATTGACGTAAATTACTGTCCACCAATTTTGACTAACAGCCAGCTCTCACCACAATAGGTCATTTTGTGAAAGTCTTTGTGATGGGATCTAGTCACTTGTCTATTATCGAATTCATATTTCAATATTACGCAAAATTAAAACAAATTTAAAAAAACAGCAACAAAACATATAATTCAGCGAAGAGATCTTCTTTTGTAACTTTTCTTCAAAACTGTACTATTATTTAGCAGTAATTGACAGCAGAAGTCAGAGGTCACTCTCAGTCGATAACAAAATGGGAATAAAAGTTTATCAGGAGTAACTGTGTGTGTGTGTGAAAAACTGGATAATCTTACGTAATCGAAAATGTTGACAACCAATTATTTAAGTAATGAATATTATTATTTATTTTATATTTTATTCCTTTACATTCCCCATTGGGACAAAGAGCTTCAAGCCCCAGAGCTTTGAAGTTCCTGTAGCAGTAGTGTTTATTCTTACGAGATGGGGTTGCTAGCCTCATGCCCAACCTTCCCTCTTTACCAGTCTTATTACTGGTTTAGTGAGCGAGATAAAGGAATGTGTTGGCCGAGGATCGAACCCCGATCCACTTGCGTGGTTGACGCGCATTCTACCGCTGTGCCTCCGACACCCAACTGATGAATAGTCATTTGGAAATAAGTGGTAGGAAACAAGAAAAAAAGACTTGAAAATGTGTCACCAAGAATAAAAAGGTTACATTACAATTTACTGTGCCAAAAATAATCAGGAGAATGGAATAAACACGTAGGGCATATTAGTAAACGCAGATAAATATGAAATCCAAGTTTTCTACTAGAGCTTCGGTTACATAAAAAAAAGATGTGGGCGAAATTGCTTTAAACGGCTTGATCCCACCTTAAATATTTCTGTGTTTATCTTAAATAACTCAGGTTTGGGAACTGTTCAAGGATTCAGCACTATTTTCGACTTCTTTCCTCTGTCTTGTTCGAAAATAGACCTAACAAAACAGGAATGACAAATTTTCATAAATTTTGGTTGTATGAAAAATTACCTTTAAGCTGCAACTAACAAACAAAACCAGGATGGATGGAACTGTAAATGACACCAATCTATGAGGTTTCCAATTAGCTGTGCAATAAATTGTAAACTTTACTGGTTATAATCTCGAAGAAATTCAAATTGATAGTATTGTGATCTTCATATTGGTTTTATAATTTAATACCCTTAGTATGTATATCCCACGCACCATTTTGTTCGCTGTATTATAAACAGCTTGAAATACGGAAATATACTATAAAGTGAATATACGTAAAATATTCCATTTGTTAGTTCTCTACAAATATCTCGATATCTATGCATAATACTGATTGACCATTAGGGATTAGTGAATACGATGTCAAGTCTTTAGTGTTATGCAAATTCTGTGTCTACCCCATGGATGGTAAAAATTCGAAGGGGAAGCGTCAGTCTTTTGTGGGTTATAGATCCCTATGGCGCTGCTAACAAGTTGCACAAATTATTTAGCATAAAATTCATAAAATATTCAAATGGTTATAGTTATTTCTCTTATGTTTTCTAAGGGAAGAGAAATTTCAATTGTCACAACCAGAGTAAAATATATAAAAAAAATCTCTTGTAATATGAATGTTTTCATATTTCACATGTAGACCTCGAGACATTCGATTACCAGTGAAGACGATGATGATGATAATGAAACATTGTCGAAGCTGTCTGAGAAACTGAAATCTTCTACTATTCCAAACAAAAATATCCTGAATTTAGAAACTGGAAAAAATTCACATTGGGAATTTATTGAATCTTCACGAATTGAATCAAAAGATAAAACTGCTTCGTTTGAAGTAGGTATTTTTTCTTCTTTTTTTAATGAACATCCAGATTACTATCATTAGCGTGTTTATTTATATTCTTTTAACTATGAAAAAAATTCAAGTTCACCTTTACAAAAAGTCATTCATAATCTGTTTTTACTTTTCATTTATTTCCCAGACCGATCAACAGAAACATTTGTCTCAAACACCGAAGAAGTCAATAACAGTATCGTCTACTTCTGTTTTTGTTTGCGACACATGTTCACATCCTTTTCGTCATAGAGGATCACTTTTACGCCACCAACGTAAAACGAATCATAGGGTGAGTACTGGTTAGTGTTGAATTATTGTTATTACTATTTGCTTTAATTCCTAGAGGAACATAGGGCCTCAGCTGCACATCTCCATTGCATTCGGTTCTCTGCTAAAGTTTTCACCTGGTTCCAGGTCTGCCCACATGCTTTCATCTCCTCTTCACATGACCTCCTCCATGTCACCCTCGCACTCACGACCAACTCGCCGCTTCTCTTTCGGGTTCCTCTCGAGCGATGGCCTGGCGTGTGATTTCATTCACTTGATGGCTTTCTCAGAGTATGGCTAATCCACCTCCATTTCTTCCTGCATATTTGTTGCACAATTGGTTCCTGCTGTGTTGGTTCGCTCATTGCCAGAGATCCATCCGTGTTGCTGATCTTTTCTGACCGGCCATCTGATCTTGAGTATCGAGTGAAGACAGCTGTTGATGAAGGTCTGTAGTTTGTTTGAGGTGCTCTGTATGATGCACAGTGCAAGTGTCTGATCCGTGTATAGTAAGTACCACTGACTTCACATTGAAGTTGAAGATCCGGATCTTATTTTCATTTTCATGGTGAGTGATGTTGACCTCCACACAGAGTTAAGAGTAATGAAAGCTTGTCTCGCTTTCCCGATCCTTGGTTTGATATCCTCGTCAGTTCCGTCGGCCTGTAGTTGAAACGATGCTTCCCACGTAGTCAGGTGAATGAGGTTGTTTCTTTGAGGTTCCTCCCATTTATGTTGGCTGATTGTTGTCTGTTGTTGTTGTTGTTGCTGTTGTCGGTGGCCAGGGATCTTCATCACCTCTGTTTTCTCTATGTTTACTTGGCGTCCTAGCTTTGATGCTTCTTCTGCCAGCTGTGTTGCTTTTCACTTGCATATCTTCCAGTTTGTGGGAAATCAGTCATATATCACCGACTTCATTTTATTATTTTTTGATTAGCTTAAAGTAAGGATTAATCAGGGTTGTTTCAGATGATGTTTCAAAAGTGGTGTGGTTGTGTTCTCTGAGCTGGATAGTTAATTTGAGAAGCTTTCATCGTCCCACTAGGCGACATCTTCAGCGCATACTTCAATTTGAAGTTCATCAAATCCTCTTGTTCGCCCGTTCGTTTATTTTGCTTTAGCTGTATTATGATGTTGAAAGAACTTCTTGCCTTTCATATTCACAGCTTCATTTTTCTATGTACCTTTTGTTTTCCTAAATATGAAGTTATCAAGACATTGGTTGACACCTGCAAATGGACATCCTTCTTGAATGGATAATTGTATATTCGTGATATATATAATCATAAAAAAGATGATTTAGGGAATATATTGTACAGTTATTTTGTTTCTATTCAGATAACATTGTCATAGTGGAATTGCAGCGCTTAATTTGTTGTTTTATCGATTTTTGTTTCTATAACTTCAGGTTTTTCTATCTCTATTTCATTTTAGAATTACAATGATTCTGATAAAAACCCACCCAGTGTACCAGCTATAGTGCCATCTACAGAAATATTAGGACAATTTTGTGAAAATAACAATATGATGGAAGCAATATCAGATTTGATTTCAGAGGAATATACAGATCTAGTGTTGACCGAGACCACAATTGTAGAGAGTAATAATAATAATGATAGTAATATTATATTAGTTAAGGTATGTCCTCTTTTACAGTTTTGCTTCTTTGTTTTGTTGTGGTGAATTTCTATGTTTTTCGAGTTTGACTGAGGATTGATATCGGTTAGAGAACTATTGGAAACCAGGAAGTCACTGGACAGCTGTTTCATCGTAGTTTGGGAACCATCGACAGTACAAACCCACCCACATCACAGGGTTTGAACCCAGGACTTTCCGGTTACAAGGCAAGCTGGTATACCATTCAGCCACTGGGACCCGTTTCAGTGGCCCATGAATTTTAACTTCTATCAATTCGTGATTTAGCGCGACCTTCAACCAGTGTCATCGGTGGGGAATCCATCCTCACAGGTGACATCTAGATGGACCTCACTGATCACGACTTCTCACTAGAACTCCTTCTGTGTCGTAACTTTTGAAATGTTTAGATATTTTTTCACTAATAACTACCACAGGTTCTGTTAATTTTATGAAATGATGTTTTGTTTTAAATTGGAGTTAAGTAACAGTCGTCTTATAGCCTAAAATCTAATGTAGTAGGTAGATGGTGTGCCTAATTTGTTTCAACCTGAATTTTATCACCTGCTTTGGATCGAAATGTAGGTGGAGTGTCACCGCAATGATGATTTAGTGAGGCATGCGGATTAAACTAACCATCATTTCCACAAACTGGAATTCCTGCCTTTCATACTTATGATAATTTTATTCGACACTTAGTAGTAACCAATGTCATCCTTATAATCATTGGTGTTGGTGCAGACTGAATTCTGTCAGTCAAGTTTGTAATGTAGCCACTACACAAGGTAGTTTACCATCACGGTACACTCTAAATTATTGTTAGGTGGTTAAAGGAGGTCAACAGGAAGCCTTGGACCTAGCTGTTGTGCTTCTTGGCTCTCGTCAGCAATATGAATCTCTGACGAGATATGAATTCATTCAAGATTACAGATACAAATTTCTGCGTCTTACAGCCCGATTTTTGAATACCCTTTAGTCACAGTCGCGGGTTTGTATGCTGGAAAATATTTGAAGATCCATGGTGTTAGTTCAGAGCAAGATTGCTGGTATGAACGTAACGGTTAGTCACCGCACATCCTCAGCTCAAAGAGGCCAGGTTTCTTAGGCGTAGAGCAAGACAGCACTCACTAGGGCACTGTAAACTCGAACTTTGCCAGCCAGACTAACGTCGCGATGGTGCCACAGGTGGCTCAAGTTGACGTATGTCACTCTAGCTTGCATGGTGCGGATGGGCATCTCCTCCACCACACGGTCAGTAGTCACACGATTAACTAGGCGGATGAAGTTATCGACAACCTCAAGCAGCTCCCCTACACGGGTGATTGGAGGTAGAGACTGCTGCCAGTCGTGGAACTGTACTTTGCACTTGGACGGCGCCACACATGTACCATACTTGCAGACACTGATGGCCAACTGATTAAGTGCGATTTGGACAGCCTGTATGCTGTCTCACAGTAGGACGATATCGTCTGCGTACTCGAGGTCGAAAAGTCTCTCTGCAGGTGTAGATCTACACCACCTTCGCACATGTCCTTCATAAGTGACTGCAGATTGTCATCGGTGTCAAAGTTAGAGAGATATGGGGAGATTGGCCAACCGTATCTAACCGTACTGTTGGTTGAGAAGAGTGATGATAGTTGATTGTATGCCCTTTTCCTACCTGAGTTGTTTCTGTTCGGGAGTTTGTTGGTTGTCATCATAGATATGCTGATGGAAGTACCCTTAACTGAACGTAATGACTTAGGAATCGACTTGTTACCAGGGAATAGTCTTATGGACTTAGAATATGCAGATGACATAGTCCTGTTAGGGGAGGATGCTGACAAAATGCAGAGTCTCCTGAACACCTTGAGCAGCAATCTTCATATGTTTGGGATGCGATTCGCCCCTAGAAAATGTAAGATGTTGCTACAGGACTGGACCACGTCAACCCCTAACTTAGCGATAGGGAGTGAAGTGATAGAACGTGTTGACCACTTCACCTATTTGGGAAGTTGTATCAGCACCAACGGACTGATTGGCGATGAAATCTCAGCACGGATCCGAAAAGCTCTAGCTGCTTTCGCTGACTTACACCATCTCTGGCGTAGGCGTGATATTCGGCTATCAACCAAAGGACGTGTGTACTGCTCAGCAGTTCGCTCCGTCCTTCTCTATGGCTCCGAAACATGGCCAATACGAGTTGAAGACATGAAAAGGTTGACTGCTTTCGATCATAGATGTCTGCGATCCCTGTCTCACGTTAGGTGGTTTAATAAGGTAAGTAATGTTGACGTTAGGCGTAGAGTGTTGGGCAAAGAGGGAAAATCAATCGACGAGGCTATAAAGTTACACAGATTGAGATGGCTAGGTCACGTGCTGCGCATGCCTAACCATCGCCTCCCCCGACGGGCATTACTAGCTGATATAGGTGCAGGTTGGAAAAGAGCCAGTGGTGGCCAAACAAAAACATGGCATCAATCCATGAAATCCTTGACAGTCAAACTGAGTCAGGTAGGGAGATGCAGACTACCGGGTTGGGACCCTCGGGACTCTAGGAATCAATGGCTGGAGACAATAGGTGACATGGCTCAAAATCGTTGTCAATGGCCAGCGCAGATGTATTCAGTCTCTGTAATCTTTCATATTCCTTTCTACCATTATCCATTCATTTTCACTCTTATACTTGTCAGACTGTATTGATTCTCTTCACTCATCTTCTTGTCTACTTTTGTGTGCTATTTGGAACGTGGCAACTCGAACTGCTGCACTTCGGTGGCAAGTTCTATGTTGAATCCAGACAGACAGACAGTTTGTTGGTTGTTGAAAAACTTCTTAGGTATTTTTGTTTTTTAAAGACAGTTTCAGAGAGTAGTTGTGTTGAATGAATCGAAGAGAGGTGTGATATCAAGAAACGCAACGATTGTTGGCCTGAAATATGTGTGACGGTGTTGTAACAACTGACGAAGCCTGAGCACATATTCAATGCATCTACGAGCCGAATGAAAGCGATGTGACTCCCCGCGAATCAGTTTCACACATGTTTTGCTTAGCGTGTGAAGCGAGATAACAACCATTAATTTAGGTAGGACTGATAGGGAACTAATCCTTCTTTGATTGTTCCATGTATAACGTGTTATTGTTTAAAGATGGGGAGGATAATGGCCTGACTGCACATTGATGGTAAATCCTCAATATTCTATACCTTCTTGAAAAGTCTATTGAATTCCGTGGAGGGAATCTCGTCACCATCTTTAAATTCAGTCGGGAGTAAGTTGTCTGGGTCGGGTGTCTTAAGATATTTCAGCCCCTTAATTTATTTTCAGTCCTTCGCTTCGTTTATTGGGTCTGTATTGAACGATCGCGGGGTAGTGTAGATAATGATGTAGGACAGGGGCGCTACTGGTCAGCTAATCTGCATTTCGAAGTGTTCTGCCCAGCGTTTCGGGTGTCTTTTCAGACTGTTAATGTTAATTGATTAAACCCGATGTGTTGGTGATTAAAGATTACATTAGTAAAGACAGCTGAGAGACAAGGCTTTAGTCATTCTTTTTTAAAGGTTGTAATCCTGAACGATACCATTTTTTAATTCATCAAATCATTTAAAAAAAACCAACTTATTTCGTCGTAAACGTGAAGTTGTATTCACGTGCTGCACATATCCTAAAACACTCTTTGTTTTCATTTCACTTTTATTTCTAGGACGTTGCTGATTCAAGTCATTGTGAAAGTCAAAATCACAAGTTCCCTGGGCTTGAAATATCAACAATAAACCCGTTTGTTAGCCCTCAAAAAGGAATCACAACGCCTATGATGAACGAAAAACACCCACAGTCGGACACAGTAGTAACTCCTTTTTTCAAAAGGGAAGAAACAGTTTCTAAGGTGTGCCCCATTTTTGCTTTGGTTTTTTGTGCGCTGAAATATGTCACTTGGTTGCTGTATTATTTTATTGTAAACTTTTTTTGGTTTTATTATACTTATTGTGTCTTTAATCTGGTTAGTTCTAAAGGATAACTCACTTATATTTGACGTAACTTTGCATAATTTTATTTATTTATTTTTTTAAATTTTGATTGCAGCTTGATTCCACACTGTATTTTTGGTAGAAGTATGGAATTTTCAGTATATGATATCGGTAGCCCAAATTTTGCAGGCCGACCATAGATATCAGGTGTTCGTCGGCAGGGGAACGAACCTCGGACCATGTGCATGGTCGGCGAGAGTCCTAACCACTGTGCCATCGACTCACAGTTGATCTGTCTTAAATCACTATTTGTTTTACATGTAGTTTTAGTTAACTGGCAAAAGAATGGTTTCGTTTTAGTGAAGCTAGTGTACTGCATGGAAAATCCGATTACAATACTATGAACTTGAGAATAGATCCCATTTTGTCGTTTAAGGACTAGGTGTTATGCTTCTAAGTAGAGTGTTACTGAGATAAATCCATAACTCATTAGTTACAAGTGAAACAGTCCAAGCTAGTTAAAGTTATCGTTTTTATGGGTGTCTTGATTGCTCTGTGCGTCTGTGGCACAGCGGTTAGGACGCTCGCCAACCACTTACATGGTCCGGGGTTCGATCCACCGGCCTTCTAAATTCGGGCTACTGATATCACATGTTGAAAATACCATAGTTGTAGCAAATACTGTGGAATCAAGCTATAATAAACAATGAAAAAAATCGTAGCAATTCTTCTGTAAAGAATTTGTAAACAACACGATGAGAAACTAGTAGGAAATTTCTTTATACTCTCCAAATACTGGCATTTTCTAGAAAAACTATTCTAAGTAAGTGAGAATTTGTAGTACCGTATAGGAATACTACATATTTCCTATATGAATATATTCGTCTAAATATATATTAATGTAATTGAATGTAACTCAAGGATGAGCTGTTTTCATCATCAACATCAATATCGGAATAAATGACTTAGTATCAATCCCGTGTCTAGTGATAGTTGAGGCTGGGAAAAGGCAAATCATTTCTTCATACAACTGGTTCCCTAGATTAGTTTGAATAAAGAAAGAACGAAGAGATTTGAAAGGGCAATACGATCACGGTTTATTTCGTAGATTCTTTTCAACAATATCAGAATGTAAGTTACATATATGCTGAACATACGCGGAGTTAGCCTTAGAAAGTGTTAGAAAGCTACTACATAATTCTCAAGTGATGTAAGTAGATAGATTATTGACTGTTAAAGAGGCTAACTAAATCATAATATAATTTGACAAGAAGGGGGAGCAGAGTTCAAATTTTGCAGTGCGTCGGTGGCATAGCCGTTAGGACCCTCGCCGACCATGCACATGGTCCGAGGTTCGATCCCCGGCAACTGGATGCACTCCTTTACCTCGCTAAGCCAGAAATAATGCTGATAAAGAGGAAAGGTTGGGCATGAGGCTAGCAACTCCATCCTGTAAAATAAACACTTTTACAGAAACTTCAAGTCACCAGCTTGAAGCCCTATGTTCCACTGGGAACGTGAAGGAAAAAAAATTACTAACAGTGATTGACTAGAAACGGTATACAGAATAGAACAGTGCAATGGATTTCTATATAGTATGATAAGAAGTTCGATAGGGTAAAATGATGACCATTAGACAAACAATCAAGTAAAGTTGATAACGAGTTCAACTCAGTAAGTGAAAAAAAGAAAAATCAAAATTAGGTAGTGTTACCCAATAAAACCAAACACATAAAACACGAACAAAACAATTATATTTCTCAGGGTACTGAGAGGTTCACCATGCTACTTTTCTGTACACGGAAGTTCGCTTATTGAATCGTTTGATAGCAATGGCTTATGTAGAACTAAGCACCTACGGTTTTCTTTATATCTTAATTACTTCAAAAGCTTGACTAGTCCTGACTCAGTGATCCTTTGTCAACAAAATGTTTGGCAATTCCAATTGGGAATATTATGCTGCCTTTTATGACTTGTATTTTGATATTGTTTAGATTCAGTGCAGTTTCTATGTCTCCACGAAATAATAAAATGTGCTCGTATTATCCTGTAAATATATTCGTTCTTTCTTTGTTCAAATGGACGCTTTCGTTTATTGTTATTCTGGTTATAACATGCATCAATCTGTTTAAACATTTCACTTTGTAAAATGATATGAATATTACTCATATATATTTGCGTTTTCAGGCTTATAACGCTTTCAATACTGATGTAATAAAAGAGGAGGAAACTGAATACCTTTTAAGAGCATCAGATACAACTCCTGTTGACGATGTCACTGCGCATAGTGAATTGACATCGACTCAATCACAAAATCAGTCAAACGAAACAGTAAGTGTAAGTGCTGTTTCCTTTCCTTCAGTTTCTTTCCATAATGGTTTGCATAACTCATTCACATTAAAAAGGACGTAATATACTTTGAACACTAGTTTACTACCTAGTGGCCCAATCAAGGTATCGAATTCAGTCCTACAGAAGGTCAATCGTGAGGCTGAATAACTCAGTGATAATGTCTTTGACTGCAGAACTGGGTGACACAGTTTCGAATCTCAGGAGGGATGTGACTTCCTTCAAGATTGCAGATACGCCTTGCTGACAACTAACTACCAACAAGTGTACAATCCAAGGCCGCCTGCCGATTGCCTCCAACCATCTGCAAATGACCTAATATAGAATTGACTACTAGGGATTTAAAAAAATACATAATTAATTCTTGTTATATTTCTATTTACCTATTTATTAATCGGAAAAAAAATAATCCCCTGTTGAAAAAAAGGACCAACATTCATCTGTTTCTCATCATTACAAATGTCCATGGTGTGATCGCGTGATAAGGCTTTTCCACAATTTTACCAGACATACGGCCTCTTGTAAAGATCGGTTTTTGAAAATAGAGGTGGGTTTCTGTTTTATGCACATCTGGCTTCAGTGGTATTATTTCTATAACGTTTTTTTCTTTTTATAATTATTAAGCAGAAATCGTTAAGTTGATTTCTAGAGATCAATTCTACTGAATTTCTTTTCTGTTTTAGTCAGCAAATCATATATACTTTTGTTTCACACATCTACCATTATAGTGACATTCTTGGAGTGTTTATTTTACAAGTGCTGCTAGATTTCAGAATGTTTTTATTTAGTAGTAAATGTTAGTATTTTTTAACTACGTCATACATATAATAGGGGTCGGCAGCAGTAAAGCATAGATACCCCATAGTCAAATGGCCTTGAGCCAGCCAATCATGTGCTTCTAGGCCTCAGTTCTCCATAGGACTGGCTATGGTTAGTAAACTAGAATCTGTATGAGTGTCACTTATTATAGGATCCATTAATGCTGATAAATGATTGACTTTATCAGGATCATAACCTAATGATGAAGGTTATTGTTGAGCATTTCAAGTGAATACTGCTCATAATCATCGTTGCGCATTTTATCCTAACCGTAATGATCTTCGCAAGTTTCATCGTAACCTTAATCAATAACCCTAACCCCCAATCAGAGTAAAACTTGCAACGAAGGTTATGAAAAGCATTCATTTGCAATTCTGGGTGATCTGATTGGCTGGTTCAAGGTCATTTGTCTGTGGTATCTATTCTTTACTCTTGCTTAGTGGTCTGAATTAGTGTTACTATGATTTCTAATATGGCATATAGTTCTCGGTACCATTCTATTTTAACATTGGAATACGTGTGATGATCATTCATTTTTCACATAGAATTTAAAATCTGAAAAATGTATAGATTTCGGCTTGTCTCTGTTGTTGTTGTTGTTGTTGCTGTATAGATTGATACCTCTTTGTGTACCTTCTGTTTATTCTTTTCACGTTCCCAGTGGAACATAAGGCTTCAAAGTAGAGCTCTGCAGTTTCGATAGCAGTGGTGTTTATTTTTACGGGATGTGGTTGCCAGCCTCATGTCCATCCATCCTTCCCTCTCTACCTATCTTACTACCGGCCTAGCGAGGTTTTGGAAATGCTTGGCGAGAATTCTACAACTGTATTAATGACCCACTGACTACAGAGTTTTATTTTATTCTTATGTAGTTTTAGGTTTCTACTAATTCTATGATTGTATAACTTTTATACATTCATTATAAATCCGACTCAATGCTGAAATTATTTCTGGAAATTCGTAACAACATCTACGGTCTCTGGAAACTAATAATTTTACACATTCATTTAAAAAAATTTATTTTAAACAGGTACAAGAGAAACCTGTGGTCGATTCTGAGAATTTGTCTTCGATGGATGATTCCACTATTCCTACTGAAAAACCATACTCCATATGCTTAAGAAGGCGTAGCATGTCAATACAATCTAATGAAGGTAAAAAAACTTCTAAGAGATCATCTGTTAAGAAAACTACAGGAAATTCAGATTCTCTACCTGCTACACCTTCAACAGATGAAATCGTCAAAAGGTCAGTGGATTTTTAGTTTTTTCTTTTAAACAGTCCGCATTCACATTCGCATTATTTTATTTCCCCCCCCCTTCTCTCCACCACCCACCCGTTCACTTTATTTTTGGTTTTGTTAAGAAAAATAAATAGTATTAATAATAATAATTTGCTTTATTCCAAAACAGTACTTGTGATACAGAATGGAATTCTCAGCATTTTACTACAGTATTCCATCCAGTTAGTACATTAACAATAAATAAAATTCTACATAGATTAAGGGTAATCTCAGTTCATTATTACAACAACATATTAGCATGTCGGTAACAAAGCCAAAAAGTGAACAGAGTGTTTGAAGGTGTTAGAAAAGTAGATACTGCTAGCATATTTACTGGCGTAAGCGGTAACAAAAAGGTCGAGATATACAGAGCGTGAAAGAACGAAGAAGAATGTTTTAAATAGAGTTTGTAAGAAAGAGAGAAACAAAACAGCACATAACAAAAGAAAAAGAAAAGAAAAACATTGTACCTATAAATGATATGAGTTGGAAAGACGAGATCCAGTTGTTCTACTGACTATTTAATAAGTTATAGGTATCACGCCTAATACTTTCTTTATCGCACAGAACACGAGCTAAGTAGGGTATGGTTGAGTTTTTGTACTTACTAGTGAGAGCATAAATTTTTCTATATAGGCTCCTGGTTTTGCCTGATGAGATACAAGGGGAGAATTGTGAATGAAGAGGGTGGTGTTGTGAGTTAGATAGAATGGATTTCGCCCATTTTTCACATAAGTCCAAGTGCTTGTCAACCAGAATATTAACAAGCTGGTTAAGTGGCACGTTGCTTACCCTGCTGACAACCTTTAACATCCTGAGTAATAAGGTATAGTCTTTCATCAGTAGCCCTGGAAGAACTAAGGGGGAACAATAGAGAATAATAGACAGAATACGAGAGTTAACAAATTGTAGGAGTAAGGGTTGGGTTATTCCAGAATGTCTTAACTTCTTGATGTGGAAGGTAATACGGAATGTTTTTTTTAGAAATCATCAAGATATAAGACGACCAGGAAAGATCAGCAGATAAAACGACGCCAAGATATTTAATTTCTGACTTGGTTTCTATTTCAGTAGAAGTATAATTATAAGGCTTTTGAAAATAATGTTCAAAGGCAATTCAGTACTGTCGTGTTTTTAAATTCAATTATTATAGTGTAATGTAAGTTAAAGTTTGGCTTGTTAGTATTTAAGTCAGTGTGATTCTCAGGTACAAATCTCAATCTACCTATTTTGATTTGGGCAAATAATTGTGTCTCCAGCTCCTATTTATTGTATCTCAAAGCCTAATGCATGAAAGCATCCTGTACGAAGTAAATGCATTGCCTTTAAAAGTAGTATAACAATTTCCTTGGCTCCAGATGAATTAAGCAAAAGGAAAGGTAACACTTGAACTTGAAGAGATTTCTGTCAACTGTAAAAGATAAATCTGCATGCTATTCATCAGCTTATTATACAATGGATATAACACGCTTCAGATAAAGAAATTAAATTTTATACAATCGGTGAATGGTGGCTAGCAGTGGAATCCAGGATGCACATTTCGTCCTATTTGGGACTCGTCGGCTGGATGTACCTGCATTTCTCAGTGAGTGATGATGTCACCACCAAGGCTCGAACCCAGTTCCCATAGTTTCAAACGCCAAAGCATGGTTCAGATGATGAGTCCCTTATAGGACGAAATGTGCTTCCTTGATTCCACTGTTAGCCACCATCCACCAATTGTATAGTAATTAAATGTTAAAAAAAGGAATTATCACAGTGACATCAAGAGTTGAAAGTGTACATCAGACCAAAAGACCAATATATGTACTCTAATCATGTTTTTTTTCTGTCTACCACTACATCTATTTGTTTGCGTATGTTTTTTCTTTTCGGTTTAATTTTCTGTTTTGAAAGTGGTTATTATTATTATGATTATCTTTTTCTAAAATCTCCCTTTGCTTTAGTCGGCGGTCATCGGTGTCTACACTATCTTCTAGTGATAATTTTATTGACGATGCCAAATCTGTTATCTCAAATGCTACAACTATTCCAGCATCTGATGAAATGAACAAAGACGACCCTGAATTATCCACAGTACCTTCTTGTCCATGGTGCAATAAATCTGGTTACTCGTGCTTACGTATCCTTCACATACACCAATCACGATGTCCACTTCGTCCTAAATCGATAGAAGAACACAAGTCACCGGTGCCTAATAAGGAAATTGACAAACAAGTCATAACAAATTTTATTTGTGAAGAATGCAGTCGTGGATTCTCTAGCAGTACAGGTTTAAAAGTTCATTGTTCTATGGTAAAACATAAATATACCGAACAAAAACCAGTACCTGATGATACATTTTCACAATATATAGGTTGTCCAGGATGTTCACGTGATGCACCGTTATTTGATTCTACAGAAAAATTATTGAAACACTTGTTAACATTAAAATCCGGTTCTGGTAATAATCATACAAGTCGTAGTCAACGTTGGCCAACTGTATTACAAGTGCCTAATTTAGGATATGGTTGTCATATCTGTGGTCTGTTACTCGCCTCTGAGTCTCGTTTAGATAAGCATAAAAAAGCTGTTCATGAAGCATGGCTATTAGAAGAACAACAAAAAATTAGCCCTGGTAAATTACCTCAGTCATGCGGTAATTCTTCTTGATAATTGTTCCCCGTTTCTGTTGTCTATCATCTCTTTCCTCCACAGACACCCCCCTCCTTGTACATCTTCTTTATAGCCCCTTCTAGACAAATTGTGTTAGTCTCAGTCCTATTCCAACTAATCATATGCAAGAGAATGAATTCATGTTAAAGAGTAGGATATGATAAAAATGGAATAACTGTATATGTAATTAGGTGTTTATTTATACGTCATTGCATAATTTGATATATACGTATTTCTAGTTACAGTATATGTTTACAAATGAAATGTAAATATGTTGAAATAAGAAATGCTGTTTTCAATGTTTTTTGTGTTTGTTTTCTACTTAGCCACTTAATGTATATAAAGATACCGCTTTTCAACTTAGCTCTACTACTATTATATTGTACATTATATATTATAGATGTACAGTTAATCTCCTCTGGGTTGTCTTTTTTTAAAAAAACTTTTGTTTGATCGAAAGTCAGCAATTTATTTCATTAGGATTTTTCAATGAACGCCATTTTTTGTTCAATGTCAACTGTTTTTGTTTTTTTGTGTGGTTGGATTTTCTATAATAACTTGTTTTATTCGATAGTTCTTTTTTTCTAATAACTTAGATCTGTTTTCTTTTTACTAAATGTGTTTTGTTTTATATATGCGTGTGTGTGCGTGTGTGTGTGTGTGTAGATACCTGTCACAGATTACTTTAAGCAATGAATGTATTTATCAAATAAATTAACCTTTATGTAAAAGAAGTATTGTTATTTATTGTTATTATTATATCCTTTAATTCCTAGAGGAACATAGGGCCTCAGCTGCACATCTCCATTGCATTCGGTTCTCTGCTAAAGTTTTCACCTGGTTCCAGGTCTGCCCACGTACTTTCATCTCCTCTTCACATGACCTCCTCCATGTCACCCTCGCACTCACGACCAACTCGCCGCTTCTCTTTCGGGTTCCTCTCGAGCGATGGCCTGGCGTGTGATTTCATTCACTTGATGGCTTTCTCAGAGTATGGCTAATCCACCTCCATTTCTTTCTGCATATTTGTTGCACAATTGGTTCCTGCTGTGTTGGTTCGCTCATTGCCAGAGATCCATCCGTGTTGCTGATCTTTTCTGACCGGCCATCTGATCTTGAGTATCGAGTGAAGACAGCTGTTGATGAAGGTCTGTAGTTTGTTTGAGGTGCTCTGTATGATGCACAGTGCAAGTGTCTGATCCGTGTATAGTAAGTACCACTGACTTCACATTGAAGTTGAAGATCCGGATCTTATTTTCATTTTCATGGTGAGTGATGTTGACCTCCACACAGAGTTAAGAGTAATGAAAGCTTGTCTCGCTTTCCCGATCCTTGGTTTGATATCCTCGTCAGTTCCGTCGGCCTGTAGTTGAAACGATGCTTCCCACGTAGTCAGGTGAATGAGGTTGTTTCTTTGAGGTTCCTCCCATTTATGTTGGCTGATTGTTGTCTGTTGTTGTTGTTGTTGCTGTTGTCGGTGGCCAGGGATCTTCATCACCTCTGTTTTCTCTATGTTTACTTGGCGTCCTAGCTTTGATGCTTCTTCTGCCATCTGTGTTGCTTTTCACTTGCATATCTTCCAGTTTGTGAGAAATCAGACATATATCATCGGCGAAGTCTAGATCCTCCAAGTTTTTTGTCAGTCCATTTTATGCCTCTTTCCTCATTGTCTGTTGTCTGTCGCCTTATCCAATCTACTGCAGTCAGGAAGATCATTGGCGATAGTAGGCAGCGAGCTTGTCTTACCCCCGTCCTCACTTAGAAGGCTTCTGTAAGTTTCCCGTTGTGGATTACTTGGCATGCAGCATGGTCGTATAACTGCTGGATGAGATGTCGATGGCACCCCTTGGTAGTAGCGAAGTAGTTTCCAAATGACCTCTCGATCGATGCTGTCTCCTGAAGACCTTTTCATAGTCGATGAAGTTGAGATAGAGAGGTGACTGCTATTCCAAGCTTTGTTTAATGATGATCCGTAGAGTGGCGATTTGATCAATACATGACTTGTTTCTCCTGAAGTAATTGTGCGTTATTATTTGTCCTGATGATAGTGGTGGTGATTACTTCTAACTAAGTAGGTAGTCATAATTTCTCATGTTGATAGATAGGGCGCCTATTTTATTACATGTGATTGATTCCTATGGAGTAATAGTTAAGTTAAACAAAGTTCACTTTTAACAGTTTAAAAAAAATTTGTGCATTGGGTATATGATATTCATTATAACAAAGGTTTTCTTGTATTTCCCAATGCATGAAAAACAAAACGATATTGTGTCGCTGTTTATTACTAATAGCTTTATCAAAGTATTATTCAACCAGAATTTACAAAATCTCAGCTTAGATATAACAACTTAATGATCGTTCCTCAGCATGGGGTCATTTTTCCGTTGTCAAATTTGCCAATTAGTAAAGATAACAAAACCAGGTGTAGATTGTTGGATTTGATAAGTGTGTAAAATTATAAAAGCAGCATGTGTTTACGTAATGAGATTGCTAATAACATTCGTGTTGATTTCGATCGCTCAGCAGTTCGCTCCGTCGTTTTTCATGGCTATGAGACACAACCGTTGAAATCTGAAGGCATAAAAAGTCCGGCCAGCTATCTTTGATCATAGGTGTCTGCGTTCCTTCTATCTCCCGTGTTAGATGGTATGATATGGTGAGCAATGTTGAGTCTAGGCATCAAGTTCTAGGTAAGGAGGGAGGGGGGGAATCAATGGATGAGGTCGTGAAGCAGCTGAATCGATTGAGATGGTTAGGACATGTGTTACGCATGCATGCCTAGCCATCGCCTTCCTCGACAGTGGGCAATGCTAGCTGACATTGGATGGATGGATGGATCAGGTTGGAAAAGAGCTGGTGGTGGTCAAAGCAAGATATGGCCTCATCAGTCGATGAAATCCATAACAGTTAGTTTACGCTAGCCAAATAGAGAGGTGCAGACTGCCGTCTAGTAGGGGTCCTCAGGATGGCGATGACCAGTGGAGGCTGGAGACAATTGGTGGTATGGCTCAAAATCGTTCTGGGTGAATAGCGCAAATACAGTCTCCCTTTGTGATTGATAATACCCAACAAAACTCTATTCTTCTTCCATATTACTATTCTTTTCCCATCGCTCTTCTATTTATTATCTCTTTCTCTCTCCCTCTTAAATCTCCCTTTACTCTGTTCTCTTGCTTTGTGTGGTACATGGAGTGTGGCGACTCGAACCGCTTCACATCTGTGGAATGTTCTATGTTGAATTTAGTCAGTCATTGTCATCATACCCAGTTTGACACCTTCAACACTACCTTCATTAAAAAAGTGAGGCATATATTTGTAAGTTACATAAATATTTAGGTAACTTTTGTATTATTTTTGTCCGTATTTCCCATTAAGTTGTGAAGTTCAGAGAATCCCACACAATTTTCATTCTCCTCCTGAACTACAAATCTTTTCTTATTATTTCATTCAGAATGTCATTGCGTTTGGTGCTGTTGGCAGCTAAGCAGTATTCCAAATATTCATTGTAGTTATGTGTCTGAGTGTTAATAACAATACTGTTCAGAACGCGTGTTTCTCGTTTGAAACTAGTCAGCTGAATCTACCTGCACATCACATTGACTAATAATATTCCTGCATACATATTGCAGCATACCTACCAAACTAATATCAAGGTCTCATCGCAACGTGTATAGAGTCCAAAACCCACGATTATATGGTCTGAGCTAGCCTGAACTTCATTGAGTTACTCTCAGTTGGAAAATGCCCCAATGACTGCAAAAGGGCAGTTATTTGAGATGAAATATACAATACTATTTAATAATAATAATAATGACATCAAAAACTGAAGATTACCTAGACAAGGCCGTTAGGCAGCTGTGTGTTTCTAGTACAAAATATCACTGTAGACGAAAATTAGTTAACCAAAAATCAACAGTAAGAAGCACCTGGGAATCAAGTTGCATATTCCCAACAAGGTGAGGACGAAACTCTGTTAGCAAGAATCACAATTTACACATGCATTCCAGATTCAGAATGACCTTGGAGAACTTTGAACCACTAAGAGAAGTATCCAAATTAGAGATCAAATAGGAACAAAGACAAATAGTGAGGGTCGAGTCAACATATGCTCTGCAAATGTCAGAACAATGGTATACAGTCTTGGAGAAAAACAGATTATAATCGTAGGTTGTTGAAACAAAATCAGTATCAGTATTGTGACTAGATTGTTCAGGAGGGATTTCTAAACAGTTATTCTGTCACAGTGTAAATGGTCTATGTCCTCCTGGATGGCATGCTATGAGGGTTCGTAACGTTTTTGATTAGCTGTCATTATAGGATTTGGGTTTGCATAAAGATACTGATACGCTGGAGAGTAGGAAGCACAGTTATTGATTAAATTAAATTTGATAGTTGTTTTATATTATTTTCTGACTGTACAGTTCCAGTGAGACTTAGAAAGGGAATGATACACATCACAGATTTCGGGTATCATTTACACTGTAACGGATGGCTTTGAAGATTAGTTATCACTGTCGCTTTTGAGGGCTGAAGCTATGATTATATTCATGAGCCTGTTGTTCTCTAATGTTCCATTCGGAATCAGATAGTTGATGATTTCTACTTGGAATTGTAGACTGGCAAAAGTCAAGAAGTATTCAAGCATTATCTAAACTTACTGGTACACAAAGATTCATTTTACTCACTTCTGTCGTTAATGAAACAAATCAGGATTAGTTTGACACGTGTGTTATAAATTCTTAAGTTCTATAGGCATTCAGTTTCTGGCACCAGTTACTTTCAAAGTATGACTGAAGTTGCTATACTCGGGCATTTGTCACTCTTTTGTCTTTAGATTGCAGGTACAGCTGTGGAAGTCACTAACTGCATATATCACAAGACTTTGACTTTAACTTCCTAATTGTCCGTTGAGAGTTTTGCCAATTTCATTTGGAATAGAATGTTATTTCATAATTCAGCCATATTTTTGTAATACAATATTTTGATTTGAAGTGATAAAGAACATGATAGTTGTTAAGCTATGTGAACTCTACTGATTGAGTTGAGCTACCTATTCCATTCTCCTCAAGAAAAGATCAAAGTTATTGAATCGGTTCACTTGTAAGTAATGATTCTGATAACATACAGGCAGCAGTGACCTGAAGGAATTCGTCTCTGACAGGAAATTAAGTCAGTCACGGAAGTGTCCAGATAGTGTATTGATCTTTCATCTTTTCGGGTACATAATGTCACAGAAGACAGTATCAGGTTAGGGAATTATGCTTACAGTGGTCAGGCCAATTCCTGACATTGGTCCACTGACTGCATGAATATATATATATATATATATATATATATATATATATATATATATGGTGAAAGCTGGCTGTTAGCCAAATTGGTAGACAGTAATTTACGTCAATGTTTACGTCCCCAATATTGGCGGTGAGAAAATAAGAACAAAGACAGATTCAACAACCAGTCACAGCAGACTTTACGTGGGCGGATACAATTTGGAGATAGGTAATCTGAACTTCAGTAAAGGGCGACAAAGAGATGAAAGATTAACGTTCAGCGAGAAACTGCCAGTCAGAAGACTGTGTTTGTTTGCTTACAAAAACCGATAATAATGTAGATGAAAATCTGTTGATTTCGAAAATAAACGATCTGTTGCCTGGCCCTTGTCTTATGTTTATATATATATATATGGTAACAGTGTGTAAAAGGCCAGAATTTAATCAACTTTCGTCAGTGTTAATTTAGAGGTCAAAATAATAGATAAGAGGAGCAGAGCGACAGTAATATCATGTAAATAACCCTTGAGTTTAAAATTGGATCACCATAGAGGATACGAAAACATAAAAACATGTTTAGGCTTTTCTGTAGCTTGGGCCTCAGCAAATTTATTTGTCACCCAAACATGTTTAATATGGGGGTTTAAAGGCACAGTTAAAATTAGCTTTATGATAAAATACTTGGTAGCGAGTATTGAAAGTTCCATTATGGGTAAATTTTGTTTTGATAAAGTCTCACAGTGTTATACAGTAATAATCACTGATAACCACGTTTCCAGAACAATTTATTACCACTCATAATCATATCAAGGTAATCACACGATTTCCCAACTTCATTTATATAGTTCCATTGTTTTTCTCTTGATTTTCACTTGATTTGATTGGTATAGTGGTATTTTCCATATTTCAGGTATGAGTGACGAGTCATTCCTATTCCATGTGTTGGGTGTAGACTCAATGAACAAGGATTCAGTAATCAACCTCTCTCTCTCTCTCTCCACCTACCTAGATTACTTTGTAGAATTTTAACCCTATTGTGTGGTTGTGTGTTAATGCATGCAGCGCAATGCAGTTCTGAGCTTTTTTCTAAGTTACTTATCTTCTCGGGGTCAACCACTCTTACCTTAGTTAAATTCTTATGCTCTGACAATCTGACTATCCCTGACCTACTAGTTTGACCTGTGTACTTGACCTCACAGTCATTTTAGGGTATTTTGCAAATAATATTATTAACTGGGTCCTTTAACATACAGACCCCAGTTGACCCAATTAGACAAAATGATGTAATTTACAAAATACCCTAAAATGACTGTGAGGTCAAGTACACAGGTCAAACTAGTAGGTCAGGGATAGTCAGATTGTCAGAGCATAAGAATTTAACTAAGGTAAGAGTGGTTGACCCCGAGAAGATAAGTAATTTAGAAAAAAGCTCAGAACTGCATTGCGCTGCATGCATTAACACACAACCACACAATAGGGTTAAAATTCTACAAAGTAATCTAGGTAGGTGGAGAGAGAGAGAGAGAGGTTGATTACTGAATCCTTGTTCATTGAGTCTACACCCAACACATGGAATAGGAATGACTCGTCACTCATACCTGAAATATGGAAAATACTATTACCAATCAAATCAAGTGATTGATATGATTATGAGCAATAAATTGTGCTCGAAACGTCATCAGTAAACATTACTGTATAACACTGTGAGACTTTATCAAAACAAAATTTACCCATAATGGAATTACACTCTATCACAGTGCACAAGTTTTATTCCTATATCAGAATTGAAAGTTAGTTGACAAAATAAAGTGCTTGACCCAGATTTCAGGTTTCTTGACTCATCGGCATTCTATTCAATCTAAGACTTCACTTTGGGTTATTTTTTTTCCTAAGTTATAAACCACAAAATAAAAATATTATGGTTAAACACGATTTCCAAAAATAATGAGATATTTAATTGCTCAGTTGAGTATTTATTTGGCGTGTGCTACTGACAAGATTTACCAGTAGTATATGAAGGGACGTTCAACGGCGTTAGAGCATCAAATAGCAGGTAGATAGATTTGATGTCAGAGAAAGCAATGATACAGTGTTGTGGAGATATATGGGAAACGTGAAAGAAAGACAATACGAAGGAAGGTGAGAAGTACCACAACACGAAAGATTTGTGCAAATGGTAATTTAAAGATAAGATGTACATAATTTCGCTTATAGCTTGACTACACGCCGTAGTTCTGTACAGGTAAAGAATTTTTAGCATTTCATGGATAATCCCAATTCAGCCATTAATGAAAACAAAACACGCAGATCAGCGAAGAGACTCTTTTCGGTGAATTCATTTTCTCAGCTGTACAATCACAAATATATATGTGTTATTTTGTATGCATGTTTGTCATTACGTTTGTCAAACAAAATTACAATTGGTTAGGGTTATTTTAACTGAACAGGTGAAGACTGGTAATACAAGTCAAGAAAATTAGGTGTTAATGAAATTAGGGTAGTAGCTAAGGTGATGAGTTGTCACAAACAGTTGTTAAAAGAAGTTATGTAATAATAATATGAATAGTTTGGTGAGTGAGTTTTACTCAGGATGCACATAGAAACAAAGCAGATAATACGAAATTACGTAAGAGTTTTGAATGAATACAAGAATTCTAAGCAATTAAAGAACAGGCAAAGAAACAAAATTAAGTCATCAAAATCAAAAAAATTGAGTCATCAAAATCAAAACAAAAAGAAGTTTTTACCATGACAGTAGAAGTGGTTGAGTAATCTTCTTTTGTATGCACAGCTCCGGTTTTTCTATGTGAATGGCCAGAGCTTCAGTGATACAAAGAAGACGAAACCGTATTGCCTTTGATAGGTTATTCTTGACTCTGTAGATTACTTTGAAGCAGGAGGCGTTTGTTGAAATGGAATGATCAGTATTAACCAGGTGTTCAATTATCACACTCCTTATTGCACCACTATCGCCTTTTCGAAACCATACTGGATAGTGTTCTTGAATCCTCTTGGACAGGGTGGGCGTCGAACGACCGATGTACCTTGCTGGCTCCACAGCAGCAGGTGAACTGATATATGCACATAGAAGTGGTCAAATGGGGGATCTTGTCCTTGAGGCTTCTGCAGATCAGTCGGCGACTGGAGAACACTATTCTTAGCGTTGCTGCAAAGAATGTTCTTCTCAGAGACGATGTGATCCTTCTCTTGAGAATATCGCTTGCTAAATCTCCCATGAAATCCAAGTTCATGTAGAGTTTCTTTTTAGGCGTAATTAAAGTTTCGTTTCTCCGAATTCTTGGTTTGATATTTTGTCGATGAATCTTATTGGGTATCCATTTTGGATGAAGATTTCTCTCAGAATATCTAATTCTGTTTCCAGAACGTCGGGACTACAGATGCATCGGATGAGGGTGGCACGTGATTTAATTAAATTCCGCTTCTGTTGAATGGGTACCCAGCTATAGAAGTTTGTTAGTTTACCATTCTACGTAGGTTTTCTATGGATCGATCTTCTTAGACTCCCACCACTTCTTGTTATTTCCACATCAAGAAACGGAATTTTTGACTCGTTTTCCATTTCAAGAGTGAATTTTATTGCTGGATGGCAACTGTTAAATGTCTCCAGCAGTAGATTGGGGTCGTTGTTGTTGTTACAGTCAATGAAAATGTCGTCCACGTATCTATTATACAGTTGCAAATTGTCAATGCTTGGCTTTAGTGGACCTCTCTCGAGGCTTGCCAGGAAGCAGTCTGATAGTAGTGGAAACGACGTAGATCTCATTGCAATACCATCTTTTTGTCTGTAGATGGTGTCGTTGAATGTGAAATGGACATTCAGAGTGCATCTCAATAGTAATTCGTTCAAATATGTTGTTGGTATTCCAGTATTGAGGTGGTTGTCATCTATATATCTGCATATGAAGCAGACCATTTCCGTGAGTGGGACATTGTTGAAAAGTGACTCAGTGTTGAATGAAAACATAATTTTGTTAGATACATTCATGTCTTGTATGCAGTCGACGAACGGAAAGGTGTCACGGAGCGAGTGCATACATAATTGTTTTCTTACAGGTTCCAGAGTATCTGCTAGCCATTTTGCAGTGACATATCCAGAATTGGACGATGTGGTAGACCGACCTTATGTACCTTTGATAGACCATAAAGTCTTGGTATTATTGAACATATTGGCCGGATCTGGTCATAGATATCCCCAATGATTAGTTGAATGGCCTTCAGTCTCTTCAAGACGTCTGTGAGCTGCTTCTGAATCGAAAAGACTACATCGAGAAAGTGAACGATATACTGTCGGATGAAGATAAATTTTCCCAACCTTCCAATGAAAGAAACAAAACAAAACATCCTGTTTTCTGCAATCCCTTTTATCGAGTTTCACGATTACCCATAATGTTTCATATACTGCTCACACGATTTCCTCAGTATCACTCTCAGACGCCCAACATGTCATTTTTCACTGGGTTTTACTCTATGGAGTAGTACATGGTAAACCGACATGAAATTTATGGTATTATTTCAAGTGAGGACAGGTGCGAAATGGTCTCTTACTTAATCGAGCCATTCTCTAGATAAGAGACAGTTTCATAGCGTTATCTTTATTATTGACTATGAAGTTAGCAAATCAAGGTATAAAATAGCTAATTCAGGTTGCTCGATATCTTGATGCCCAGAATTCCTTTAATAAATTCCTTTTATTTCGTGAATATCTTGTCAACTGCCTACAATCGGAGTTATCAAATTAAAATAATTTTATTATTATCCTAATTTATTATCAAACTAACTTTTGTACAATTTCATCAGTTGATTTGTCCTCAATCCCCTCATTAACTGTCATATTATTTTTGAACTGAAGGTTTCTCTTTACTTTAATCACTGTCGAAGTCGTCATTCTATTCAATCATTTACTTCCCATTTTGATTTCTTTACGTTCAGAGTGGAACTTAAGGCTTCAACGTTTAAAGTTTCAATAGCGGTGTTGGTTTTCTTTTTTTTTACAGCGTGGGGTTTCTCATTCCCTACCTTCTCTATTTCTGAACTTACCGTTGTCTAGTAAACTGAGGTTCAAGAGTACGTGAGCTGGGGATCGAACCTGGACTTCCTACACATCTGATGAACATTCTGTCATTTACTATTACTTTTGTGACACAAATATTTCACTTATTCGTCCTCTTTTTTCCTGACGAAATCTTTCAAGGCTGTGCTTAACACACAGAGTTTTAAAATTAGTAGAAAAAGATGAAAATTATTATCATTATTATTATTGTTAGCTAAAATTATTTTTAAAAATCTGGTTAACTGTACACTTTAAATAAATTCTCTGTACAAAATTGAATTCTGACAGTAATAGTCTCCATTTTTATTTATTTGTTTTCAATCATTTTATTTGTTGTACTTCCATATTCTTCTTTTTCTTGTGTTCTTGTTTTTGTATTTTTTTTCTTTAAAAAGAATTCTCACATTGATTATCATCATTAAAATGTTGTAGTAGAATGCGTATAGTTGATCCACTTGATTTAATCATTTCAACAGCTTGTTGATGAGTCATTGAAAGTGTACTAATTCCATTAATTTCTAGAATTTCATCACCAGTCTAAAAGAAAAAGAAATTGTAAAAATGAAATAAAATACTATAGAATAATTTATTAACTTTAACAGTACGCGTCGGTGGCACAGCGGTAGAATGCTCGCCAACCACGGAAGTGGTTCGAGGTTCGATCCCCGGCCGGCGCACTCCTTTACCTCTCTAAGTCCTGTAGGGAGGAAAGGTTGGGCATGAGGCTAGCAACTTCATCTCCTAAAGATAAACACCACTGCTACCGAAACTGCAAGCCTCTAGCTTGAAGGCCTATCTTCCACTGGGAACGTAAAGGAATAAAAAAAAATTTTAAACAGTAAAGATGGAACATATTTGCAGCATAATATGAGATCGTGTTTTTTTTTTTCTGGAATTTTTGTCAACTGCATTCAACCTAAACAATATTTAAGTGTAAATTACAAAAGGTTCTGTTTAATGACATATTTTGATCTTCAGGTACTGAGTTGAACTCACTATTAATTTTCTAAATTTATTTGATTGTTTGTCCATATCATCAGTTTACTTTTCATTCCTACCCCGTCGAACTTCCTCTGTTGCTCGATTTTGTATTCTGTTTCTAGTCAATCCTTATTGCCATGTGAAATTTGAACTCAGCCCTCTCCCTCTTTCTTATCAAATTATATTATAAATAGTTAGCCTCTTTAATAGTGAGTAATCTGTCTACTTACATTAATTGCGAATTATGCAATAGATATAAGAATAGAACTTGTGCACTGTGGTAAAGTGTAATTCCATTATGGGTAAAACTTTATTTTGATAAAGTCTCACAGTGTTATATAGTAATATTTACTGATAAACATGTTTCGAGCACAGTTTATTGCCACTCATTATCATATCAAGACACTACTCACACAACTTTCTAACTTCAGTTATATAATTCCATTATTTTATATCGTTTGACTTGATTTGTAGTAGTATTTTCCATATTTAAGGTATGAGTGATAAGTCATTCGTGTTAAGGGTAGATTCTATGATCAAGGATTCAGTAATCAAACTCTCTCTACACCTACCGATATTATTTCTCAGAATCTTAACAATTAGCAGTGGGATTACCAATATCCCCTATCGTAGCAAATATCTTTATGGATATGGGAATATATTGCCCTTAATTTATTTAATCCTACTTCAAAAATATGGTGGAGATATTTGGATGATCCTTTCACAGTGTTAAAAGCAGAACATATCTCTAGATTCTTCACACACATAAACTCAATAGTGGAGGGGATAAAATTCACATTTGAATAAGAAAATGAACAAGGAGAATTAGCCATGATGTTAGACTGTAAAATAAAACGAATAGAAGAAGTTGAACTGCACACTAGCGTTTATAAAAAGCCAACGCATTCTACTAATAGATATTTAGACTTTGATTCATCTCATCCGTTAACTGTTAAAGCAGGCTTAGTTAAATGTCTAACAAACCGAGCAATAGCACTAAGTAGCACAAAAAAGACCTAAATGATGAAATGAAACGGATAGAAGAGGCGTTGGTGTTGAATAACTATCCTATAAAATTCATTAGGAAGATCACAAAAGGTCAAAATCAAAATCGGAATAACTGGGAAACTAATAATGATAATATAAATAAGAGAGAATGTAAGGCATTTACTGTTATACCACATAAGAATGAGACATCTGAGACCCTTCCTAAGTAGGATTTCTAATAAAGCAGGAATAAGAGTGGCATTCAAACCTACAAACTCACTCAAGTAGGACAAGCTCTGTAAGTTAAAGGACCCAGTTGGTCTAATTAGACAAAATGATGTAATTTACAAAATACCCTAAATGACTGTGAGGTCAAGTACACAGGTCAAACTAGTAGGTCAGGGGTAGTCAGATTGTCAGAACATAAGAATTTAACTAAGGTAAGAATGGTTGACCCCGAGAAGATAAGTAATTTAGAAAAAAGCTCAGAAGTGCATTGCACTGCATGCATTAACACACAACCACACAATAGCATGGTGGGATAGGGTTAAAATTCTAAGAAGTAATCTAGGTAGGTGGAGAGAGAGAGAGAGGTTGATTACTGAATCCTTGTTCATTGAGTCTACACCCAACACATGCAATACGAATGACTCGTCACTCATACCCGAAATATGGAAAATACCACTATACCAATCAAATCAAGTGAAAATCAAGAGAAAAACAATGGAACTATATAAATGAAGTTGGGAAATCGTGTGATTACCTTGATATGATTATGAGTGGTAATAAATTGTTCTCGAAACGTGGTTATCAGTGGTTATCACTATATAACTCTGTGAGACTTAATCAAAATAAAATTTTACCCTTAGTGGAATTTTATAATGGCTTATTCTTTCTATAGATAACTCCTCGTCATTTCGATAAACCTATGTCGAGAACTTATGTAACTTATATTTTGATATTGTATTATCTCTAAGGTCTGTCTATTCATTCTTTATTCAAACTAATCAAGGGTACAGGTTGTGAAATATTTTCTTAGAAATCTGCTTATTTTGATAAATAACTTTCAACTGTCAATAAGCAAATAAATAGTCAAGGTGAAATGTTTGTATATACCAAAGCCCTGACTATATTGTTAAGTAAATACTCATTTTTCTGGATAACTTAATATATTAACTAACTCATTTTGCGCTCCATTGTTTTGGAATAAACTGATAAGATCTATTTGTGGCAATTTTGGGTACCCGCTACTTCCTATCTATTCACTAATCGATCTTATATCTCCCAATGTATTTCCATTGGATTGGGTCCCAGTGCCTTGATGGTCTACGAGCTCGACTTGTAACCAGAAGATCCTGAGTTCGAACCCCGGTGAATGCGTACTGCTGAAGAGTATTAAACTAGGACGAAACAGCTGTCCAGTACTCCCAGGTTTTCCAGTGGTTCTCTAACCAATGTCAGCTCATGATCAAATCCTGTAACCAATCAACCAAATCCCTACAAACCAACACTTGAACAATTTCTACCGGAATTAAATTCCATTTTATTAACCTTTGTTGCTTGTTAGCATTTGTTGAAAGGTGTAACCTATCGATTTGGAGGGTAAGCACTAACGAGTCTTGGTATGACTCTTCGATCTCGTTAGCAAGCACTGCTGGTTAATATGAGCAGTATACAACTTTTAATGTCAGTCAATCATTAGTAGAGAGTTTTATGCGTTTATGCTTGTTTTTTTTTATTACCACTAGTGATTTCAAGTAGATCACATTAAGTGATTTGAATAATTTCGTTTCCGAAGGAAACCACGGTGAAATTTCACCTCAGACGGTGTAAATTGCTAATTAATTTACAATTCGCGAATTTGCTTTATGGAATTACAAGTCCACCCAAGTTGCTTGCCGGAAATAGGGTGGTTTAAACTCATTAGGCTTTCTGAACTGAGTCAAACTGAACACACTGATGATGAGCTCGACTTCAAAACAGAGAAATAGCTGTCCGGTGTTTACATTACTTCGACCTTGCTAACAAGTATTACCACCTGATATAAGTGGTATATAACTGGTCATCTCAGTCATTCGCTAGCATAATTTTATATTCTATTTGTTAATACCTTTATTATTTATTGGAAAGCTGCGACCCAGTTCGAACGATTTCTTTTGAATTAATAAGTTATTCTACCCAATGACTGGTTTCTTCATTGTATTGGTCTGATGAGAATGATCTATAATTTTTGCTAATATTTGGTGATGGTTGCGTCTTCTAGGGATACTGTTTCATGTTATGAGGTAAACATGATATTAATGCCTTGAGAAGGAGTTAAATTGGGTAACAGCATCTAAATAAAAGATACTAGAGAGTAACCAATGTCGTGCAGTGGTCTGATTGATTTCTGTCAAGTGGGTTTGTAACATGATTAGAAAACAAGGTAGTCAGTGGTAAGCCTTGACGTAAGTTTTGTCTTTATTTGTACTTATCAACAAGGAATTGATTTCTAGTTGGAGATGTGAATCCATCCTAGTTAGAGGTGTTACGTTCGAGTAGCTCAGACCATAAAATATGATCTGTTTAAGCGCATGAATTAGGTTGGAGGTAATTGGATGAAAAAATACACTGATGTTTGTTTACAGTAGTTGAATATTACCTTGCTATGAACATGAACAATGAATTGTGCTCAAAACATCGTTGTTAAACAAATAAAACCGTAACACATTGTTCTATGTCGAAAGAAGTCATTCTATTACGGAGTTACGCTCTACCAATCAGCGCCGTAATTCTTCTGTGTTATGACATATTAATAATGTTAATTTTCATTTTCACTGCGAAAATAGAATTTTTCAGTCTACAGTTAACATCAACGTGCTAATGCAAAGTTCTGATATTTTGATTACGTGGAAGTTGACTGATAGTGTTCATTCAGCTCACACGGTTTACTTAAGTCTCCTTTTAAAATACCTTTACTTAAATGATCCAATATGTGAACTGAACAAATCTGAAAGTAGATTGGAGACAAATTAAATTTTACTTCTACCATTCTTCGCAAAGAAAGCTTTGTTGAATATACATTACCAAAACTAGCATAAGTTAAATCCTTTTCTCTGTCTGATTATATGTATCGACAATTTACAAAGCAAGAATGACTGCTGTATGTTATATGAATGCAGTAATAAACAGTCCTCAACAGGACAAAGTGCTCTGTACTAGTGAACGATTACACTAAGAGATTTTAAAAGCCGACAATAAATGTGACTAAAGAACTGATTTGTCGTGGAGTTCTGGAATCAAAGTTTTGTGAGTTATAGAAGTTTCAGAATACAACAGAACGATTCATCACCAGTGAATTTCTTCGCTAATTTTAATACTCAACATACATCTTCAGTCTATTAAATTAAAGAAAAAAAACACGTAGATCAGTGAAGAGACTCTTTTCGGTGAATTCATTTTCTTAGCTGTAAAATCGCAAATATTCTAAGAGAAATCTTCATCCAAAATGGATACCCAATAAGATTCATCGACAAAATATCAAACCAAGAATTCGGAGAAACGAAACTTTAATTACGCCTAAAAAGAAACTCTACATGAACTTGGATTTCATGGGAGATTTAGCAAGCGATATTCTCAAGAGAAGGATCACATCGTCTCTGAGAAGAACATTCTTTGCAGCAACGCTAAGAATAGTGTTCTCCAGTCGCCGACTGATCTGCAGAAGCCTCAAGGACAAGATCCTCCATCTGACCACTTCTATGTGCATATATCAGTTCACCTGCTGCTGTGGAGCCAGCAAGGTACATCGGTCGTTCGACGCCCACCCTGTCCAAGAGGATTCAAGAACACTATCCAGTATGGTTTCGAAAAGGCGATAGTGGTGCAATAAGGAGTGTGATAATTGAACACCTGGTTAATACTGATCATTCCATTTCAACAAACGCCTCCTGCTTCAAAGTAATCTACAGAGTCAAGAATAACCTATCAAAGGCAATACGGTTTCGTCTTCTTTGTATCACTGAAGCTCTGGCCATTCACATAGAAAAACCGGAGCTGTGCATACAAAAGAAGATTACTCAACCACTTCTACTGTCATGGTAAAAACTTCTTTTTGTTTTGATTTTGATGACTCAATTTTTTTGATTTTGATGACTTAATTTTGTTTCTTTGCCTGTTCTTTAATTGCTTAGAATTCTTGTATTCATTCAGAACTCTTACGTAATTTCGTATTATCTGCTTTGTTTCTATGTGCATCCTGAGTAAAACTCACTCACCAAACTATTCATATTATTATTACATAACTTCTTTTAACAACTGTTTGTGACAACTCATCACCTTAGCTACTACCCTAATTTCATTAACACCTAATTTTCTTGACTTGTATTACCAGTCTTCACCTGTTCAGTTAAAATAACCCTAACCAATTGTAATTTTGTTTGACAAGCTTAATGACAAACATGCATACAAAATAACACATATATATTTGTGATTGTACAGCTGAGAAAATGAATTCACCGAAAAGAGTCTCTTCGCTGATCTGCGTGTTTTGTTTTCATTAATGGCTGAATTGAGATTATCCATGAGTAATAAATTTAATATCACTGTATTGAATGTAGCTTACTTGCATTTGACCTTGTTCATAAGCTGGTCCATTTTCTATAATCCTATAAACAATTAATGGAGAATTATTAGAACTATATCCACTGCGAACGGAGAAGCCGAATCCATTTGGACCACGTTTCAGTGTAATTGAATATAAGCCTTGAGTGGATATGTCATTTGAATTGCACTTTTCAGTAACTTTTTCAACCGGTAACTATTGAAAAAAGACGAGCAAATAAACAGTTAAATGCTATGAAAACATATTTTGACTTTTACGAAAATATGATTTAATCTGTTTGCCGTAGTAATGACCCTAAATCAGGCTGAAGGAGAGAGATAAGAAGCTCTGTCAAGGGTATCTACAATAATAAGCGAACTTGTGTATTCCGTGAGATCACACGAGAATTATTCAATTTCTGAATTATACATGGTATCATTAAACTATCGCAGTCAGTGTTATTCTGGCAAGCATTCGTAAATATAATATTTAGACTAGCAGCCAATTTAAAGATGCCTCGAGTAAATTAGCTAGTATTTCACTCAAGAAGACACTGTTGTATTACTTGTTTGAACCAATAACAGTCTGTAAAAGTCTTTGTCTTCACTATCGATGAGTGAAATCTAAAGGAGTTCACCACTTTCACTTATCAAGGCAACATCTTTTCAACTACAGGTGGCACGGATGTCAAAGCCAGGAGCGGAAATGAAAGACTGACCATGACTAACCTGAAATTAGTGTGGGAATCTGCTGCACTAAATATAATAAACAAGATTCGAATTTTTAACACTTATGTCATGTCAGTCAGTGTTTTTTTGTAGTTCCAAGACTTGGCACTTTAAGAAAAATATTTCCAAAATGCTTCAGAATTTTATCAACAGCTGCCGTCGCTCCATACTAAAGATAAAATTGCCAACTAGATGGTATAAGTAACACAAATCTCTGGGAACAAGCCAACCAAGAACCATATTACCCAACAAATATGTAGTAGGAAATGGAGATGGATCGGACGCGCCCTACCGATTGACATCGTGCACAAGAACTCGAGTGAAGCCTCAACTAGAGATGACGAGTTTTTCATTTAAGAGTGATGTGGGGGAGATCGTGTGAGGTGGAAATAGGCAGTCCTGGAGCTAGCTGTGAACGACTGCAAAGAAGAGGATGCAATGAAGATGTACTGTTGAGGCTTTACGTTCCACTCGGAACCCCAGGAGAAATACTAATAACAATAATAATTTGTCTCCTCATTTATAGTGAATGTCAAAAATAGTGCATAGTGTTATTCCACAGAGAAATCCGTCTGCATCATTTTCAGCTAACCGATTATTGAAGATATACAGTAATCATAAGAAAAGTTTCACTATATGATACCATATTAAATTTTCTAATGCTTCAAGAAAACCTCGATAAGTAAGAAATTTCATAATATTTAAACTATTTGATCTACTGGAGCTCATTATAAAAAAAGTCCATTATAAAAAAATGTCTTCTGACAGTGAAAGTTCACCTAGTCATTTTATGAAATGTTGGTAAAATGACTTACTTCATCAGATTTTAAAAAACTTACAGAATGAGGACATACTACTGAATTCGTAGAAGTAGGCAGAGAAAGAGTATTTTGATTTGTATCCAAGCGACCAGCAAGATTATTGCTTCTTTCACTGAATAAGGCACCTGAAATTAAATATAGAAATTCAGTGCTTTTGTTTTATATTCATTAGCGTGAAATTTATTTTATGGTCTCATGTAGGAGTGAAATACCAAATATTATACTTTTGTCTAAAATGCCTATCAGCTATCTTAATATTAATAGACAGAAGACCAGTAGTTCAGCGAAGAGTCTCTTTTTAGCGAATTCATTTTCATAGCTGTAAAATCGCAAATATGTATGGTTGTTTTGTGTGTGTGTGTACATTAAATTTGACAAACGAAAAAACAACTAGTAAGCCCAGATGAATTGGATGTTGATAATGAAGGGTAGTTACAAAAGTGACGAGTTGTCACAAGCGACTGTTAAAGAAGAGTTACGTAATAACTTGAATAGTTTGATGAAAGAGTTGTGCTCAGGGTACATATGGAAACAAAATAACACACGGGATTGCGCAAGACTTTAAAGTAGTTAATCTTAAAATTAATATCTTATTATTATTCACAATTTTAGCAGAAATATAAAGGAATAGGAGAGAGGTAAGCGAAGGCAGAGCACGCCACACTTAGATATAAGAATAAAACTTGTGCACTGTGGTAGAGTGTAATTCCATTATGGGTAAATTTTGTTTTGATAAAGTCTCACAGTGTTATACAGTAATAATCACTGATAACCACGTTTCCAGAACAATTTATTACCACTCATAATCATATCGAGGTAATCACACGATTTCCCAACTTCATTTATATAGTTCCACTGTTTTTCACTTGATTTGATTGGTATAGTGGTATTTTCCATATTTCAGGTATGAGTGACGAGTCATTCCTATTCCATGTGTTGGGTGTAGACTCAATGAACAGGATTCAGTAATCAACCTCTCTCTCTCGCTCTCTCCACCTACCTAGATTACTTTGTAGAATTTTAACCCTATTGTGTGGTTGTGTGTTAATGCATGCAGTGCAATGCACTTCTGAGCTTTTTTCTAAATTACTTATCTTCTCGGGGTCAACCACTCTTACCTTAGTTAAATTCTTATGTTCTGACAATCTGACTACCCCTGACCTACTAGTTTGACCTATGTAGTTGACCTCACAGTCATTGCATGGTATTTTTGAAGCGGAAAATGAATAAGGAGAATTAGCCGTGATGTTAGACTGTAAAATAAAACGAATAGAAGAAGGTAAAGTACACACTAGTGTTTATAGAAAACCAACGCATTCTGCTAATAGATATTTAGACTTTAATTCATCTCATCCGTTAATTGTTAAAGCAGGCTTAGTTAAATGTCTAACAAACCGAGCAATAGCACTAAGTAGTACAAAAAAAGACCTAAATGATGAAATGAAACGGATAGAAGAGGCGTTGGTGTTAAATAACTATCATTTAATATTCATTAGGAAGGTTGAAAAAGTCCAGAAGAGAATGAAAAATAATTTAAAGCAATTGGTTCCCTTTATGAATTTCGACAAAACAATAAGAAGACGTAGTTTATCTGAAACGTATAATGTATTGGCGCAACACATTTCGGACATTCTGATCACACACGTACTTGGCATACACAGTTTTTATAGCATGAATAATTACAATACAGGTCAGATTGTGTACAAGTCAAGGTCACAAAATAATGGCTAGGGAGACTAGTAATGATTACATAAATACATAAAAAAAAGTCATCTACAGTTCTACCATATAAGGAGGGGACATATGAGACATTACGTATTGTACTTAATAAAGTAGGAATTATAGTGGCATTTAAACCTACAAACTCACTCAGGAACAAGCATAGTAGGTTAAAACACCTTGTTCACTCAATTAGACAAAATGATGTAATTTACAATATACCCTAAAATGACTGCAAGGTCAAGTACACAGGTCAAACTAGTAGGTCAGGGGTAGTCAGATTGTCGGAACATAAGAATTTAACTAAGGTAAGAGTGGTTGACCCCGAGAAGATAAGTAATTTAGAAAAAAGCTCAGAAGTGCATTGCACTGCATGCATTAACACACAACCACACAATAGGGTTAAAATTCTACAAAGTAATCTAGGTAGGTGGAGAGAGAGAGAGAGGTTGATTACTGAATCCTGTTCATTGAGTCTACACCCAACACATGGAATAGGAATGACTCGTCACTCATACCTGAAATATGGAAAATACCACTATACCAATCAAATCAAGTGAAAAACAATGGAACTATATAAATGAAGTTGGGAAATCGTGTGATTACCTTGATATGATTATGAGTGGCAATAAATTGTACTGGAAACGTGGTTATCAGTGATTATTACTGTATAACACTGTGAGACTTTATCAAAACAAAATTTACCCATAATGGAATTACACGCTACACTTAGTTCTGAATAAAGAATGTAGAATATAAACACTGAAGTTTTAGTTCAGCGCTTTGTTTTGTCTATTTTCCCTGATGCTAAATAATATAACACTAGCAGTTATCGTTTTGATTTTACTGAATCTCACTTGTTTCTGCATATAGCCACTAATCCATGTGAAGACAAATGACTACGGCTGAAATGACTTCCTATTTTATTGGTGGCTGGTGACTAGCAGTGGAATCCAGGATGCGCATTTCGTCCTATTTGGGACTCGTCATCTGGATGTACCTGCTAGTCACCATTCACCAATTAAATGCTAATTAAATGCCCAGACATCGTCGAAGCATCTGCATAAGAAGCCGACATGTCAACCTGTGACCGAGCACTTCTGTCCAATCAATCGACGGGAAAATATCAAATTCAATAAAATTGAAATGACTTCCTGGCTAAAAAAGGGTTTGCAACATGATGGTATGATGGTCAATATGTTTGTTTACTCCCCCCCCCCATCCATGTGATCAGTAAAATTAATTGATCAAGTTTCCTTCGTGGTCATAAAAGCAACCGATTAGTTATTACTGCTCATTCTGGTGTAAAATAATATTAAATAAAGATGGACAGGGGATAACTGACGTTAGCATTGATTGATAGAGTTCGTCTGTGATCTTCGGAATACTTATGTCCTCTATGCATATTTAATCAGCATATAACAAATAAGGACTGAGAGACTTTACCATGCATGATTTATGCAACATATTTAACTGGTATAGATTTATCATGGCCTGTAATACTTTGCATTGTGAAGATTTCTTGATACATCTTTTCCTTGCTTAATACCCAAACTGCATATCCCAGTTTGAAAGTCTTTCGATGTCCGTAATAAAGACAGACAAATTTAGGTGATACTGTACAGCAAAGAAGTAAGTAAATTAACTGGAGTTTTTCAAGTAATCTTTCTAAAGTGAAAGTTTAGAAAAGAGATAAACATAATCTTTCTACTACTACTGATGATTGGTTTGACTATCATTTGAAATATTTAGTACGTTAGATGTACAATTAAATCATTTAGACTGATATTTTAACTTTCTACAATGTATAAAGGTGAAAACAATAAGGCTTATTCACTTTATGTTCAGTGCATTCAATCATATCAGTTCATATGAACAGCTATGGACATCGATTCAACTGGGAAAATGTGAAAATTTCGAACAGCAGAAACTTCTAGAATGCCATGGAATTCCTAGAAGCCTGATACATAGATGAACTTGCAATAAACACACATTTGAGTACTGATCAGATTTATTAATCAATAAAGAATAAGTGTTTAGATTAAAAAGTCAAATATCAAATCGATGAGGTGATCAGTATCAATAAAAGTGAGTAGGATCACAAGAAAACTTCGAGGACAACTAATCATGGTCAACGTCAACAGGGAAGATGGATATTTCATCCATAGCGAATCCTGAAATATCGCATCACTTTGAAGTTAGTGTTGACGACGTCGCGTGGAAAGACAATGAAGGCCCGAAAATTAAACCGTTCAGTCCGGTGAACACCATAACACCAGATTTTGAATTCATCTTGGATTACTACTAATTTGGTGACGAAATAATCCGTAGTTTTGTGTAGGAAAAAGTGAGCCCGTCTCATGTATACACAGTATTTTGATGCAAGCTTCAGACGAAGATATGTAAGTGTACAATATACGAAACAATTAATCTTCACAATTATACAAATTAGTGAAATGGTATAATAAGTGTTTCTACACAACAATGATAATTTACTAAAATACAGAGAAAATTAATTTACCAGATTTCTCTACGGTCAGTAGTAATTCCTGTTGACTTTGTCGGATAAGATTCACAATGTCTATATGATTTATTCCTGTCAACCAGTATCCATTTATAGCTAGAATACGTTGTCCAACTTCTAACTGTCCACACTTCTCAGCTGGACTCCCTGGGATTATACGTCCTTTAATGAAAAGATAACCATAAACATTAACAAAATAATTCAAAAATATTCACAAAAATTTTATTAGTTAACTGTTATTCATTTTTTTCAATTTCAAATAAGCGTAAATTTCGTAGATCTGATTTGTCTAGGTTTTAAAAGAAATTAAGCGTTGATTAGTAAGTATTTTGTGTTGGTGGTTCAGCAGTAGAATGCTCGCTAGCCAGATCTGGGTTCGATTCCTGGCCGATCCATTCCTTAACTTCACCTAGTTTCTAACTGATAGTAAACCCAGAAAAGAAAGAAGCTTAGACCTGGGGCTAGTAATCACTACCTGTAAAACAACAGTGCCATCGCCTCTGAAACTTCAAAGACTTAAGCTCTATGTTTTTAACGGAACGAAATGGAATGAAAAAAGTAAACACCTTATCACCAGTAAAGGAATTATTTACATCCATTTCTGACACACTCAAACTACGATCAAGTTCTTTCTGCTCATAGTATGCATACTCACGGCAAACTACTCTCAACGTACACGCTTTGACAGAAAGGCATTCATTGGTGAAACTTCTAGTCACTGTCAGCATAAAATTGACCTCTGTCAGTATGTTGCATATAATTCCTTTTGTTGACTTTGTTTAAATCTCTTAAAATATGACCTTTGGCGATATTGTTTACTCATGAGAGTATTTAAAGTGTTTACAACCTGTTGATTCGCTAGACTCTATTAAAATTAAAAAAAAACGCAATAATAGTGGGGGCAGGGAGACGGCTGCGTATCCCAATACATAAGACAACTGATCCTGAGTTATACCACAAGGTCTTAAAATGTACTCCTGCACTTTTGAATTGGCCTTCAACTAAATGTCGTGGATTTCTCCAGGCAGATAAAGAACAAGTATCATAGTGGATTGTTTCGTGCTTTATGTCAGACAGCACTGTGCCACGGGATCTACTGTCAGTTAATCTTTTCTGTGAAGATTCTGCACAAAGAGAAAATATCATGCAAACAACTCCGCTCAAAAGTCTGTACATTATATAAACACTATCCAGAATATCGCCACTATTATTAGAACTAATACTTTACATTACTTACTAATAAGTGAACAGTAGAAAGGAACACTATGAAAATCCAGCTTTTCTGTTTGTACGTTTATTCTGTAAAGTAATTCATTATTTATGACGTAAAATTCATTTTCCATAAAAATTTACATATGCTCTGTAAAGTCTGTAAAATCATAAACCTGACCTTAAATTAATTATTGACGTTGGGAATACCCATGACGCACGGTAATTATAGATGTAAATCAAAATTGAAGTTATAAAACTTAAAAGTGATGTCAAAGTATAACCCTGAATTCAACAGTTTTAATGAACAAGTCTCTGTAGCCTGTGACAGTAAATATGGTTTGATAGTGACTTTTGAGTCAGAGATAGTTTGTTTTTACTTTTATCCCAGCCGTGTTCATTCAGACTGGTGTATTTTGGGAGGTATGTTTCAACATCAATTGAAACCTAATAACCAAGTCATTCATAATACAATTGATCCCCTGTAGGTCTGTGGTAAAGAAAATCTACATGAAACAGTATTCAGTTGGCATTTTTTTCAGTATAGACTAAGCTTTGATATTCTTAGTTTCTGCAATAAATATCAGTGATATGAGTGTAAAACTAGGGCACTGTGGTTGAGTATAACTTCATTATGGATAAGATTTTATTTTGATAAATCACACAGTGTTGGGCAGTAATATTAACTGATGACGTTTCCAGCACAATTTATTGCCACTCATGATCATATCAAGGCACTTCTCACACAACTTTCTAACTTCACTTATATAATTCCATTATTTTTCATCGCTTGGTAGTAGTATTTTCCATATTTCAGGTAGGAGTGATGAGTCATTCCTATTGCGCTTGTTAGGTGTAGACTCAATGAACAGGATTCAGTAATCAACCTCTCTCTCTCTCTCCACCTACCTAGATTACTTTGTGGAATTTTAACCCTCACCCACCATGCTATTGTGTGGTTGTGTGTTAATGCATGCAGTGCAATGCAGTTCTGAGCTTTTTTCTAAATTACTTATCTTCTCGGGGTCAACCATTCTTACCTTAGCTAAATTCTTATGTTCCGACAATCTGACTACCCCTGACCTACTAGTGTGACCTGTGTACTTGACCTCACAGTCATTTTAGGGTATTTTGTAAATTATATTATTTTGTTTAATTAGGTCCACCGGATCCTTTTATTTATATAGCTTGTCCTACTTGAGTGATGTAGGTTTAAATGCCACCCTTATTCCTGTTTCATTGAGAATCTTTACACAGCTTCAATATAACTTTTTCTGATAGCTTCTTTTGACGCCTATGACTTGTTATAATAACACCGTATCACATTTAGAGTTTCATGTGTTAATTGTTCAATACTTCTTACGATGTATATTTATTTTTCTAATTCGTTCACTACCAGTCTTACTAATATATTATTGTAATCTTTGTGATTATTTAAATGATAAAACTGTTTTGAATTCTATTTTTACAGTTGTTTTTCCATGTGCTGAACAGAATCACAATGTCTCAATTTAACAAGTATGAATGTTTGTGTATTGTGTTAAAGCTTTAATTATTTGCAAAACTAATTTATTCAGGCGTGACATCTAGGTGGTATGTTTATCTTTTCAATAATTTAATTTCACAAAGAATTTTAATCAAAAATACAAATCAGTAGGAAAGGAAGTTAGTATTTCTTCGTACTGGATATAGTGAGGTCCACTATGTGTGTGTATATGTTAACCATCCATAGTCATCAAGAGTGTTTGACTGTGAGTATGAATTAAACGGCTAAATAAAGAGCTATTTTGCTTTAAATGTGCCTTCATTAAGGAATAGGGACAGGAGTTCAGTAATCATATAGTTTTTAATAGACTATGCTCTACTTTCTGAAGGACGATCAATATCTGCAACATTTTGTCTGGATGAATATATATTTATTGCTATGAAGTTAGCTACTTAAAATCGATATTAGTAGTATACTTTAATTAGCTGCATTTGACTGATCTGAATGCTGTGACATTTTTTGCCGCATTCACTATTATTGTAAAACATAATACATATTGAGATACAATATCTTCAGAAGTCTTTAGTTAATCCACACATATATTTAATAATGTTGGTTAATAGATTTTTTAAAAGGAAAGTCTAACTACTGTGTTCACCATGTTGGGCATAAGAATAGATACTCGCTGATAATATTGTCTGACAGTCACGCTAAAATCACGAATTAACAGAAGTTAGAACTAATGAGCCATTGGATTCCAGTTCATGTGTTTGAATGGTCAACAAACTTGACCTTATTGCCTGAAGGGCTTGGGTTCCATCGCTAGCGGGGTCGTGTGTGAGTACTTCTGAACAGTCTCAACGTAGGATTAAGCAGCTCTCCAGTACTTCCTGGTATTCAATGGTTTTCTAACTAGCATAAATCAGTTATCACATTCGAAAGATGAAAAACTTGATTTACCACCAACCATTTAGTTTAAAAAAATTTCCAAGTATTGGTTTTGTAGGGATTTTGTTTGATTGCATGGAGGATTTAATCATGAGCTGACATCAGTATGTCGTGAATTGGCAGAAGTTAGAATTCAAGGACCATTGGATCGGGTCCCAGTGGCTCACTGGTCTACGAGCTCGCCTTGTAACCAGAAGGTCCTGGGTCCGAACCCCGGTGGATGCGTACTGATGAAGAGTCCCAAACTAGGACGAAACAGCTGTCCAGTACTCCCAGGTTTTCCAGTGGTTCTCTAACTGATGTCAGCTCATGATTAAATCCTCCATGCAATAAAATAATTTCATAATAAAATTCGGTTTTTCGATTGAACATTCGACTGTAATTAGTGTAATGTGTATAGTTCTATCTTAGGTGCAGACTGAACTCCATAAGTCAAGTTTGCAATGTGGCCACCATGCGAAGTGGCCAGCTATCACGGTACACTGTGAATTGTTGGTATCATATTGTTAGAGACAATTGGCAGAAAACCTTGGAGCTAGGTTTCGTGCTGGTTGGCACTCGTAAGCAAGACGTATCTGCAACCTTGAGGGAACTCACGCCCCTTCTGAAATTCGAGCCCACGTCACCCAAGGCAGCCTGCAGTCAGAGACGTTACCACTATTCGGGCTCACGACTGACCTCCTGTAGGGCTGTATTGGAAATTTATCGATTAGACACAAGGCGGTAACCAGTGTAATGTGTCTAAATGAGGTCAGTCGTGAAATTGAATAGCTCAGTGGTGGCATCTTTGACTGCAGGTGGCATTGGGTGACATAGGCTCGAGTCTCAGAAGGGACATGAGTTCCTTCAAGGTTGTAGATACGCCTTGCTGACGAGTGCCAACTAGCACGATACCTAGGTCAAGTAAGGCTTACTGCTGATTGCTTTCAACCATCTATTACCAAAAATTCACTTTCATTATGCATGTTTTATGTAATATTTTATCAATGATAGGTAAAACTTTCCAATTATTAACTTACCTATTTCGCTTGTTTTTTCATTATTCAACGACGTAACTATCACAAAGCCGAAACCTTCATCCTTGTTTTTAGTTAATTTCACATTGATTATATTGAAATTAATAAAATTATCCGCTGTTGTTTCTAAAAACATAAATAGATAACAAATAAATGACAGATTGAATATTACATTTAAATACTTATAAAACATGTTTTCGTACCTTAGTCAGAATGCCTAAACACCTTATTGTTGTGACATTTACTGACATTGCGCGTCGGTAACACACGGGTTAGGACTCTTGCTGACCATGCAGATAGTCAGGGGTTCGATCTCCTGTCGACGCACACCTGATATCTATGATCGGCCTGCAAAAATTTGGGCTACCGATATCATATGCGGAAAATTCCATACTTGTACTGTGTGTGGTTTCAAGCTACAATCAAATATACATATATATATATATATATATATATATATATATATATATATATATATATATATATATAATATGTAGCACAGAATGAACATGAGTTGCTAACTAACTAACTGCTGGATAGTGTGCTTTACTTTTCGACAGGCATGAAATCCAAGGCGAGTTAAGCTATGTGAACCACAGTACCAATATCCAACAGTGAATTAACTAACTCACTATTTTCAATGAAATTTCTTATAGTTAATTTAATCTCCCAAAAATGTAAGACAACTTTTGTTTAGTTGATATTAGATGGTTGGAGGCAATCGGCAGGAAGCCTTTGACCTAGGTTTCATGCTAGTTGGCACTCGTCACCATCCAGTTCAGTGGACACGACAGTACCAAAAATAATACAGTTTTTATAAGTGAAAATTGAAACCAGTAACAGTTTCTATTAGTGACAGTCAATTTTCGGACTAATTGAGTGTTCTTAAAAAAAATTACAGGCACGGGAGAAGCAAAATACACATAAACTTTGTAGACGAATAAAGTGAGGGCATATGCGTCTTCGAATACGTGCTTTGAACTTGAACCGTATTTCTGTGTAAACCGGCTCTGGTATTTTGATTTATGCATACATCTTTCTAGTATGAAACAGATTTCTTGATGTTAGAGTCTCATTGTTATTAAAGTTTCAATGTTGTTAATGCGTATTTATTACTTAACTAGTGTTTTCTGTAACTGAGTAGTTATTTTACAGATTATTTTTAGATCGATCATACAAGAGACAAAAAGAGAGTAAGTTATGTGAAATAATAATAATACTAGTAGTAATCAAAATACTGTGACATTAATAGGAATCATTTCACAGAGAAACAATATCTTAGTGTGGAGCCAATCATTGAGAACTAGGTGAACAGGTCTTCGCTAAGTTTATTAGTTTCTGAACGTTTATATGAAAAGTTTAAATTTATTTTATTTTTAATTGAATACAAAGCTAGAAATTTAGTTGGTGGATGGTGACTAGCAGCGGAGTCCAGGACGCGTACTTCGTCCTATTTGGGACTCGTCAACTGGATGTACCTGGATTTCTCAGTGAGTGATGATGTTCCCATCATGGCTCAAGTGGTCTAGTGGATAAGGCCTTGGCTTTTGAAACTATGGGCACTGGGTTCGAGCCTCGGTGGGAACGTCATCACTCACTGAGAAATGCAGGTACATTCAGCTGACGAGTCCCAAATAGGACGAAGTACGCATCCTGGGCTCCACTGCTAGTCACCACCCACCAATTAAATACTAGAAAAATGCCCAGACATCGTCGAAGCATCTGCACAAGAAGCCGACATGTCAACCTGGGACCAAACACTTCTGTCGAATCAATCGACGAGAAAATCAAAAATTCAATTAAATAAAGCTAGAAATGCCGTGTTTTTCCATCATTCATTTTGTCTGGAATACTTATCATATGTAAAGTATAATATTTATATACAACAACTCCCATATTCCCTTGAACTTTGATCTAACGCATATTTATTTTCATCGAATTTATTAGATCCTCTGTGTTCATACAGATCAAATAACTAAATAACTTAAGTTATTTCAATATAATTTAAATGTTTGAAAATTCCTCTTTATAAAGTCAAGTAATGAACAAAGAGAGTTTTTGAAAACTTCTTCAGAATCATCAGTTAAATGTGGTTTTAACAATGGGAATGCTTTATAACCCCAAAAAAAATTAAGAAAGGTATGTGTATATATTGATATCTTATCACATTTTCACTAGAGAACAGACCAAAAGATATGACAGTATGCATGAACAGAACATGAAAATGCTCATAGATTATTTTTTCTAGGTTACTTCTACGTAGTATTGAGAATTTACTATTAATAACATCAAGTTTCAAGATAAAGGATGTAACTAGGTCTCTTGTCCGACTATAGTTTACACATTTTGCCTAGTAACCTATCTTTCCGCTGACCTATTTATATATCTTGACTGGCAAAATCGTCACTTATATAGCCACCCTGAGCGATTTTCACACCACGGAGCAGTTTTTTCAATTCTTCATCGTTGCTGATGGCCAACTACAAGTGACGAGGGATGATGCGGGTCTCCTTGTTATCATGGTCGGCAGAGCCAGCCAATTCGAGCACTTCATTGCCCAGGTACTCGAGGATGGCTGCCAAATAGGTGGGGTATCCAGCACCGGCTCCTTCAGCATGGTTACCCTTGCGTTACAGACTATGCACACGACCAACTAGGAATTGAAGACCAGTGCAGGCAGATCGGGTTTTAGCCTTAGTGCGAAACTTCCCACCTTTGCTGAGACCATTCATGACTGCACTTTAGAGCAGAGAAACTATTCAACTCTTTTCGAAGTATTGGAATAATACAACACACGAGTAACAGTGATGAATTTATCGACACCATTTTCAGAAGGATGGATAAATCAAAATATTACAAAATAATGTCAGCAATCAAGATGATTAATAAAGGAACATACATAAGAGAGTGAAAACTTAAGTCACAGTGCTATACTACTATCTTGGAAATTATTCATCCAGTCCCCATCGCTTCCAGGTATCTTTAGAAAACAGAACCATTCAGAATTTTTTGTTATGATAATGTAGTACACAGTCGTTCCCTAACATTTAAAATTATTAGAATAACATTTATTGAAACTTTATTTGGTTAAGTTTTGATAGCCACATGTATAATCAGCACGTTTATGTTACCAGTCAATCAAAAAATCTTTCTGACGGTTTTATTTGTTTATTGTTTTGTGAATTAAGCACAGATACAAACTATCTGTACACTCTTCATGGTTGTTTTGTGCAGAAGTCTTGATTTCTAAAAAAAACTCAATATTACCTTACAAGTAACCAGCCTTGCACGTTTTATGTAGTGTGCATTACTCCCCTATCAAACACAATGCTGGTGTACAGTGTAACGGCTGACAAAGCTTCTCAGCTCTCATTGTAACATATTTCCAGTGACAGAAATGTCACAGTAATTAGAAAGTCACAGTTATTGAGTTTTCAGGACCTTTAAGTCTAAGAATAAAAGGGAGAAGAACATGAAATTCAACACCTGATTTAAGCATCCACTTATGAGTAACTTCTTTTTTTCCTTCACGTTCCCCAGTGGAACATAGGGCCTCAAGCTAGTGGCTTGCAGTTTCTGTAGCAGTGTTTATTATTTTTACAGGATGGGGTTGCTAGCCTCATGCCCAACCTTTCCTCTTTACCAGCATTATTTATGGCTTGGCGAGGTAGAGGAGTGCGTCGGCCGGGGATCGAACCCCGGACCATATGCATGGTCGGCGAGCGTCCTAACCGCTATGCCACCGACGCACACTATTCACACCACGATACACCCATTGACTGGGCATTGGTTTTCAGGAGAACCAAACACACGCATCCCTGCCTCTTGCGAGACGAGAACGGCATGCAGGATCAACCTGTGGCGCAACCACTCGAGAGCCCTCTCCCTCGGTGGACCATATGAGTAACTGCTCTTACATATTTCTAACCCCTATAGCATTATCTTTTTAGGCGTGAATTCTAGTAAACTGAAGTCCACAAAACAAATTATTTGAATCATATAAACTTACAGCTATATTGAAAGGTCACTAAAATTAACCAGTATCACATGTCTAGGCCTTATTATTGATTGAATTATGTCAAGATGGATTGTGAATGGTCTTCACTTAAAGAACCATTGAAAATTTAAAAGTACTGGACAGCTGTTTCATCTTAATTCGGGATGCTTTAGCAGTAAGCACAGATGATCTCATTAGACATCGAGCTCAGGGGTTAGTTCGCGAATAATATTGAAATCAGTGAAATCCCTGGAAAACAACCTTTGAGTACTGGTAATTTAATCTGCTAGTAGATTCACAATTGTTCTCAGAGGTGATGTCAGGTGAGTGAAGACTATCAGCAGGGTTCCCTGGATGTGTATTTTTTTGTCTTCGAATATTTTTAATTGACTGTAATAATTAGGCTTTAGAAAAAAAATAAATATTAAAAGATACCAAAAATGTTTTGAAAATCTTACCTGATATTTTCGCTGATTCACATTTTTCTGTGGAGTGAATTTTACGAACAGTTAATGTTACAAATCCTTTGTTTTTCTTCGCTGCTAATTGAATTAACTCTTCAATTTCATTTGGTTTACAATTTAGAACAGGCTGATTTTCAATAGCTACCAGCAGATCACCTACAACTAAATTCTGATTTGATTCGTTTTGTATTTGTGCATTGATGCTCAAGGGTATAATACTCGGCTGAGGGTAATAAGCATATAAGAGAAGTGGCAGAAATTAATTGTGATATTTTATCGCCATGAGTAAAATGTTATGAAACATATTTATTTGATAATTAAAATGGAGGGACTAGTGAGCAGGAATATACTTTTTCAGCATGCCGTATGTTGAATATGAAGGAAACTTCTCAAGTATTGGTTCGCAGGGATTTGATTAATACCAAGTTAGATCATGAACTGAAAACAGTTGAAATCAATTAAATCCTCACTGGTCATCGCGACGGAAATATCGCGATTTTATTGAGAAGTCATGTTTAGCGGTCTGCATTTAGTCGAATGCAAAGTCACACAATCACCGATAACCTTGTCTGCTGATGGCATTTTGGATCGCTAATTGGATGGAGTTGGAAATCATTAACCAATGAATTCCATCCCAACAGCTGGATGGTCATTTGGGTTGCCTCATAATCTGAATGTCCTGGGTGCGATCCTTAGTGGGATCATAGGTACTTACTGTTGGAGAGTCCCGAAATCGGAAGAAATACCCCTTGGTTGTCAATGGCTTTCTAGCTGATGTCATTTCATGATCTAACTTGAAACGACTTTAAGGACATACTTATGTAGTAACTTTACTGTTCTTTGCTGTAAGTAACTCTTATGTTTCAGTTTATAAGACCATCCAAATACATTTTTGTATTTAAATGCATCCAGGATGTTGACCTATTGGAGTACTGTGATTTGTTGTATTGTGAATAAACAAATGTGTTGCTAAGATACAAATAAAACACTAGCAATAAATATTTGAAAAAGTTTAAATTACAGCTTCTGATTTACTTTAAATATTTGATGCAAATGATGAGAATTTTTCAAATCTGTTTATGGGCATCAGTCCTAAATTGACCTTTACCCTGATGGAAAACATGATAAAAACTAAGTTTTTAAAACAGCATTGATTCTTGAATGAGAAAAAATTAACAAACAAACACGAAAGTTACTTATCAACGAAACTGAATTCAACTAGCATGATACCATGAACTGGCTGAAGCTAACAGTCTTCAGGCACTGCATTCCTACACAGTGAGTGAAAGGTAATGCATTTGACTCTTAGCCCAATTGCCAATGACGTAGTTTTGGTATCTAAGATGTTTATTCCACATTATAATCATCTCATTGAAATAACGCATTTTTACACTATCATTCACTAGGTAACATTATTATGCTGGAAATGTAATCCAACAAGTTATATAAAATTGTCTATGAATCTATCTATTTGATATTATATGGTGACTACTTGATAACTATTTTTATACGAGTTTGACCACGGATTGATATCAGTTAGAGAACCATTGAAAACCAGGGAGCCACTGGACAACTGTTTCGTTGTGGTTTGGGAATCATCAGCAGTGCACACCCACCCACATCACAGGGTTTGAACCCAGTACCTTCCGGTTACAAGGCAAGCTGGTATACCATTCAGCCAATGGGACCGGTTTCAATAGTCCACGATCATAATCTCTCAGAAAGTTTTTTTTTAATAAAGTTATAGGATAATATTTAAAGCTAACATCTGCTGAAGATGTGAGCAGAATCGGACAGCTAAGCAAAGTGACAACTATATTAAAAATAGCACTTTATGAATGTATCTATCAGACTAAATCTGCACATTTCAAAGTATACGGAGGAGGATATCTAGGCTACCAGAGAGAGAATTTCCAAAACTGTAGCAGAATAATTGATCTGAAAATCCTTTCATGAACAATCTGCTCAAAGTTCTGATACATTTTTGAATATTCTAGCCTATTTCGTATTGTCAGTATTTTTATTTTATTCCTTTACTTTCACAGTGGGAAACACGGCTTCAAGCTAGAGGCTTGAAGTTTCGGTAGCAATGGTTTCTATTTTTACAGGATGGAGTTGATAGCCTCATGTCCAACTTTCCCTCTTTACCAGTTTTATTACTGACTTAGTGTGGTAAAGGAGTGCATTGGCAGGGGATCGAACCTCAGATCACGTGTAGCATGGTTGGCGAGGATTCCACCACTGTGCCGCCTACGCACCAATCATCCATCTAATATCTGCATATTTTAATTAACACTTAATCCTTATCATATATCCTTGTTTTCGGTTGATTCCCATTTTTAATGTTTCACTTTGCTACCGTTTGTTGGTAACTTTACAACTATAACCAGGGTTACTGTTATGAAGTAGCTGCTTAACCTGGTACTTTCACTGTTAAAAAGTGTGTTTGTCCCGTTTGATTCAAGCAGACACAAGTTCAATGCCATTTTTTCAGGAAGAATTTTATAGTTGTGTTTGGGGCATTCGTTTCCTTGTACAGTAGGTATTTTGCACCTGAGAAACTTTTGACTGTAAACCTAACGGACAGCATTTTTTGAGGTAATTTTATACTTTTTAAAAGTATTTTTTTTAGCTGGTATTGCTTGAACAGTACCACAGATTCCATCCCATCAAACTATGCTTTGATTTTGTTGGAATATAAATGCAAACTATGAGTAACTCGAAGAAGTTTGGTAAACTATGCAGAAGAGAGTATCGATTAGTTTCGTGCATTCAGATCAAATTTTTGAGTTTTGATCATTGAAAATACTTTAATCATCCTTTGACGCTGAACAACTATAAGTTTGTGGAGTTAATCAAACAATTAGGAACTGACATATTATATTTGGCTTTAGTTCATAAAAATACTAAATATTTCGTGACCTTGTAGACTGAAATGTCATGTTAGCCATTTAAAACAAAAATGTGGATATACATAAAGTTTCATACTTCCAGTAAAGTGTGACACGGCGGAAATATTACCACGATAGAATGAGGATGGTTCAAGTGAACAGTGTGTCTGACAGTTGTATTTTGTGACAAGTCTTTCGATGATACTTTGTTTATCTTCATATTGAAGAACTCTCCAGCGTAAATCAGAAATATTCAACCTATACATTTAGAGCTATAAAAATAGCAAATGGTATACCAGAGAGTTTATCACCATGGCAGATTATTATTATAATTCGGCACAATGAAATATGCCACATAATTGTAAACTATTTTGATTTTTGACTTCGAACTACTTAACGAAATGACGAGTTTGCCATATACTAAGTTAGGTAACACACTTCATGTGTGATGGCTCATTATAAACTTCTTAGACTAAAACAGTTAGAGTGAAGTATTAACATGAGATCCAGTAGCTAAAACTCAGTCAGCTGGTTAAAGCAAGTAATCATCCTTCTATTGGATTTTCGACAGCGACTTAGTACGAAGACTGAACATTTTTTCTGTCTTTCTGTAAAAAAAACCCTACAAAACATTGAACAAAAAAACTTTGTTAAAATAAAGTAAAGTAATATGTAATTTTTCTACTTACAAAATTCTGTTCAGCATTTTCTTTAGTGAATTTTAATTTCCCTTCATTTGGAATGTAGAGAATTTTTACATCTTTTTCTGTAGGACTATTAGTGTTCTTCTCCATTGGACTGTGCAAACCATTCACCTGTGCTGTTACTGATGCAGTCGATGACAATAAGGCTGACTGAAGTAATCCATTACAAGATGAATTACTATTATTATTATTATCTTTGAGTGGTAAACTTGACTGTTGTACACTGGCTGAATTTACACATTGTTGTATTAAGTCATTTGGCATTTGTGCTTGCTGATGTTTGTGTGCACCATTCAAGTAATAGGCATTATTGTTCTGACAGATACTTACTTTGGATTTATTTAGTAATTCAGAGACAGGTATATAATCTGGTGTCTCACATGGTCCACTCATACCTATGCCTGGTATAATACACTGATCAGGTAACCATGGTGCAATTGTTTGATTTAATTGTTGTACGGTAGTGTGGCTGTTATTATGAGTAGTAGTTGTGGTCGTATTATTATTATTAATAGTAGTAGTTGTAGTTGTAGTGGTAGTATGTTTTTCATTTGGTTTATCTTTAATCTGTGGATTATGATTTGATGATTTTTTAAAATGGCTACTTGTATTTAATACAGTTCTTAAAAATGATAACATTTCACTTCTATCCGTTGATTTTGTTACTGTCTTTTCACCTTTATTTAACGAAGTTCTGGGATCATTATGATCGTCTTCTTTTAGAATTGAAATTGGACTGTAATAATTAAGTTTATTTAAACAATTTGTACAAACTTCAATGGGAGAAAAACAAAACAATAGGATGGATCATTATTTTAATAAAGAAAAGAAAATTCAAATTGTACTTAAAGTAAGCTTATTCTTTATTTTACTTTTAAAGGAATTCAGTTGTGTATTTCAGGGTGTGGTTTAATATTGAACACGTGGAATGTGAATATGTATATAAAATATATATGTCTAGGTTTGAAAAAAATAAGCATGACTATAACTAGCCATAGAGAAAGAAGTGACCAATCACAAGTCTGCATTTCATTCTCTATTGTATCTCAAGTACACACCCAATGCAAGTGAAGTAGGTTAGAATATGACTCATCATCTAACAGTGTAAATGCAAAGACAGTAAGCATAGTAAAATGCAAAATGAATAATGCGGTTAAACAGAATGCCATTGATTGAGTCAGCCAGTGTAAAGACTCATGGATATTAAACAAAAAGTCATTTTAAGATATTCTACTTTATAGCTTATAGCATAATTCATGTTACTAAACACTGTCCATTTGCATAGCATTAAGGGTGAACTGTATTCTGGACACATTTAATTTAACGTATTTGAGTGGTCTACTAACAACATTCCTTATGCCACCAGACTTTATTCAGTGACCGATAGTACGCTATTTAACCTTTAATCTTTTTTTAAACAGTTTGTTGTGAGGACTAAACATTATATGAAATCTAAACACAATACATGAATAGTAAAGTGCTCATAGTCAGCCCCTGAAGTCACAGACTGCAGTATAAATGGGATCATGAGAGCGTATTGGTGAAGAATTTCCCGCGTAAAGTGATACAGCTATTCAATGCTTCTTGCTTTTGCACAGTTTTCCGTTTGGTATTATAAATAGTAATGTAATCTACATTTACCAAATATATGAGTAGTGGAAACTGCCCACTTTCTTCCTTCTAGGTGGCCTTTTTAATAGAGTTTTCATAATTGCCGGTCTGTTTAATCTTCAATAAGATTAACTTTGAATATTTTCTTTTTTAACACATTTCGTGCAGTAAAATTCAGAAATATCACGGGATATTTAATAAAATGAATGATTCTTTTTACATATGAGATGATATTACAATCACAGCTCGAAAATGTACATAGCTTTATCTTGGAAGATTCTGAAAAGCAAGAATACAACTTATTGGAACTTCTTTTCGTGCTTTATGCCAATAAAAGCGGAATGTTTTCAAGTGTAACTTTGCACGGATTTGATTAATTACAAGTGCTATCACAAAGTGACTTCATTTGGAGATACATTGGAAACAAGGGAGTACTATACAACTGTCTCGACCCTATTTGGAGTTATTCAGTAGTCAGCACCCATAACCTCATTCAGCAGGGGTCGAACCCAGGACCTTCAGGTTACGATGCAAGTACGTTGACCATTCAGCTAGTGGGATGGAATCCAATGACCTATGAATTTTAACTCCCGTTAACTGGCATTATGCAGTACTTCTGTCAGACAGTGTTATCGGCCAGCATTTATTTTAACACCCAACTTGGTAAACTTTAATAATTAAATCAATAAAAGTCAATTAGAAAGAGAAATTTTTCCTTTGAGTGAATAAGTTGTAATCACATTGCAGTTCTAAAACAATTTACCTAATATAGCATGGAATAAACTTCTGATAAAGTTGCTCCAACTCATAAGCCATGGGTTAACTGTGAATTTGAGTCTTTTATCGTTTTATAATTTTTCAACACGTAATGGTATATATATTTATATGTATATATGGTAGGAGAATATTTCACGCTTACCCCTAATAACTGTAATCTGTATAGATTTTGCTTTGGTATAAATGCCAAATAATTGTAAGAACTGAGATTTTGTCACTTTTGTCAAATCGAAATTACCAAGTTTAATTATTAAATCACCGGTTTGTAATTTAGGATTACTGCTATTATTCGATTCATTCGTGTTTACCTGCAAAATTGAAGGCGGAAAAATAATAAAATGAAATATGAATTGGAAAATGTGTTTCAGGATTTACTTTATTTTAAAATGTTGAAAGTTCATTTCAACAATTCAGCCGACTATTCTACTTCCAAAAAAGTGTACTGCTGGTTGGAACTCTTTTTCAAGTATAAGGGTTAAATTATTTTCTCTGATTATGCAGTGAGTTAATTTTTCAAACTTAGTTCAGTTCACCACTCATTGTATACAGGAGGTTCGGAAAACACTAGAAAGTGATGAGTGATTTCAGTTATAAAATACAGACTAGCAGACATTCTTAAGGGTAACCCAAAGCAAACAAGAATAAAGCCTGACAATCTATGCTGAATGAGTGTATCAGACATTTGTCGTTTGTGATTGTCCCAGTAACCCATCTCAAACATTAAACCTGCTGAATAATGCTCCTTATAGAGGTTACGGCGTCGGTGGCACAGCATTAGAATGCTCGTTAACCACGCAGGTGGTTCGGGGCTCAGTCTCCGGCCAACGCGCTCCTTTACCACACTAAGCCAGTAACAAAACTGGTATAGAGGAAAGGTTGGACATGAGGCTAGCAACCCTATCCCGTAAAAATAGAAACCACTGCTACCTAAACTTCAAGTCTCTAGCTTGAAGACCTGTGTTCCACTAGGTACGTGAAGGAATTAAAAAGAAAATAGAGATTATAAGTGAGTATGAGAATGAAAATGTGTCTCATTTTCTTGACCTTGCTATCCAACATGATATAGACAGTAAAATCATAAGGTGTATTCACAGAAAACATGCTTCTAGGGTACTCTATCTGAACTTCAGAAGTCTCTGTCGTATAAGTTACAAAGACCGATCTGTGAAAACATGGTTCAATCGTTCAAAACGCTTTGCTCAGAGCAAAAGGTCGAAGGAGAGTTATCTGATGCTATAAAATGCCTTAAAAATTAATAATAATCCTCCAAATTTCATTACAAGCAGGTAAAGTGAAGTTGAGGAAAAGTGAACTACAGGACAGAATATTGATCTATCTACAACTTGCCTTCAAATGTAGTAATTTTGTTAGTAAAATAAAGCGTACACTGAACACTGCACTGAAGACAGCATATCCGGTTACCAAGTTCGTGTGCATCTCAAACAAACAGTTAGGTCCACTGATGGTGGACAGACGTTGTTTCAATGTCACCTTCAACTGCGTAAATCGGTTTACACGTACCTAAGACCAAAGAGGCTCACAGGTGTGACGCAGTCTGGTCTCACACCATCTATTGGACTCATGATTTTGTGGACGGTCTAAAGGCGTTCAAACTAATCAACAGACGAAAGAAATCTAGTTCGCTACACTATGCTGAAGCAACAGCCATCAAATGGGTGAAATCTAATTTGTTTCTAGAAAGAGATAGTGATGAACCTTGCAATACCTTGGTGATTAAAATGGCAAAACAAAGTCATACATACATACAGTTTAATACATGTCATGCACTCTTCTGTATCTTCTGGTCTGTTTAGACAGCTGTATTTTTTTTGTCATCTGAACGTCACTCATTCTACTTCTCTTTTGCTACTTCATAGAACAATATTCTTTTGATCACGTAGTCTACCCTACCATTATTCAATTTCTAGTCTACCTTTCCTGTAAATAGTCAGTCCGTTCAACTCTTAATAAGTGCTTATATAATTCCGGACTTACCTTACTTATACTTACTGTCAGTTTCTCCCTGTCAACACGAAAGGAATTTATCCTAAGTTTTCTTGTTATTTTTTATTTCTTTTGTATTAGTTAGATCGTAAACACCTGAAAAAGACTTACTTTACACTACCACGTTTGTTATTCTTGTTTTATCGTGTACTGTCAATATTTGTCTACAGTGCTGACAAGTTACCCTCCTTGGATAATTCATTTTTGCTTTAAATAATGTGGAGTTTTTTTTCAAACTGTAATGCTTATGATCGATGTTTTATTCAGGATTATCTTTCGGAAATGAAGATTTTCTTATAAACATAAGCAGACTAAGAATGAAGTTTATCAGTTGAGGTAGACGGTTTGATAATGTTGTCCTCTTTGAGCTGAATGATCTAACTGCAAACTTTCCATTACTCTTCTAGGTGACATCTTCAGAGGTGAAGAGCTAGGGGAATCTTAACTAAGGTAATATTATAAACTCATTTGGTTATAAAACATTAATTTTAATAACCGTATCAAATTTTGTAATTGGTAAGAATTGTAATCGCTAAAAGATCGAGGTTAAATATTGATTATTTTCATAGGATTCGTTAAATGGTAATTCATTTTCATCTTTAATTTTATCTACCAACAAAGTCATCAATTATACCATGGAGTAAAGTTATTACCAACACGAATAGATAAACTATTGTTAAGACTGAAAACCACCACTTACCTGATTCACTAAACATCCATAATTTGTATAGACATAGGTAAATCCATAATCATTTTCTTTTTTAAATAAGGTTATAGTTCTAATGGAATCACGACAATTTGAGCAAAACTTTTATCATTATATATAGCATATATAAAAAAAGTAGAAAGAAAGGAAGTTGTAAGTGAGCATTTGATAATCAATTGACCATATTGACAAAATGAATAAAAAATATAGTGGTGGTGTGAGGATTTTTCAGAAAGTTTCAGCTTCTGATTCTAATAACTTCAAAAATACTCACTAATGCTATGAGTAATAACGCAACCATACTCACTTTTACAAACTCTATCCTTTAGAATTCGTCATAATCTGGCTGATTTTGTGAAAACACTAGTTATGAATGCTAGTGTAGAACAATTAAGATTGTAGGTTTTAGTAAATGCTAAAAGATCATATTTGACTTGTTCAAGCTGTTGATGATTCACATAGAATGTTATCAAAATCAACATATGAAAAATTTATCCAGTTTATACCCTGTAACGTAGTTTCCTTGTGAATATTCACTGAAATGTTGACTACTCTGACAGTGAAGTATTGACTAAAGTGAAATCAGGCTTAGAGAATAAAATACTTTGAATTAACACGAAAATCTGCAATATAACCAAAGGTTTTCAAGTATTGGTTTGTAAGGATTTGATTGATAGGTAATAGGATTTCATCATGAGCTGACATTAATTAGAGAACAATTGAAAAACCGATGTCAGTTCGTGATGAAATCCTGTAACCAATCAGTCAAATCCCTACGAACCAATACTTGAATATCAATGACATGTTCACCAGTGACTGGCCCTATTGAGGAAGGTAGTTACCTGAGTTCTAGTGAGAAGTTGTGACGAGTGGGGTACAGCAAGTCAAAGGTGAGGATAGTTACTCATCGAAGACATTGGCTGGTGGTCAAGCTAAGTCGTGAATTGGCTGAAGTTAGAATTCATTGACCGGCATTGGATTGGGTCCCAGTGGCTTGATGGCCTACGAGCTCGCCTTATAATAAGAAGGTCCAGTGTTCGAACCCTGGCGGTGGGTACGCACTAGTGAAGAGTCAAAAACTAAGACGAAACGGCTGTCGAGCACTCCCTGAAGGTTTTTCAGTGGTTCTGTAACTGATGTTAGTTCATGATGAAATCCTGTAACCAACAACCAAAGGATTTTAGGACTGATGAATGAGATTCACTTCAACTTAATTGCTAGACAACGATAATATAAGCCTTATAAGTTATAAATAAACGAAATTCGATCACACTGCGCTTTCATGAATAATCTCCATCTATACATTAATGAAAACAAAACATGTAGTTCAATGATGAGTCTATTTCTGTCAAATTCATTCACTTAGCTGTATAATCGCAATTATGTATACTTATTTTTGTATGTTTGTGCACATTAGGTTTGTCCGATAAGAATAAAAATTAGTTAGGGTCATTGCTGTCAAGAGATTTCAAAAATGTGATGAACAATGAAATTGTTACTAGGGTGATGGAGTTTAGTAAGAGGGTAGTGGTGATGCATTGTCAAAAAACATAAAAGAAGTTGAATTAGCGTAATATAGTTATGTAATAACATGTTTAGTTTAATGAGTGAGTTGGGATTAGAATGCACATAGAGACAAAGGGAAATATGGAATTATGTAAGAGTTCTAAGAATTGCAAATGTTATAAGAAGTTAGAAAAAAGAAGCACGCAAACCTAAAGTCAGCAGAAGTCAACGAGGTTGTTACTATGACAGTAGCAGTGGTTGAATTATTTCCTTTTGTATACATAACTCTGGTTTTTCCAAATGAATAGCTAAGGCTTCAGCAATGCAAAGGAGACGATAGCGTATTATTGTCTTTGGTAGGTTACTCTTCACTTTGTAAATCAATTTGAAGGAGGAGTTTTTTGAGGTAAAAAGACTAGTTGTCAATGTTTATTTATTCGACCTGGTTTCCATTGGCAGGTAACATGAAGGCTGTCATTGCTTAATCCTGTACTGGTTGGTTGAAGATTGGAGAAATAACAACAGAAGTATTGTTGTATATTACTTTAAAGTTTATTTACAGACTTTAGCACTGATTAACCACTGTAAGTCTGTTTCCTTATCACTTGAAGAATAAATAATCGTGTTGCCCAACCGTTTGCTGTTGTTCCGCTTCGGTTACAGAGAGTAGTCTTCTGAAACCGACGATAGGAGGTCCAGGATCTCAGCAATCTGGATATTTGACACTAGTGTTGGCGAGATATTTGATTATTGCACTCCTTATACAGCTACTCTTATTCTTATCGGACAAACCTGATGTACACACACACATACAAAAATAAGTATACATAATTGCGATTGTAGAGATAAGTGAATGAATTTGACGAAAATAGACTCTTCGCCGAACTGTATGTTTTGTTCTCATACAATGAATGTGTCATTTAAATCTTTTAAGTGTAAAGAAAGCCTCAAATATACATATATGTTAATGGAAGAGAGAGGCCAGTCATTTAAATCCAATGAACACCGGGAAGTTCACAAGTTTCATGATGTAAGAGAAAGAAATATAGGTCTTATTTACACGTATACACAGAATATAATTATTTGACACTGTGTCCGTAAGTGGTTGGTGAGAAATAACTAAAACAAAATTAGTTTCGTTGGATGTGATATAAGTGAATACAATAATAATTTTGCACACTGTCAGAATGGTATGACTCTAGTAGAGCATTTCATTTGCAGTGGTGCATATAATCTCAACAGAGTATTTATGAATTACGTTACCGGTAGTGAGTTGTTTCAATTTCCTCAATCCTAACAAGTTAGTTTTCAAAGATTTTTAACCTTTATGGAAGAATAAGTTGAACATTGTGATCCTTATCACCTTAATGAGATGGATAGTGATACATTATTGGTAAGGAATAAAGATAATTATTAGTGATGACTTTTCTACTGTTTATATCACTAACATTTTTAGAGACTTTCTTTTACTACTTGTTAATTGTAAGTAGCTAGAGTAGTAAATGTCAGTAAAAGTCTGTGCAACGTGGAACAGACTCAAAACAACTGTCAACAACCTGGAATACAATTCTGGACACAAAAAAAGAATGAGCATAAAATGAACTACATATATCACTACAAATCGTAGGGAATCGAAAAACCAACTTCCAACGGTTTGTGTGACCGCAGGCAGTATTTTTTTCAAAATATTATTATTGTTCCCTTGGGTTCTCAGTGGAACACAGGGTTTCAACAACACATCTCCATTTTGTTCTATTTTCTACTTTCCTCTTTAGCTGGACCCACGATTGCCTATAATCTCTCATCTCCTCCTCACACGATCCCCTCCATGTCACCATAGGACAACCCACTCGCATTTTCCTATTTGAGTTCTACTCGGGGGCCTTGGGCGCGAGCTCAAAAGGTTACCGAAACAAAAACACCTATGATTGCATGTAAACTACTGATATATAGCTGATATTCATTTTAGCTAGAATAAACTTACGAATTAACTGAAAAATCTAAGGAACGACATACACTTTAAATTTATCTACCATTCCATTTTCAGCTACTGACTACTTATTTAAATAAGTGGATTTACGTCGGGAATAGACGATTTATTTTTAATGCAGTCAACTATTGCCATATCGGGGATTCTTCAGTCCTGTGCTGTTTTCCTGGTGTATTTCAAGATCGTTTCAAAAATAAGGCATTTATAACGTTTATTTGAGTGTAAATGGTAATAAGGATTTATTCTTTACATGAGTATAATATTGTAACGACCAGGCAAGAGCCAGGCAACAGATGGTTTATTGAGAGAACCAACAGATATTTGTAGATTTTTGTGTAAATTATTATTCGTTATTTTAGCAGAGAAGCAACGTCTTCTGATTGGTTGTTTTCTTGCTGAATGTTATTCTGTATTGCTTGTGAGCGTTGCTTACAAAGTTATCCATATACCTGCGAATCGTATTTGCTCATGTTAATTCTGCTCTGACTGGTTGTTGAGTTCCTCAAGGTTAGGCTTTGTTTTTGCTTTTTTCCATGACCCCGATTTGGGACACAGACATTGTTATTTAAAATTTTGTCTTGCAGACAGCTCACACCACAATATCATCTTTCAGTAGTTCAGAATATTCTGATTTTAATCCTGGATGTTAACAGCAGACAGGATATTTGATGATACTAACCTCGGGTCCACCGAATGATTTTATGAATAATCTAGTGTTTCTGGTGACGCGAAAAGCTATATAGTTCCATAATAATTTGCTTGTGAGATATATCGCACATTGAAACAGTATTATTTACTGGATGATGACATTTCAAACACAATTTATTGTTCATATTCATATCAATCATAGCCACACAACTTCGAAACTATCGTTTCGAAGTTTTCTTTATTTTTTCCTATCATCTTCACAGGGGTAGTAGAATTTTCCAGATATCTAGGACAGGTGTTGAATCATTCCTATTACACGTATTTTCAGTTGATTTGATAAGTAGAGCTTTCGTTATCAATCTCTCCCTCCACCCTGTTACATTATTTTTTAAGACTGTTATCTTATCCCATCCTATTGCATGATTGCGTGTAATTGCATGTAGTGCTATCTACGGCTGAACTATTCTCCAGATTTCTTACCTTATTAAGGTCAACTAATCTATATTTTGACAGGTTTTTGTGCTCCTCTAGTCTGATTCATCCTGTTCTACTACGTTGACCTATGTATTTGACCTGACAAGCTTTGCAGGTAAGGTATCAGATAAACTAAATTGTTTTGTTTAGCAGGTCACTGCACAGGATCCTTTAACCGGCCAAACTTGTTTCTAATTGAGTTTTTGGGTTTGAACGCCAGCCACTTTTATTCCTGCCTGATTTGTTAAGAATTCTCCGCAAGGTTTCCGAGGTTTTTTCTTTCTATGGAAGTACTACTGATGATGATTACTGAATGGTCCAACACCTGTTCCAGATACCTGGAAAATTCTACTACCCCTACAACAAATTGGAAAGAATATAGAATACTACGAAACGATAGCTTCGAAGTTGTGTGGCTATGATTGATATAATTATGAACAGTAAATTGTGTCTGAAACTTCGTTATCCAGTAAATAATACTGTT